GTATAAAAAATCTATTCAAAATGATCAGGCCTAATGTACAGTGTACTGTACAGTTGACTGTACTGTACTGTACGTGTACCGAGAGAGAATTTTGAAAGGAGTACAGTACTGTACTGTACATACTGTACAGTACATACATGTACTGTTACAGTACTGTACTGTACTGTTAAAAAGCATGCTGTACTGTACTGTACAGTGTACAGTAGTGCTAGTACTGTAATGGCGATGGCTTTTATACAGTACTGTAGGATGGTCTGAGTACAGTAGTACTTGTGCCTGCACTCAACATGTACTGTACAGTGTACAGTACTGTAGGTGTATTGTCCTGCTAATCGGTGGTCCGTTACTCTACCGTGTACAGTGTACACTGTACAGTACAGTATCATGTCAGAGTACTGCACACTGTACACTCTGTGCAGTAGACCGTTTAAGAACGTTTATTACTACACACTCACGGGCCACCACGACAGTAGTAAGAGAATTTTCTCTCATTAATTAAAGGTATACAGTACAGTATGATAGGATGAACTTTTCTCTTATGATATGTTCAGTCAAGCTGAGTCAACTTTATACAGTACTGTGCTGTAATCTGGTAGCGCCTTCGTACAACATTAATACGCTGAGGTAAAGGCGACATCAATCATTTATAAGGCAATAATGAATTAACTCTGTTGAACAACTTACCTATTCAACTGGATGCGGATGGTACATCGACCGGACATAACAATCACCATGATACAGTGGACAGTACTCTACCGGAGGTGAAAATCGATAGAATGGCTCACTTTTTCTTTACTTATATGGCTCTGACTGCAGATGAGACGAGTTTTGCTCACTAGTACTGCACGATGTACAGTACAGTCTCTACCTGATCAGTGAGGACTGTACTGTACTGTACTGTACACTGTACGCTGTGTACAGTAAAACCGATGATTGGCATTTCGTCAATTAAGTCATCGGAGCAATTTCTACCCCGGCTAAAAATGGACGAAAGATCGGATGCTGGCCTTAACGAGCAAACAGCAACCGATAGTCATCAAAACGATGAAGATTCCAATTATAAACAAATCAAACGGAAACATGAAGACAATCAAAGTGGCGATCAATTCTCCAGTATCATTAATTTATTTGAATGTCCGGTCTGTTATGATTACGTTTTACCACCTATTAAGCAGTGCACTAGAGGCCATCTCATTTGTGAAAAATGCCGATTGAAAATTCTCAAATGTCCAGTGTGCAATGAAACATTCGAAACCGACGTTCGAAATTTACAAATGGAAAAATTGGCTAGAACCTTAGTTTTTCCATGCAAATTTAGACAATCTGGTTGTCAACTTTGCTTTTCGCCTGATGAAAGAAAGATTCACGAAGATTCTTGCCCATTTCGTATTTATAGCTGCCCTTTCCCGATTACGTGTCGATGGCAAGGCTCGCTGGATTCTGTAGTCTCTCATATTGTCAATAGTCATAAAACAGTCCCTATGCAAGATGGTGAAGATGTTGTTTTTTCATTTGTTATCACTAGTGAGGTTACTGTGTGGGCTATGATACAAAAATGTCACGATCAACACTTTTTAGTGCTTGTCCGTAAAATAGAAATGTCCCATTACATCTATCAACTTTATGCCCTCGTTCAAGTCATTGCGCCTAAATCGATTGCTCGCAATTTCGCCTATGTTTTAACGTTGAAGGACGAACAACGCCGCTTAGCTTTGGAATCCTCACCCATTAGTATTAATGATTGTATTGATGACGCTATTGCAGTACGCGATTGTCTTTCAGTAGACTTTGTAACTGCCAAGTCTTTCAGTCAAGATGGCAATATTCGCCTCTTGGTTGCTATCAAAGCCATCTAGGTCAAAAGACGTAAAAATCACTTTGAATTCACTCAATTTTGGGTTTTTTAACTTGTCGTAACCATGACTTAGACGTGCATGCATTCATATATGATCCATATATAGAGAGATAGATATATACTGTATGTAGAAAATTGTAAATTTTTCAATTCAAATTCATATCGCAAGAGATAAAATTGTAATGACATCGAGCAACTGACTTATTGTAGTGTAGAACGTTGGTAATTTGGTTATATCAATTGGATTTTAAATCTGCCATCTCAATAATTTGTACAGTCTTTAATGTTGTCGTTTCATATTTAAAGAGCAGTTATATTATACACCTGAACAGAGTCAGACATGCATTCTGTAGATATATTTGCAACCTATTATAACAAACCTTAACAAGCTGTATTAGTAAACCTTTTTATCTAACGACAGCAATTCTGAAGATAGTCTAAATTCTCTTCCTCTGGACCTGTTCCGTTTAAAAAATTACGATATTTTTATAAAATACTATAAGCTATGGTGGACTTCTTTTATAAGCGTAAAGCGATATCCGCTTGTCAAAACGTTTTTATTTATAATTATAATAGATGATGATGATGTGCAAAAAGCGAATCAGCGTTGAATAATTATATTATTATTAATAACATATAATTGTACTTTTGATTACCTAAACATCAATAAATCATGTTGTATTAATTGGAATTGGAGTTTAGATTTGTAGGACGTGGAGTCCACATGTTTTGTTGTTGATATAAATTATAACTATCGGTATTTAACTGACTGTCCTTAGTAACATTATTATTATAATTAACCGAATTATTGCTACCATATTGGAAGCTATTACTGTAATCTACAGCATCGACATGAGGTTTCTTATTCGAGTTATCATGAGGAACTTCTTGTACAGAATGTTGTCGCTGGGATGAAAATTGTACTAGATTGTAGGCTGTTTGCAGTCTCTGACCACCATTTACATTACTATAGTTATCTTGCCTTGGTGGCATCATTGGGGCATTATAGTTATTATTCGCTGGGTAATAATAACTATTATGATCGCGGGAATAGTTTGTAAAAACGTTGCTGCTTCTATGATACACATTTTGATTATTGACATTCAAACTTGAGTTTTGAAGATTTGTTGTCTGCGGTGCAGTAAATGGTGCCGAATAATTTACATTTGGAGAGCTAGTTCTCGTCATGTCGATATTTGTACTTAAAGAGCTACTCGATTGGCCTGCCGTTCCGGTACTTTGCGCATTTGAGTACATAACCTGTACGGGATTTGCATTAATACCATCGTCGTTACTATATAAACTATTCGAATAGGAACTATTCGTTCCACTTGAATTGTCATACGGCTTGACACTGGTGGGAGGAATATAAGGTATTGACGGTAACGATTTCTTAGCGGGTATTCCAATTAGATACTCTTTGTCGTCGTAACTTGTTTCTGCTAAAGTCTCTTTCCTTGTTTCTTCAGCTGGGATAGTTGAAGGAATGTTGGCTTTAGGTGCGGTATTACAACTTTCGCTTTCCAACGGATCATGTTTCGATTGTTTAATTTTTCGCTTCCTCTTATTACTGTGTCCCAACTCAGTCATTTCAACTTTACTTGTACAATCTACACTTTCGTCTTCATGATCAATCTCGGCACTATGGTTTTCTGCAATGGAGCTTTCATTTGCGGAGGAATCGCTATTGGAGTGCGAATCCGAGTTAGGATCACCACTAGAATCGTCATCCTCACTTGCAGCATCATCCTTCTCGGTGTCTTTGCCTTCCTTTTTCTTCGGGATCCGAGTAGGTTCTTGCCAATCTTCGACTGAAATTTCTTCCATTGGGTTGGTACATTCTCTCATGAGTTTATTTTTGATACGGGCTTGCGTACGTTGCAGTTTATAATCCCAAGGAAGAACATCCGAGAGTAACTGTTTTAGGGTTTCCAAAAGGTATTTTACTGAGCTATCCGGATTGGATTTACTACGTCGTTTAGCTATAGGGGCTAAACTTTCACATAGATCCTTTAAAGAATCGCAGCTATCACAAAGGAGCTCGAAATCCGAGTCAGGATTCGTAATTGTTTGCGATTTAGGCACGATTTTAGGTGGATCACGTGTTGGTGGGGAACTGTTTGCCGATTTAAACTAGAAAAAATCGATGGTTAAATGTAATTAAAAAATAGACATTCAACTAGTGATTATAGAAAATAAAATTAATTTATAATGACATTTTATTATTTTCAAGTCATTTTTGTAAATTATTGCTAATTATTACGCAAGTACCTGCCGTAATCTTTCAGGTCTTTTGTGAGGAGTAGGTAAAACCGGAATTTCCTTTACAGTTCTAGCGGGTGCCTTACGTTTCTAGAAATAAATATTGAAGCGATATGATCACACTTTTCTATTGAAATTACTAATTTCTCATTCAATTTTACTGTCGCGGTGTTCAAACTTGCAACATCGTTGAATTACATTATACTGTATAGGAGCGTGCGAAATGAAAATATTACTACAGTACCTTTCTTTTTAGTATATCAGCCGTTACAGGATCGTGCTTATAAACTCTCAGGTCAAGATATAGGAATCCTGGAAAATAAAAGTAGGTTGCACCTTTGTCATCTTGGCCTAGTACAATCTCACGCAAAGTTACAGGCCCATATTGTGTTAAGACATCTCGTAATTCCAGTTCCTATATTGTATCAGAGTGAAACGATATAAAGAGAATTAAAATGTTGAAATATGCCTATACTGTACTGTGTAATATCATATAACCAAGAATATTATTTCATATTACAGCGATTGATTTAATAATCATTTTGTTAACTTGATAGAATTTAATTGTTACAAAATAGTGAACTTTGTTAGTACTTTTATATCAATATTGTAATTACATTCGATTAACAATATATATTAACTTACCGTAACATGGTCACAAAGCGCTTTCAGTAAATATACTCGTTTCCGAATTGATAATTCATGAAAGGGCGTAGTAATAATTTCTTCCTTATCGCCTAGTTATATTTGAATCAATTAATTTCGATCGCTACTACAAAGTTTTACGTCATTGTTTCCAGTACAATTATTCTTATAGATATAGTGTTGATTACAATATTAAACATATTTGTAATACCTTATATTAAAATAAATTATATTTTTAAATCATATACACTACCTAAAACTTCAAAGAGATCAGAGGCTAATCCGAACTTATCTAGAACCTATTTATGTTAAATAAATAATGGTTAATATTATCAAAAGTTTAAAGTGATTTACGGTAGTTTGTTTATCACTTTCTTTGATCACATCGTTACAACGTACTTTTACGTCGTTACTAAACTACTACACATAAGAGTAACATTATCATGGCAACAATAGCACGCATGACGATCCGATTTTGTTATTTATATTTAATGCAAATTATCTAGACTATTTATTATGCTTATCTTCATACCATTTCCTCGTTTAATTCATCCTTTGTTTCATACCATAATTTTAATACATTTTTTAGCTTATGATCCCAAACATTGTACGGCATGGCTTTTTTATCATCTAGACTTTAGTAGTACAGAAATAAGATTATACAATTTAATTCTCTAACGACAAAAATGTAACCACTAGTTCAATACAGATCTACATCGTTTTAACAGTTATTGTAACGTCGTGATGGATTTAATAAATTTACTACGTTATATAGAAATGACAACTGAAATATGAAGCTATTTTACATTGGATACGCAAAAGATAGAATTTGACAATTTTGTGATAATTGCAGTATGCTTACTATTGCCGGGGCTTGGGATCCAAGAGTAGAGATGAGAATATGCGAGCCATTAGATAGCTTCGGTGCGGCATAATTAATCCTAGTTCTAATTCTTCTAAGCATACATTTCGCAAATTCAACGAATCTTGGCAAAGGAAGAATAGTTGAGCTATGGCTGGTACCTAATTATACAAGTACATGAATCATTGTTATTATTATTTAATAGGTGAAAGACAACAGCATTGTTCAAGTCATCATTGAACAGATTTTTTATAGTGATTGATGGATTACTAACAATCAAAAAGGATCGTATCTAGTGTCGATATTACCTGCCAGTAGGATCGGATTTCTTTCACAGAGTCTAATGGGGCGTACTCTTTTTGCCAATTATTAATTTCTTCCAGCATAGCTAAACTGGCTTCTCTAGCTTCTTGTTGTTTTTGCTTTCGTTTAATTTTTTCTTCTTCTTCTTCTTCCAATTTTACTTTAGCAACAATGGATGTTGCAAAATCGAAAGTACCTGAGCTGCGATTGCATCTACGTCTTGATGCTAATCGAATCAATAGAGATAGGTTTATGACACTTTTTAATTACTTGATTAATCAATCTATATCTATCTATCTCTCATACAATATTACAGTTTAATTAATACGCTCAATACAGTATTGTATGGCTTCTATGTCTTACAATGTATTATTTATGACGATTAAAATACCAGGCATTGCAGCTACTTACAGGTTACATTGGCGTTATCTTCTCCATCGTTTGAATTACCTCTTAGTTTATCACGAAGCGATCTGCATCAATATTTCAACTTACTTAGTACAAATAGGCATTAGACATGGACTTTGCAATGAATACATTTGAAAAACTGATCACACGTAATAAAACACAAATGATTTAAGACAGGGATATCAACTACATTTAAGTCTAGAATGCACTAAGTTAAGTTAACTTTTGAGCTAACAAGTATGAAGATTTATTGGAATGGTAGCTATGTATCGCTGGTATGCAAACGACAGTAATATCCATAAGCTGCTCTCATTTTTAGCTTGGTTTAAATGTGGAACCTAGCAGTAGTTACAGGTAGGTGTCTATAACACATGAATGCCATAAACATATCGCTATGTATAATCTTAGTGATTTCTACTGGAGTGGTAGAACGATTAGGATGTAACTTACTTTGGAAACAGATTAATTTTCTGCTCTATGGTCTTTTCCAATTTCTGGCCCAATTTCGATATCCAATGTTTGGAGCCATTATACCGATAGCAATTTTCAATCATTAGACGAATATCACTGAGGACTTCGTTGATGGTTGTGTAGGAAGAATCATAGAATTTCTTCTTGACTGCGAGAAATAATTGAAAGAATGTAAATTCATTTTTTTGGATTGAAAATACTTTTTCTTCTTTTAACCATTATTTTATCGAATTAAGTTATACTAAACACTTGTATTGATTTCAATGAAGCCATTTTAAAAGGATTTATACGGAGAAAAAGACACGACTAAAATGATAGATAAAGCGTAACGCCGGTAAGACATGCAAATCTTGTCAGTGTCTCTTCTTTCTCACTGACCGGCAAGCAAGATTGCAAAATAGCGTGTCGTAATAAAGAGAGAAAACTACTCACTTTGTACTTAAGCGATTAGTCAATAAAGTTGAAAATTGGCATAGAACATCATTATTCTAATGGACAAGTATAGCAATGACACTATCCCTATATTCTCTTGATGTTCATCACGATGATGATTGGTGTATAGCATGGTAGTTGAAATTGAAATGAATCAATGAATAACAAAGGAAAAAACGATATACAGTACTATGACTGTTATGAGTAAACAGTTGTCTTCGACTAATGGATGCTATCCAGTCATTTTTCTTCCTTGCTAACATAGATCAATCAATTTGCAATCAGTTGACAAACAAAACAAGTTGATATGCATCCACTTACTCCATACTAAACACATTGGTTGTTTAATTCGATCATAGTAATCCCATAGTCCTAATTTCTCAGTATCAACAGGTTCACGAAAAGGCCATGTCATACTTGCAAATTGATTGGAAAGGAGATCATTGACTAGTTTCCATCCTTGGAATAATTCAGCGCTTAATGTATTGATGATATCGTCATCACTAATGGATTGTGTTGTACTTTGCTCAATGGGTGTTTCTTCTATTTCGGTTGTTGATTGCTTGCTCTTTTCATTGGAAACCAACGGTTGAGAATTCTCCTGTCCACTGTCCATTTTAATTTCATGTCAAATCAGGATATCGGACATTGGTGGAGTAGCGGTGAGAAGTTTGCTCTGCGCAAACTCAGCAAAGCACGCTTCACTTTACTTGAGTCAAACGAGTTTGGGGGTGAACGTATTGTGCTGACTGACATGTGTAACTCGACGCCGGTCGATGGTGTGTTGCAGCCGAGGCGAGTGACAAGAGGCTCAGGCGCAGTATGGCGGACGATAGTGTCCCGCATACAGTATGTTGTTCGACTCTCAGCCAATCAATCCCAGCGTCCACTGGAGCACTCTATCATGGAGCACTCTATCATGGACTACTACCGGGAGTCCCATACTCATCGTTCTTAACCCCCCCCCCGGCCAATAGTACTACATGTAGACATGTAGTAGTATATATATTTTTAAAAGGTAATGGATATTTTTAAAAGAGGTTATAAAGTCTCTAGTCGTTCATAGTGGCTCTATCATCATGGAAGTACAGGTTACTGTTCGTTTCTACTTGTTTTACGTTATCAGTGGCTGCTTATACTGTACATTGAACAGCGTGTTTTGCGCATCAGTAAAATACTCGCGCCTATGTGGTGCAAGCACACTCTGGGAATGGGACGACCAACTTTACAGTATTATATTACTGGTCATTTTACTCTACCGAATGACTAGAATCGTACAGTATATTGTATCGCGGTCGACCAACTTGGCGGCTACTAGGATTACACTTAAAATGACCAGGCCAAAAAAAGCGGCCTCTCATCACAGTTACCGTTGGTGTGGACAGACGGACATTTTTCTAGCAAAGCAGACATTATGAAAATGCCGAAAATCATGATAGTGTTGTATTGTAGATCGCTTGTGTGAGTATTCTATGATCACGACTATGAATTCAAGAGCATTCATGACGTTATACAACTGTAATTAAACAGAACTGAGCAAAATAGAATAGGATTCAATGCAATATTGCTTAGTTTAGTAACAGAAGCTCACTAGAGAGTTTCACGTATACAGTATAAATCCACTTGGGATTTCGGATTTTCGGGTGAATGAAGTAGGAAGGAAGTTGGACGGATTGCTTGAACTTCATTTTCTGTAAAATGCGCATGTGTTAATCGTAACAACAGTCCATCCGTCCACTGCCTTAAGGTTCAAGCTCTTGCGTTTCAACTTTCAAGTTGCAAACTCTCGGAAGGAAGTTGGACAGATTACCGGAACCTCATTTTCGATAAAATGCGCATGTGTCAATTGTAATAACGGTCCATCCGTCCACTGCCTTATTAAGGTTCAAGCTCTTGCGTTTCCAGTTGCAGCTCTCCTCTTTCCGTCTTTACTGTACGTCGACGATTCCATCAGGATTAAAGGGAATTCACGTTATGGCGTTAAAGGTTTGTTAATATTGCATGATCTGTATTCATTCAGCTTCTATTTTAGCTATAAGCTGATCTGTAAGAATAATGATTTCTCTCCTGAACGCCAATCCAACGATATTTGCATGTTGTTGAATAACAAAGTCAAGAGTAGATCTACCATGTTCCTCATACGAGTAACCACAATACTGTATGCGTATATGGCAGGATTCCCTGCTAGCCAGTGCAATCTCTATTTGCATTAGTGGATTGGATCTTTTGATGCCATCGATGCTTTATTACTCTTTGACTTAATTGACTACTTTCCAATACAGTATTGGCGTACAGCATACGTCTACAGTCTATGAGTAAAGTCGCGTAGTAAAGACGAAAAGAATGAAAGATGAACATCGTATGCAATGCGGTAGAATATTACCACAAAACTGGAATCTCTAGCGGTCAAGAACGATATTATAGATATGATCTTCCCTTTATGGTGTAGTATCAGCTACAACTATTCAATCATCGACACTGTGGAGCTCTACAGTAGTTTAAGCTATTGAAATTGGATTTTAGAATTGACACTACAGTACTGTACTGATATCCATTGTTGAATAATTCTCCAATTAAAATCCGTCATCGTTATCATTTAAAATTGGCTATACAAGGCAAATATTTTCAGTAAATTTCGAAATACTATATTTACCTTTTACATCAATAATCTTCTACTGATATCCAATGTTGAATAATTTTCCAACCAAAATCCATCATTGTTATCATTTAAAATTAGTTATACTGTACTGTATAGGGCAAAATTTGCAGCAAATTTCTAAACACTCGTATACCTCTTACATAAACATTCTTCTACTGTATCGATATCTAGTATTAAGGTTAAATAATTTTCCAACCAAAGTCCATCATTATTGTTATCACTTAAAATTGCTTACACCACGCAAAATCTTCGGCAAATTTGTATACACTTTGTTATCTCTTTCATAAATATTCTTCTACTGATATCCAATGTTAAATAATTTTCCAACCCAAAATTTATCATTGTTGTTATCATTCAAAATTGTCTATAGATATCCTGTACAGCCTTACGAGGCAAAATTTTCAGCAACTGGGCTAAAACTTATCAGTGCCAGCCAGAGCTATATTTTATTCCTGAAAGTATCGATCAATTAAGAGATGTAAGATGAATAATAATAAAGAAATAATGATTACCCAGCAGATTTTAATATTTGTATAAACAGAATTTAGCCCTTATGGTAGATGGAACGACAACAGTTACAATGTACAGTACACTAGTTCCATTACTTATCCTTTACCATGAATGATTTGAAATGTCGACTTTGAAATTTTTAAGCTACGAGATATCGACTCAAAATGTAGAGCGTGACTTGTATACCTATACGAATAGCAAATACTGTGTCAAGAGACGCATATCAATCACCGATACTACAGTATGATAGTCTTAGCGAGCAGTTTATTAATATTTAACAACATTGTCGTATCATTCAATTCGTTGTGCAACCTCAATATATAAGTTCTTGCACCCATGCCGGCAGATTTAAAATCAATAAGTCATAGTACAACACACAGCACATAAGCTATTGTAAAATCATAATCTCTTTTAGAATAATAATAGGATTTTGGTCTTAGAGATTGATTAAATCGACAGATTAACGTGTATTTACTATAGAAGGTTGCCGCCCTAGTTTAACATTTTCGACTTCAATGTACGCTGTAGTTATACCATACTATTAGCTAAGGCATGGCTACTATAGTTGTATAGCTAATAACTTATTAGGATACAAAATAGTCTTCAATTTTTGAATATCATGAACAGTTATTAGAAGATTTACAGATCGAATGAAATCTCTAAAATCATACTATTTTCTGTGAAATATTAGGTTATCAAGTTGGCTACAATTCATAAGAAAGTCGTTAGAGTAGTCGGCTGCGGCCATTCTCCATCGGACATTACGTGCACGTCGGATTACATGATCAGTATGGAAAAATTATCCGGTATTCTTGAAGTAAGCCATTAGTAGAATCATTGTTTAGGCATGATATTTTAAGATACTGTGAAAAATTCCTATTTATTATCTATTGGTCAACTTTTGTTTGGCTTATAGGTTGATGTGGATCGTAATCAAATAAAAGTACAAGGTGGTGTCAAGATTGAGCGGCTACATAAAGTCCTAGAAGAGTATGGCCTTGCTATTAGCAAGTTAGTATCTGTAAATTTGTAATTAACAAATAAAACTAACTGCGCTTAGACATTTGAATTCGTATCTTGTAATTAATCGGTAACTTGTAAGCTTATAGATATGGGTCGCTTTCATTAATCATTTGTAGCTAGTATAAGTAAGATGCATCTATTATCCTCACGAAATTTTTGTAATTGCTTAATTAGCATTTACAGTAATGTACAGTAGGTAGTTAACATTGGATGGTAGATATGTTTTATGTAATGATTCAGTTAAGGCTGAAGCACTTGTAGGAGATCTAAAAATATATGCTATTTAAACGCTGTATGATAAATTATATTAATTGGTGATGGCTACCGTAGATTGTTAAGGTTATTTCAGAATACAATGGATCGATAGTTATTAAGTTGTTTTTGACATTATAAGCAACTCTACGAGGCCTATAAAAAGCAATTCTAGTTTGGAAAATAGAGTTTGAGAAGAAATTATTTATAGAAGATTGTTCTAAAGACCTCTCTTGTTGATTTATTTATTCGTTAGATAATTCTCTTTTTTCTGTAACATTATTAGGATGTCTTAGCAATGTCTCAGAATTGCTTAATTAGCTTTTATTGTAAAAGTCTTGTTTAGTGATATTTTTTTCCTATTTGAATAGCATCGGTTCGGTATCCGATATCACTCTATCGGGAGCAATTGCTACTGGTACTCACGCAACAGGTGTCGACTTTGGCATGCTTGCTACCAATGTAGGATTGCATGGATATAGAATAGAAATTACTGTACTTTACAATGTACTGTACATATGTCACGAAATTGACATTGCAATTCATAGTTTTATACTGTTTCATACTAGGTCTTAGAGATTGAATTATTGCTAGCCAATGGGGAGCTCATGGTATGTTCTCGACATCAAAACAAGGAAATTTTTTTGTGTGCTTTATGCAATCTTGGTGCACTTGGTGTTGTTGTTTCAATCAAATTACAGTGTGAAAAGAGTTTCAAATTAGAGCAGCAACAATCTTCCTGTACTCTTGACGAGGTATTCGGAAGTGATATAATTCATTATCTTTCAGAAGTAATACTATGTATTGACCACCAGTTACTATTACAGGTATTAGATAATTTGGAAAATGAAGTACGCTCATGCGAACACTTTCGTTTTGGTTGGTTTCCACATACTAATGATGCAGTTGTATGGAAATGTAACAGAATCACCAAGGTAATGTAATAGTTTTGTATCAACACGAGTTAGAGTGTAGTTCGTGATCAATCTGATAGTTAAGCAGATTATTACAATTTTATTATATCCCATTAATAGTAACAAATACTAAATTCACTACTGTCGTTACTTTCTCTTTAATTTACCTAGCCCAAAGTCGATAGTTACAATTGGTTTTGGGATAGCATTGTAGGTTATCATTCTCTTCAGTTCTTGTACTGGTTGAGGTAAATCATTAAAATCATTGAAGGAGACTATATGTAAATTTATGATAATTATATTAGTTACAACTTATATTTGATATATATAAATATATATATTTATATATTTTTATTTATATCGTACTGACTTAACGGATGACTTTATAGAGACGCAAGCCTGAATTTGTTTTATTCAATCTCCTGTGATTGTAGCTCCTACTTTGATAGTCTTATCCCATGGATAAATAGAACGTTCTTTGGATTGTTGTTCCGTAAACCAAAGTATCGTGTCGATGATAGCTATAAGGTTAAGGCTGCAGTAATATTTCACGATTTTAATAGCAAAACTTTTTAATGTAACTACCTTTCACTTTAAGATTGTTCGCAACTGTAATAACCATACTAATTAGGGGCTTGTATATATTGTTAATGCGTTCTAGGTATTCAACTTTGAATGCTTGTTTAAGCAATACGTCACGGAATGGGCCATACCTAGGTAATCATTATATAATTATTAACATTTAGCCGTATTTGATAACTATTATAACCAAAAATTACAACCAAGACATAATTAAAATTCCTTTAGTGCTATGTGATAAAGTTTTTAGTTACATGTTAGAAATATATATACTTTAGTGTGTTAACGTTAGTATTTCGTGTAAGTTACAGATTAAAGGGTTATTTATTTTTTATTATTATATGGAAATTACAGGGAAAACACTGGCATAGTGCTAAGGCAGTTGCGAGATTGGCTGAACACAAATAACTTTTATGCTCATTACCCTGGTAATGGATAGTTGTAATTACATTGAATATGGAGAGTATTACAGAGCATTATTTTAATTAAAATTTTAATTTTTTAATTTCACGTTAGTTGAAGTACGATTTGTTAAAAGAGATGATGTTTACCTTAGCCAAAATTATGAACGTGATACATGCCACATCAACATCGTTATGTATAGGTATAGTAAAGAGTCTGTAAAGAACGATATCTTTATTGTAATAGCGTCTATTTAAAGTTACTCTTGTTTTAAAATACTCAATCTTCTCAAAAAGACCTTATGGAAAATTCATTCCTCATGACCGCTATTGGAAGGCATACGAAGAAATAATGCTTGCTGCTAAAGGAAAACCCCACTGGGCTAAGGTTGGGCATAAGTAATATACAGTAATACGTACACGCCGCATATTTAAACGCTGCTTAGCTTTTTTATTTAAACGATTAGATATTAAAGAATTTAAAAATTCGGTTATACTACATTATCTTAAGTTATGTAATGCAATAACACTAATTGAAGCTACGTTTATTAGGCGCATAGTCTGACGTATAAAGAATTGTCACAGATGTATCCTCAATATGATAAGTTTTGCAAAATCCGCGATGAACTTGATCCCAATCGGATATTTATTAATCGTTATTTGACCCAAGTTCTCTTTGAAGGCCGGGAAGAGTAAATTACAAGTTTTGCAGCAGCATTTTTAAAGAAATGACGTACATTCTTTCAACAAATTGATAGTATCAGCATGACCATTGTATACTGTAAATTACTTATTTGGTCGTATATTAATAGAGTTTACTAGATTATTTAAAGCTTTAGGATGGGATTTATTTACTATCACTACGGATTTATAATGTACGCGTACGGGTATTATATTAATGATTGCTTTCTTCTTTACGTATATCGGCTTATACTAATTAATGTAGCAAAAACATTTTCATCTTCCTAAGGTCCATTGCTCTCATCATAGGCATTTATGAATAAGACTCTGTATTCCTTGTTATTTGAATTAAAATAATTGTGTTAGAATTTTTATTATCAGCTTTATGATAAATTACCTTTTGGGCTTGTTTTTATAGTTAGATTTTATACTAATGATATTACTAGATAACAACTTGATAATCCATATAGATTAAGAGAACCCAAGGACATAACCAATTTACTGTAAAATATTTTACTTTGTCATTTCAAAAATAGATAGTTACTACATTAAGTCATAGAAGCTACATCACCTTAAAATATGCTATATACCCCTTTATATTTATATTACAATCACTATACAGTACGTAAATCGTTGCTAATTTGGATTAGATAGTTGCAAGCCGAAATATTATAATTATACTATACATTAAACCCAATAACAATCATTTAGCAAAGAAGCGATAATTTCAACGTATACCATGTGCATCAGAAGTAATGAAAAATAAAAAATTGAGCTCAATCAATGGTGTATATAACTAAATATATAATACAGAATAGTAAGAATGGAGTCAAGGTTATAGTATCTCATTGATCACCCAACAAGTATAAATATTTTGGCGAATTAGTGTTGATTGACGCTCTTTGTCCAATTAATTTTAGATTAGAATGTGTTCCAATAAGAAAGTGAGACGTCAATTCTCTTCATCAAATGATGTATCATCAATTTGAAAGTATTTTACTTTATTCTAGTACATCATCAAACGATAGTTTCCTGACAGATGCGTCCATTATATGGCCAGTATCGCGAGACTTTAATTCGCCTTGCAAATATGGGCTATTACTTGGAATAGGAGATATATCAATACAAAGCATTTCCGCTTTTATCATTGATGATCGAGCTGGAGTTGAAGAGAATTGACTGCAGTCTGATGTATAGCTTGATTCCTTTGAAAGAGAAAATCGACATAAAATTTACAACTTATTCGTGCTAACATTGGGACTACTATGTGTACACACATTTAGTAGAGGTAGAGTTAAATAAAAAACTTACCTGAGAAGATAATGCCAATTCACCCAAAGACATGGGACCGATAGTACTATTATCAATACTAGCATAAGGTAGAAAAACGTTTATTATACCATTGTCCGTCATTAATATGGTTTAGAAGAGCAATTTACTGGCTGACTTAGTTCATACCTCTCACTACGACAGCTAGTATTAAGACTCATCCTCTCACACCCTACTAATGGTGATTTAGTGAAGGAATTTTGATATTGACACATACTAGTAGCATTTCCTTGAAGAAATAACTTCTTACGTAGTGATGACAATAATATATCTTTATAAGCTTTCTGGCTAGTGGAATTTTGACAACCTATGTGTGCAAATGAAGATACAGTCTTTATTTTTGCTCTAATTAAGAAATATAACATGATCTTATTATTAGCAAGAGGATTTTCCTCATGTCCTATAATGCAATACTCACTCTCAGGCGTAACAAACAATGCTGTAGAATTAACCGGCATAAAAGGCGATTTTGCTGAACTTTGGCTCTTAGTATGTGAATTCTCTAAAGAAATTGGATAACGTGGCAATATTGTTAACACTACTGAATGATTCATGTTGGCTATGATTACTTTTAAGACTCATATTATTCAAGAAAAAGTATTTATTGTATCGTCGAAAACTGTCAGCTAGAATGACAAACATTGAACACCATACAGTACTGCAGCCTCTATAACATTTTAGCTCTAAGTTCGTATTTTATATTCAATAGTGACAGTCACGAAGATTACTGTCAATAAGAAATGGAAGCTTTCATTTAAAGCACAATCCTTACTTGATTCTTTGTTTACCCAAGGTGACGGAGCAATTAGATTTTGACTAAAAAACTATAAAATAAATTCAACAGTGATTAGACTGGCTAGAAGTGTATTGGCATTTTAACTATGTTACGATTTCTTTTAATCGCAATCATATACTTGAAAAGTTTTCAATTATAGCATGAAAGATGATTGAAAAATGGCAGATGGTTGTATCTAATTTTTTTTATTCATTTTCTTACACTTTCTATCGCATTTTGGGATTCTTCTTCTTGTTCTTTAGACAATCTGGAAGAGAAGAGCAAAATTAATGATTTCTATCAACAGTACTCTGTGACGCCTATCAATTATTCTTATCTACTTACAAAACTGTTGAATCTTGGTCTGTTTGCTCATCAATATCTGCGGGATTCTATATACCATTTAAAATTTTTGATTACTGTCACGCTTTCACATATTATGTAGATGGAAAGAATCAAGATTGATTATACGATCATCCTATTTGCAGTGGACTTACCATTACTGCAATTTGATCAATACTCCATCGAAATGTTTTAGTCTATCCAAAAAAAAAAAAAATGAATACACATTAAATCAAATCCACTATTGATGGAAGAGAATAAATGAATCCAAACTGCGAGTGTTATTATTATTATTATTGGAGACAGTTGACAGTTCTGCGGCATTTATCGTTGAAGGACGCATTAACATTCGGACAAACCTTTGGCTTGTTTGGTGTGGATAATTTTTTCATCAAAGATGGGCTAAAATCTGGAAAATTGATACGGTTATTATTGCACCAAGGCTCGAAAGGATTATAGGAGCACTGCAATGAAGACATGGTGTCCATCGGCGGAGTGGATGAAGGTCGATTTACTTTCTAATTCTTACCAATGACTGCTTTCACGCAATCTTGTTCCTAAAACATCTATTGATTATACGTTGACTTCTTGTACTTGCTGATGATGATAGATAGTTTTACTAGGAATGCAAATTGCAGTAGGTAAAACTGTTTATTAATAAGGAATAGACCATCGGCGTCATTCATTAGCCACTAGGATTTCTTTCCCATTTTTTGTTGTGCAACAAAATTTGAAAGCAGCCAATGAATGACATGAATGAGACTGAGTCTGCGTTGAAGAAGTCGCTGGTAGGTCCGCTTGACATCACGTGGTTGATCAACCGTGATGATAATACTCGACGACTGTACTGAATTCAGTCTATCGTGCGCATGCGTTAGTCGTATTGAGTTGTTACAGTATATTGTACACTGTGCACTCATACTGTACTGTACTACAGTAGTATCGATCTACAGTACTGTATGGAACCGTTTGGAAGGCAACTTTAGAGGGCCAAAATGGAATTAATTAACTTGATAAACAAATGAAGTGATTTTCTTCTTGATACAACTAGAATAATGTATCATCGTTTAAGCTCTTTACGCTGAGTATCGGAGTCATCGGGGTTATTATGGCTGGGCCTAGTGTACACTGTACAGTAAAGCGTGCGATGAGAATGTTAAATGATGTTGAAATGGTATCATATTGTACTTCTTTTGTATGAGTCAGTATGACTAAGATGGAGAACTTTTGTAAAAGAAAGTGGCGGGTTCTACCACACTACTGTACATTGTGCAGTGTGTCATGTACGACCGTACAGTGTGATTTCTTCGATATATATATGGATTTAAATAGTAATCAAGCATAAGTAAAACGCTTCAAAAAGACCAATGGTTGTGAACCTTCCTAAACAGATAGGTCTCATATACATATTAAAAGCATGCATTTGCGATCAATTATAATGATATATAAATGACAGGTCTATCAAATGGTAATACTATCTGTTAAATGAGCACATTATCGTAAACCGTCAGCAAAGCGACGGGAGTTTGCACTAGTGTATAATGAAACACGTACAGTAGGTTTGAAAATACAAAATTGTGCTGTTTATTGAAAGAATGTACCACTCAACCGAGCAAAATACCAGTTGAAATAGTTGCGAATTGAACATACTTGTACAATTGTGCATGCATTAAACTAACACACAAGTCGTCCTTGGACTTAATTAGTAAACGAAAGCCATGCTGCCATTAGCATACAGTACAGTATGGAGTACAGTATACACTGTACACTGTACTGTACTGTACTGTACGATATCACGTGGGTGAGTCTCCACTACAGTGTACAATGTACAGTACTACGCTACAGTATAATGTACTCAGTACATTGTACAGTACTGTACTATACGATATCACGTGGGTGAGTCTCTACTACAGTGTACAGTGTACCGTACTGCACTACAGTATAATACACTCAGTACATTGTACTGTATGATGTCACGTGAGTGAGTCTCTACTACAGTGTACAGTGTACAGTACTGCGCTACATTGTACTGCATACGAAACCGCTTGACGCTTGCTGTCATCTGCTTTTCACATCTAGGAGCCAAAAAATGTCGATGCCAGAGATAAGTCGCAAGAAAGAAATCTACAAATACGAAGCTCCATGGAATCTTTACAGCATGAATTGGAGCATTCGTCCTGATAAAGGTTTCCGTCTAGCTTTTGGTAGCTTTATTGAAGAATATAATAATAAGGTATGCCATAAAACATGTTGTTGATGCATGGCTAAAACAACCGATCCAATTGATCAGCCGTCATCATCCGCTTCAATGACAGTAGACTAAGACGATATCACATGTTTAAGACACTCGATAGCAGTCTACTACCGACACAACACAATAACAAGACAATATAGGCAAGAAGGAAAACTATGGCTGGGGATGCTCTTTCATTCCATTTGTTTCTTTTTAGTCAGCACTCAGTCACACAGTGTCGACAAACTTTTCTTTCACTTAAACTATAAAAATTCATCATGAAAACTAGTTTTGTCCTTAATTTATCCAACATAGCTCATCGTTCTTGACTCGATGTGTCTTGTTGATCATCACTCTTCAACTTCTTTCTACAATGGAACTCGATCGATATAAACACTAGCGATCGACAAATTGAACTACTACAAATACACTTCAATTACTGCATTTTTTCTCCTAATTTGATGCTTACTATCATTGATTAGGTTCAAATTGTATCTCTCGACAATGATGACGCTGATTTTGTTGTCAGATCAACGTTCGATCATCCTTATCCAACCACTAAATTAATGTGGATTCCAGATGGGGTAATTTATCTCCGCTGATATTGAATACTAATAAACTACGTAGCTTGATTTCACAGATCAAATAGTTGCACAACATGGATTATTCCTGTTCTAACCTATGTTCAATCAATTTTCTATTTAAAGAAAGGGATATATCCAGATCTTTTGGCTACATCTGGTGATTATTTAAGATTGTGGAGAGTAGGCGATGAAGGAACAAAATTAGAATGCTTATTAAACAATGTAAGTTAAATAATATCCGAATTATTTATTTGGATACTTTAACTGACTTTATTAACCAATATTTGATGTTTCTTGAACAAAGAGTATGAATTCCGATTTTTGCGCTCCGTTGACTTCCTTCGATTGGAATGAAATTGATCCAAATATCATCGGAACGTCAAGTATTGATACTACTTGTACGATATGGAATATAGAGGTACAGGCCACAAAATGGATTGTAGTATGGTTAGCGTGATTGAACCATTCAACCACAGTAGTACTCATTAATAGTCAATGATGGAATGCCATGCCAATTTTCTTTTACTAACCTTTTTATGTAATATATATATATATATATATATATGTTAGACTGGTCGAGCAATTAGTAGATCTACACCTGTTTCAGGACGTATTGCAACACAGCTGATTGCACATGATAACGAGGTAATTTCTTCCTATCGATAAACATTACAGTACCTAGCCATCCTATTTAGAAAAAAACTGACCAATACATTTATTCAAACAAGGTTTACGATATAGCATTTAGTAGAGCATCTGGTGGACGTGAAATTTTTGCCTCGGTTGGCGCCGATGGCTCAGTACGGATGTTCGATTTAAGGTAGTCTTTACTAACAAATTAATCGAATACGTGGTAGCTACGACATGACCTAGACGATGTACTCTTACTAAAACTGACTGAAAAACCTGATATTGTAGGCATTTGGAGCATTCAACAATCATCTATGAAGATCAAGCGCATGCTGCATTACTGAGGTTATGCTGGAATAAACAAGATGCCAATTATTTGGCGACATTCGCTCTCGATAATTGCGATGTACGTCTCTATATCCAGCTCTTAACTGTCTATCTGTTGTTACCCTTTAAAGACAGAGTATTAATGCACATTGTATCAATTTACATTCTAGGTCATCATCCTTGATATTAGAGTGCCATGTACGCCTGTTGCACGCTTAAGTAACCATCGAGCTTCAGTAAACGGTATCGCATGGGCACCCCATTCCTCATGTCATATATGTACCGCTGGTAAGATTGAATCTCATCTAGATGATGACTGTTAATTTTATAACTTAATCCATTCGATCTATTCTATTTAGCTGATGATAAGCAAGCTCTAATTTGGGATATTCAGAAAATGCCCAGAGCTATTGAAGATCCTATCTTAGCTTATACTGCAAAAGGCGAAATAAACCAAATTCAATGGTCGTCAACGCAACCTGATTGGATTGCAATTTGCTATTCAAACTGTCTAGAAATATTACGTGTCTAAAGTCAAGATAACACTATTTACTTATTAATCTTTAAAAATTTTATATAACGCCAACTTTTATTTAATTAAACATTTGTATATAGATTTTTAACTCGACATTAAAACTGTAGCATGACCGAAATACACCTAATTCCTATGTTTGTCATCTTATAGCATATGATAATATTTGTAACCTATGGTATACATACAGTAGTAAAGCGTCTCACCGCCTATGTACTATATATTATCTATTCTTTATTTGTATTTAAAAAGTGCTGTCGACATCACGGTAAAAAATACTATTGATGTCATTTGAAATAGATCTATTTCAAGTCCGAAAAATATGGAACATGCATGATTAAGTTAATGAATAAATTGCTATTCGTTACTGGCTTCTTTGATCCATTTTGCTATGTGCATTTTTTCAATTTTTCTGGCATGCTTGACCGTTGCAGGATCATCTTTATTTGCATGGCGAAGATCAAGATGATGTGCACCGCCTTCAATTACAATGGCAACTAGAGATTTAGAAAGTGATTTTAAGACACCACCACCAGACCAAGGATCTAGGTTACCATTACTAAATACGATGTTGCTGGCAGCTTTAATTCTCTTGCCACCGTACTATATTTATAAAATGAAGTTAGTATGATGATAGTATCAGCTTACTTACATCTCCATGTTGACGTTAGCTAGTAATACTGCACATTCATGGAAATTACATAATTTACAATTCGAGCTTTACATTACCAAGGTTTGTGCCCAGAATGGTCTTGTTCTAACACCATACTGTTCTTTACAGATAGCAGCCATAGCTGTGAGGTTAAATGGTGTAGGTTCAAACATATCATGTACTCCGTCCATGCACACGGGTAAAACCATTTCTGTGCAAGACTAGAATAGTTTTCACACTCTTAGTTCAGGATTATTTAACAAGTTGCACTAGTACAATTATAATTCGTAAGTTGATAATAACACATTGATAGCAGAAGTAATGTAACGTAGACAAATTTTGTGCAACTAACGTGAACGCTGATTATGGTCAATATGAAATTACCTGAAAATTCCATCCTGCTATACCCAAGTGTGATGTCGCATCCTGATCTGTGTTAAAACATTTACTATTACCGGTATGATTGAAATAAACATTTAAACCCTTAGCAATTCCTCGTATTAACAGAGTGTCGTTAGCCAATGGTTTTTGTAGAGAAGCGCAAACAGCCTTAACTGGTTTAGCAGGTAATGGCTCCAGAAAATTAGCTGGGTAAGGATAATCGACTAGCAATACAAGAATAGAATGTTTAATTCCACAGATTCTTTGGTAGTACAGTGCTATACATTATCAATATTGTTACGGGATAATGTCGATCGACAAGTGTTACTTTAATGTCTATTTTATCTTATTTTATTTACGAATGATTTCGTGATAACTAGCTTTAATCCATGTATAATGTTGCAAATAGTGTAAAATAATACCAAGACTATAATCGATATTATATGAATGGCCTGGAAATACAGTAACTGCAATCATAGAATTAAATTGTATATTATTGTAAGTATCTCTGGTACGCACTGCAGCTCTGCAATTATCACTTACCTTCAGCAAGGTTAACCCAGATACTTGATAGCCAATTAACTAGTGCGTCTACATCAGATGGACTCTTTAACGGGTTACAAAGTTTTAAAGTAGTGGAGAGAGTATGTCTTCCACTTTTGGTTGATCCTAATTTTCTAATTACCTTCCAGGAATTTCTGATATTCTTTGGACACTCTGGATAAGCTAATTTGAATGTATTTGTTACTATGCTAGAGAATCGATCGCAAGGAGTTAACCCTTCTAATTGCCAAATTGGAGCTGAAGCGGCTATAGCACCATCAACAATATTGGGATATTTTATTCTTAGCCATGCAGTTAGCATGCCTCCATAAGAGCCACCAAAAGCTATTACTGAACTATTTTGGGTACCATGAGTTTCCGCTTTGAAGTCAACGATAAATTGAGCGAAATCAGCAAGTGCTTGTTCCGAGCTGAGATAGGCTAGATGTTCTTTATCCTTAAAGGAATCCCTAAATGCGTACAGGGACAAGGTGATATTACACAATTATCGTTGCTGTTAAGTTGGTTTATAATATCAGTGACTATAATAATATGATTAAAATTCAATGAATAATAATGATTTTTTTTCCGCCTCTTGTAAATTAATTACATACGGTACAGATATATCATTATGTCGGTGCGGGTGGCAGCAAATTACAAAGTTTTCATAGTTCATTACAGTATATAAACTATTGTATGTGGTAATCTCGGATTGATAGATCAGCATGTGCTCTGGTTATAGGTGGCTAAGCTTGACTACAACGATGGTTTATAAAATAGTTTCACTAGTGTACGTCAAGAGTTTACTGTTTAACGTCTAGTTGCAATAAACAAGTGCATCTATCATTTAGTAGATACTGTATACCGAATGGTTTACTGAACATGGGCTTTAATGATACAGGGAGTTTCTGTAAAAGTTCTTCAATCATGCTACTGCTGGCTTAAAAGTTGTCGAATGATGTCTGTCATATAACTAGTTGATAGAGTATTGATAGAGGTATAATAATCATGATTACGTTTACCTAAATAAACTACTAAGGCTTAACTTATTGTAGCCGTAAGACCATTTTATGAAATGGAACGATAGCTATAGGTATAAGTGAACAGGTAACGGTCAAATTTGAACAGGCAGTATATGTGTACAATCCATGAGAACATTGCAAACTAGAGCTATTTGATTTGTGAAAAAGCTTTACATACTTTCCGAAAGGCAAAGTTTTTCCGTAGTAACGATGCTCAACAAATATCAGCATGGCGTTAAATTCTGGAGCAATATCCCACATAAAACCCGTGTTTTTAGCAAACCAGGTAATATCCCCTTCGTTGCCAGTATAGAAGAAGATGGGTGAGCCTTTTTTCCAATATTTTTGTGAGATTAAATACCTCTGCTGGAATTTTCTATCGTCTGCTGGGCTAAAATGATCTAATCGTTGTTTGAAATATTTGGTTTGATATTTGACATTACTTTGGAAAGAATCGCTGGGCCAAGCTAAAGCGTGCCATCTTATCATCATCACCATGATAACAGCTAATAACATTCCTCCTCTTCTTAAAGTAATCATTATGATTGTCTATGGATGGTGATAGATCGTTGATATTACTGTCGATGCGATCAATATGGTTAAAATACACTTCAAAGCTCCACACAATCAACACTAGCAATGACTAGTAGGGGATTTGAACTGAGTATTTCCAATTACAAGAGTTAGCCTCCAACAAAAGTGCAAAAAATTCACACTTTCTATCAGCTCGATATCGAGTCTATAATAGTACCGTATGAGCAGGAAATAGATTCTTAACACTTGTGCTGTACAGTATAGTAGAGGAAAACTAGTATATATATATAAGTATACAAATAAATAAATAATATAATAATTATACAATAATATACAAACAAACGGAAATTTTTTTTTGGCAAGACTGAGCGATGGGTGTGGGCAATAGGTTAGCGACGGCAGGTATGGCGTATACTATACAAGGATAGTGTACAATACAGTAGCAGGGGATATAGTGTACAGTATTGAAAATGGAGGTGTTAATAGGATAATAAGGATTTCAATAAACAGCCTAGGCACTAGAATAACAGTTAGTCATGATCTCGCCGGAAACAAAACGCTCATGTATTTCTCGTGACTTTCTTGCAGAATAAAGGATAGAATAGAATCTACTATGCCATAGGGCTTTCTTCTATCCTTAGGAAGAATATTAAGATTGAAGTCTGTACAGTCTGGAGTCCATGACTGATGTCAGACAATGGATAATTGTGTCTGTGCATGCTAATCGCTGAAGATTTTCAGCTTTCCGTTTGGATCGGCATAATCATTGCTACTCTTCTTCTTTCCAGCAGTCTCTGGCAACGTTAATAGGCAAAACACTGTGATTGTATTGTCATGACTATGAGTGTCAAAATTGCTGTAGACTTAGGTATTATATATATATATATATATACTGTATACTTATTACAGTTAAATAAATTATCGCACTGTAATATCCAGGTTTCCTTCTAGCGATTCTAGTGATGACTATGAGTTATCAAGATTGCTGTAGACTTAGGTATTACATATATATATATACTGTATACTTATTACAGTTAAATAAATTATTGCACTGTAATATCCAGGTTTCCTTCTAGTGATTCTAGTGATCCGTGATTGAGGTAATGGAAATCCGTTTTGCAATTCGGTAACTCGACACAAAATAATTCCAAGTTACGCGTATATTGTACTCGTATAACCTGCAATCGATAGTTCACGATAGATACTGTACGAGTGCCAAGATGGGCAACAATGCTTCAATTAAAATGTGCTAATTTATTATTGAAGTTTTCTCAACGATCAGTATCAGTAATCGGCACCATCTCCAGATCGAAGCAATAGGCACAAGGAGTACAGAAATTGTATTATCATAACTGATAGTATTACTCTATCATAGTTGATAGAGCCCCCTAGTGAGCAGCCTATCCTCTAAGATATTAGTAACCATCGTGAAGTAGGTTAAATAACGCTTCCTCGGTTACCTTATATCTACATTCCATTTTTATTCACATTAATAGAGCTCATAATCACAGCCAATTATCGTAGAATGGCTCAGAGATCGGTATAGATTAGATTGAACTTCTTATTCTCACTTTCATTCTAATCAATCAAAATTAATGCAATTAGCATTTAATTAGTAGTTTGTAATTTCGCAGATACTATCATAAGCATGCAAAGTTTATTATACAAGTGTATTATTATTTTTTTGAGCTTACAAGTTTCCAATTGCAACTATTAAAATGCATACTAATTCTCATTTCTGCTATATAGAACGGTATCTTAGTAGATAAGCTTGAGGAGTATCCTACTGTACTAAAGACATTATTTGCATAGATATTGTACGAATCAAAGCACTATACACGCACTTACTATGAAGAGATGGTAAACTGAACAGTCTACCTAACCAATACTGCAATTTTAGCATGCATGGAGTGATAATTCTATTCCAGTGCTATTGCCAATAGTAAATGATTGTTAGAAAAATAAATCAATGATGCTAATATAGCAAACTAAAATGGAATCAGCGGATCCCTAAAATGAAATATACTACTAACGCTAAACCTATTAATATAATTTCTTACGTATCATGATAACGGATTATCGATGATATTCATCAATCGAATTAAAAATTTACATTTTGTAAAGTACTATAATAAATGGCATATTGGTAGCTTTTATGCTGGTTCTACTGATCGTTGTCTACATACTGAAGAAGAGGGCATAATCTATAGGATATAGCACGCCATCACAATATCCTTAAATATATCCTAGATCTTTAAATAGACTAAATACGTGCATGATATATTGATGCTAATTACACTTGAATTTAGATGGTATGTACCTCCCAGGCGTTGCGTCAACGCGTTTACTGACAAGTTAATGTACATCGTAATCGTATACATAAAAAAGATGCAGGATAATCAGCCATCCACATTAATTAATTCATAATACAAAATTTTCGTTTGTTTACTAAAATCACATGTACTGTACATTACATACAACACATAATTTAATTACTAGATTTTGAATTCAAAATGGTCATGCCACGTAATCAACATAAGTATAGTGCACAATTAGAAACAAATCAACGTTAGGCTACGTTTAGGTATCTTTGTCTTTTTCAGCCGTATCCTTTCGAAAAGGTCCTAGAGAACGCTTCTTATTATTATTGGCTTCCTGTGTCAATCATTGTAGTTTATCAGGCATAAAGTATAAATATGTTTTACTTTGAACTACTAATCCTTTCTGGTAGTTTATTTTCATTAATCATTATATCACCAATACATGAGTAGTTTAATGAAACCATCGTTCTATATAGGCAAATAAAATCTTACCGTAATTGTAGCTTCTAACTTTTCAAGGGATTGCTATAATAAAGTAGCAAAATAACTATATCAATAACAATCTTTATTGAAAGGATGAGCGTCAAAATGATTGATAACACGAACTTATAACTTTGCATTGCTTTTTCCTACCTGATATTTATCTATATAGTCGTTAAACTGTGTACAATTAACTTTAAATTTTTTGACATCGGCACGCTTTTTCCCTAGCATCGTTTTAAAAAATTTTGCCTAACGAGATCGAAATTTAAATTAAAAACAGTAAGTACAGTAACATGAGATTGCCGTCAACAATCAACTTTTATTTATAAATTAATTACGGTTATATAGTCTATAAATGTAGCACCTCTTGTTTATGAAGCAAAGTATATGCAGTACCACTTTGACCTGCGCGTGCAGTTCGCCCCACTCTATGAATGTAAGTATTGATATGATTTGGAACATCATAATTTATGATATATTCCACCTAAAGAAAAATCAATCAATTTGAACGAGGATGATAAGTTCTTTTATGCACATTCGAAAAGCGACCATTATCATAGTAAATATATCAATAAGTCATAATCATGCTGTAGGCCTAATATTGAATGAATTGTGTTACTTTTTCAATATCGATACCACGCGCCACAGTGTCGGAACATATTAAACTATTCGTAGTTTTAAAGATAATAAAATTGTTACTTTCATAATATTGTATTTCTTTCGAGTAAAATGTTACATTCTATTTATAAGCCAAGAATTAAAAATGTTCTACTTACAGATCGATTTCCCCTGACGAAAATTGTTTAATGATTCGTTTTCGATCTTTTCGTGGGACCTCGGACGACAAAGTAGCAACGCGAATATCACCAAATATAGATAACAGTAGTGACAATCTATTAATAATCATAATCGTTAACGTAGGTGGCGTTAGAAATATTTACGAAAGGCGTACTATTTCAATAAGTGGAACTGAAAGGGTGAACTTTTAATTATGTTAATAGTAGTTTACCGCTTTGTAGATTCTTTGGAGTTTGTAAAGCATAGAACTCTTAGATGTTTTAGTGCTTGCATGAAATGAATAATTGTAAGAGGCTTCTCCCCAGGTTCGCAAATTATGTAATACTCCTAAAAGATAAATAGTCAACAATATATTTCACTTGGTAAACGTCAATAAATTGAAATAAATTCATACTAAAACTTTAGAATACTAACAGTTAGTTCAGCTGGGGTTACATAATAGTCTATTTCATTTGTGGATAAGTTCGATTTTTGATCGGATATTTGATAAAGTAATGGAGAGAATAGCTCTAACGGAGCAAGCTTTTCGGGATCATAAGTTAGAGTAGCGGAAAATAATAATTTCTGAAGCTACAAAAACAAGACATTATACGCCGGTTAGAAATTAAGCCCAGCAAACATGATCACATCAAATGACTTACCGGGAGTTTATTGTTGCAATATCTGTTTCGAGAAAGCACAATTTCGGCATAGACCAATGTGAATATTTAAACAGATCGTTAGCATTACGCAAACAGCACTTATTTCAGCGGCTATCGCAAAAAATGAAATTAAAAATAGATTATAGCTAAAATTCAGAGAATGACTAACTTGGACACAATCGATGGTATCGGAGGATCTCGAGGTGTAGTGTGTAGAATAAATCTAATTTCCATGTTAAGAATAGCGAAATAAATAAATAGAGTAAAAAGTATATGTACATCGATAACTAAAAGAAATCTATTTTGCAAGCATACTTATTAGGAGGAATAATTTGACTTTGTTCTGCTTTGTAACAAGCTTTTAATGCTGACATAATTAGTTGATGATGTGAAGATATCAAAAGCTTGTCAGCTTCATCAAGGACCTAAAAATAGTCCGTTAAATACAATTACTAGAAGAATAGTATTTACAAATGCAATTTTCAGCTTTTGTCAAGAAGGTAAAGCAATCAAATGAAGATTAACAACAACAAAACAATAAATGTACCAAGAAGCGCAAATGTTCCAACGTAAAATGTTTGGTCATATTAATGTGATCGATTAGCCTTCCAGGCGTTGCTATTAGGATATCAACGTTGCTACGACCTCTATGAAAATCATGGATAAAATGTAATTTAAACATGATAATAAGAGAAGATTTCGAAACCTATCAATTCAGTATTACCCAAGAGCATCAATCAATTCTCCTTGTTCAATCTTAAAATTTCGTTGGCCAATAGCAGTTGCGATCTGTTGATTAAAGGAGTATTATCAGAGCAGTACGAAGAATCAATCGTAGACTAATAGTACAACAATGGATGTTGGTCCAACGAATAGATATATCGATATCAACCATTAAATAAATCATTCCGTGTAACAGGTTAAAAAATAAGCAAGCAACAAGAGGTTAAAATAATAAAGTCAGTTAACTCAAAGAAATACCTTTAGCCCGCTACCTTCGTTAAACTGTTCGAATACTTTCTTGACTTGATACGCCAAATCTGCTGTTGGTACTAAAATTAGCGCTCGAAGTAGCATGACACTTCGTCGCATAAGAACCTGCAGAAGAGCATAATGGTAGCTGAAGATGAAAATTTTAATACTAAAACAGCAAGAGTAAGAAATTTTTAAGTAAAGTAGAGTATAGGTTTCTAGTTGGATTATTATCTTAATGATGGCCTAATAATCTCAATATGAAATTAATTATATAACGCACATACTAAGAATTAATATTAGAGCACTGTAAGTACTCGTATACTGCATTTCAGTACATTGGAAAATTAATGGAAATACAAATTACCTGAATAATGGGTAGTACATAAACTAAGGTTTTACCACTGCCAGTAGGTGCAGATACGCATATGTCATGTACAGGTAAAGGTGTACATAAGCCAAAATGCTGGTAATCTTTCAAGATTGTAGGAATAATTGTAGATTGCACTGTAATCGTAGGTGAAATGAAATAAACATAATGCAAATTACGCCATATTGAAATTGATCAGATTATTATGCAACTTGGACTACTCTATGTTGACACAATATAAATGTAGTCCATACATAAGTGAATTTAGCGATTACTTTATGCATTAATCATCGAAAAGGCAAACCTGGAAAGAGATGAGACATTCCTTGTTTCTTTAACTTTTTAAGAATAAACTTTTGTAAATAAGACACTTGGTCAATTTTAATTTTATCATGAGAATTGATATAGTTCGGTTTAGCTATCCATTGGGGAAAATTGGGGGAAAGAGGTGTAGATTGAGTAGTATTGTTGGATGTCTTTTTACCCAAGATTATGTAATCACTTTGTTGCGGCTGATCGACTGGAGATGTATCCTGATCTTGACTGCTAAGGGGATCATCATGATTCGTATCATGTTCCTCGTTTTGATGTATCGATCGGGTTCCATCGTTATTCTCTGCAAGTTGATGTAAAATTTGATCATTTTCCTTCTTTACAGCCTGCTGGGCTGGCATTTTTGTATCCGTTGACGAAATTGGTGGCTGCTTTCGATTACGACGTTTGTTGGATGCATCAGGATTGGAAGGTTGGCCATCATCAAGATGGTGATCTTGCTTTTTGGCACGTTTTGCTGAAGGTGCAGGTGATGTCTCTTGTACTTGTCTTTTTGCAGCTCGATTACGAATTAATTGTAATCGTTCTTCTATTACAGATGATGTAATCTTTTGTTGTGGTCCTTCCTCATATCTGCGAATTTGGATTAAATTGGACATGTTTGTACTGTTGTAAGCAGAGTAAGATCTTGATCTGCCTTTTTCAAAATTGTTCAAGACTTGTGTTGATTGTCAGGTGTGGGGAGTCTATCATGCAACTGGTCCTACCATTATTGGCTTGACTGGTTGGTTGTAAATCACATGTCCTTGCACAAGCTAGATGCAAAGCTTATCTAAAGATTGGATAGTATTAAATAGAAAACTGCTGATTGAGTGTACTGTATAGCTTTAAATTCTACAGGGACGATGTTCTCCTTGAGCTCCTCTAATCTAACTTGGAATTCCACCCCACCTATGGTCGATTTCTTTACAGACTAGATAAGCCTTGTTAAAACAATGGCTACATTAGATACGATGTAGTCTATTGTACTGTACTACTGAATATTGGACTGTACTGTACCAACTGCCAACAGTAATGAGTATTGGGTAATGAGTGCTGTTACAGCAGAGACCCTGTATGAGAGACATGACAATCTATTGTTCAAATTTACACCTGTTCCCGGTGGACTGAGTAACTAAGAGACGCAAAGGTATAGAGGTAAAGAAAAACTTTTTTAAGTTAAGGTTAAAAGGGACGGAAAGCGCAGTAAATCTTGTTACTCAGCTCAATGTAGAAGGTTTACTACTGCACAAACAGGCAATACAAATTGTAAAGCAATTCAATGGAGTTCGAAAAAGATCAGGTTAGAGCGCTGCTTCTGCAAACGATACCAGAATCAAGTCCAAGCTAGCTCTCAACCAGTACAGCAGAGGTACAGAGGTAAAGAACAACTTTTTTAAGTTAAGGTTAAAAGGGACGGAAAGCGCAGTAAATCTTGTTACTCAGCTCAATGTAGAAGGTTTACTACTGCACAAACAGGCAATACAAATTGTAAAGCAATTCAATGGAGTTCGAAAAAGATCAGGTTAGAGCGCTGCTTCTGCAAACGATACCAGAATCAAGTCCAAGCTAGCTCTCAACCAGTACAGCAGAGGTACAGAGGTAAAAGAAAAACTTTTTTTTAAGTGAAAGGTTAAAGTGAAAAAAAGCGCAGCAAATCTTGTCATTCAGCTCAATGTAGAAGGTTTACTACTGCACAAGCAGGCAATACAAATTGTAAAGTAATTCAATTGAGTTCGAAAAAGATCAGGTTAGAGCTCTGCTTCTGTAAACGATACCAGAATCAAGTCCAAGCCAGCTCTCAACCAGTACAGCCGTATGCACTGGTAATTTTAGTTTTAGCATTTCTATGCGACACTGGCGTAAGAGATTGTCATTCATACGAGAGTATAGACTAGCAAATTTGCCTACAACCTACTGTACTGTATAAGCCACTCTGAGACATTACAATTATTCTTATTATATAATCTGTTCGTAGAGATAGAAGAAAAGCTTTTATCAAGTCCAAGCCAGCTGTCAACCAGTACAGTACAGTATATCTACTGTACTGTACTGTAGAAGATTGCCATTTAGATTACCATTAAATTTGATGCGCAATACTGTACTGAAAGAAGATATTGTTATTTCCAGCAGAAAGTAGACAGCAATTTACCTGAAACATGCAGTATATAAGCCAATCTGAGATAGTATAATCATTATTATAACCTATTGATAGAGATAGAAGAAAACCTTTTATCTCCATGATTGTCTATACAGTATAAGAAAGCCTTTCATGTCTCTAATTGAAAAATGAATTAATTAATAAATGAATTAATTTGCGTGCAGTATCGGTGGACAGTTGACGTCATATAAAAGTAAGGATGACGAAATATTGCAATGCTCAATACAGTACTGTATATATAAATAAATAAAATGACATTAATTAATCAATATTAGAGCCGAAAGCAGTACAGGTCTAGCAGTACTGTAAAAGGTAAATGGGAAAAAAAAACTGTTTCTTTACGCAGGACTGTGTGCACAAAGGTGAAAAGGTTTTCCTTTCGCCAACTGTACATAATGTACCGTGCGGCTGGTTAGTACTGTATAAACTAACTGCAAAGTATCACAGTTTCGGTATTATTATTGATTAATCAGTGATACTGGATATCATGGACAAGGTCCATGACGATGCAGTGTTCGAATCCGAAACGCAATTTTCATCCATTTCACATCGTTTTCTTTGTGTCGACAATCTCATCTGGTAAAGAAAATTACTAAATTGTAGCAATTTTAACTCGCTTGTAAAATAATATGGCCAAGGTCTGTGACTACGGCTTAACACATCCATTACTGCGGCGACACTCAAAAGAATATAAAAAAAAATCAACCGTTTTTATCAAGCTATGAATCCATTAATGAAGCGATTCATGGAAAGGTTCATGGCATGGTATTTCGTGAAGATAGTTTTCAATTAAATTCAATTTATAATCAGGTATCTGTATATCTTAAAGCAGTCAACGACTTGGTTTCTTCTATCATTCTATGGCTATAAAGACTACAATAATTGGGTTATATTCTTTTCACACTTTTAATATCCAGACAGTTAGCCGTGCTAAACGGTACTACCAATTTTCATTTTTTGTAAAAAAGTGACGTCAAGAAATTAGACAGAAATGCAGCCGATGAGTAAATCCTATTGTGGCATACTATGTGGCCTAGCGGCATCATTCATTTTTTCTCTCATGTCTGCATGTGTTAAGCTGTCCTCCTATCGCTTCTTTCTGATCGTAGTCGTTAGAAGTATGACTCAAATCCTATTTCTGCAGCCACTCATGGTTTATCAGAGAACCAATTTAAAAAGCAGCCTCAAACCACCTCAAGCTTATTATGTATTTGGTAGGGCGATTGGTGAAACAGTGGCCGTATGTTGCCAATTTTATGCTTATCAGAATATGAACATTGGTGATGCAGCTGCAATTGTCTATTCGTCTCCGTTTATCACTGGTATTTTGGCAGCTATCTTTTTGAAGGAAAGATTTACATTGTTTCATTTTCTGGCCACAATTGTCAGTTTTGGTGGAGTGATCTTAGTTGCGAGGCCACCATTTATCTTTGGATCTCTAGCAGGTGATACAACTCAAACTCATTTTGCAGTAGCTGGTATTGCATTCTGTGGAACTATCTGCAACAGCCTTGGTATTTTGAGCGTCAGAAAACTTGGTAATACTGTCGATGGGAATGCCCTGACGTATTACTTTTCCATCATATGTTGCACAGCGCCATTGATCATCACCGCTGTTACCGGAGAATTTGAATTGCCGCCTTGTGGCAGTGCAAGATGGCTGCTACTTTTTATTGGTCTATTAGGTTTTGTTGGCCAACTGGTCTTTGTAAAAGCGATCCAATTAGAGGAAGCTATGTTAATAGCGGTAATCAGAACTCTTGATGTCTTGTTTGGCTATATTCTAGAAATAATTATATTCGGCTCTATACCGTCAATTCTGTCAATTATCGGCTCACTTTTGGTAGTATCTTCAGCATGTACTGTAGGATTGAATAAAGTTTATGGGACATCGTGGATTTATGGGAGTTGTAAACAATCCCACAACGATGGAAAAACTACAGAGCAATCCATGGTTGCAGCGAATCAAAGCCGGCACTGCAGAGAAACGCAATTATAGAAATTGTTATTTCATGATCGTAGTTATTTGATATTCCTGATTATATTCTTATGGATGAGCTGATTTTCATTGCTAGTGTAAGCTATGATACAGTCCGTTAATAAATAGTTGCTCCAGCTGTCAGGAACGTTAAGCTACCCTTTCTGTAGACGAGGTTGGAGCAACGTCGATATTCCGTCGCTCGTAAATTATCATAGAAGCATCCCGTAATTTTATTAAATTCTGAAGACTGTGTGTGTGTAAAAGACTAATATGCGTAGTTGTGGTATCCTGATTGGTAGTAGATCGATGATCATATTAAAAATTAATTCAAAAATAAAAATTCAAAAATAATAATAGCATCTTTGTGAATTTATCTTGTAAGTTATCCTTTGAGCACCCTCTTTCTGTACTGCTCTACGGTGCGGAATATATTGAAGTCATTCATTTAATTAATACATAGATGAAAACTAGCTCCAGCCTCTGTACTGGAGTTCATAACGCTATATATATATAATAAGAAGAATTTATATATTAACGAAAACTGTGAATTACATATTATGGCTATTACGGCTATACAATATAACTTGCCCGTAAACTGATTGCATAATCTCTATACAACTTGTATGATCTCCATCTTGGAATAATGTGTTGAAGAATAAATCCTGATTTTGCAATGAATCAGAATTGTCTTATAGGATGAGCTAGACCTGAGAAAGGTTCGGTTCGTATGTGTCAATTTCATAAACGTACTGCGTATATCAATTTGAGTTTGCCTTATACGTATTTTAGCTACATGATTCGCTCTCAAGATTGGATTGCGAATGAGTAAAGTATCAATGTACTGTAAATAGAGTTACATTGCTCTTTCTCTGCACCACGAGGATAGTAAAATATTATTATTTCCGTGTCGTCTAATAGCTCTAACTAGAACTGCTAATTAATGCCTCTCTCCGTATCCACATCGGACTACATAACAGTCACTGATGCTATGGATGAGCATAACTTATTTGAACTAGTTGAGCATCAAAGTAAGATCCACCTCATTGCATCTAACTCCTCGTTGTATAAAGCATACACATGTTGTCTATGCTATTTCTAAATACAAATGAATCTGCAAAATACCATGTTAGGCTATAGTATTGCATCTTTGACGGTAGCATGGCGTGCTAGTTTAATATATTTATCTATTTTAAAATATAGAAGTATACGTGTATATACACTATTATACAGGTATGTCTAATTGGTTAAACCATGTCTACACAACGCACTAATTACATATGTTTTGGCATTATAATTGTGATAGATTAGGCAGAGAATGGTAGAAGAGAAAATGATCGGCTACGATATTCGCTAAGTGTAATTCTTTATTATAGCATAAATCAACATGATAGAGGCAAATTACCCTAGTGCACGTGAGAATGTGCTTACATCTACTTGATATAACATCTACAGCATTGTATACCAAAGCATGACAGCATGGAATGTGCTAACGTCATGATATCTAAAGGTTTAAATATACTGTATATGGTACGGCCATTGCTAAGATTGGCTGCGTCCTTAAGAACATCACGGTCCATCTTGCTAATTTTATCCTTCTTAAAATAAAAATAATTTAGACAATCTTAAGAATGATCAGACCATCTTAAGATGAAAAGACATTCTTAAGAATTCCTCAAAATCTTTATCATAGTAAACATCAATCATTTTACCTTCACATCCTTCTGATTCCATAAATATCCTTCCAAGTAAAATAACTGTACATCAAGACAAAGTAGGACGAATATCATCGTGACATTAATCATACAGTATGTTCGGTATTGTGCTGTATATTAACCCTAGTTATTCGATAAGGTTATATCACGGTCTGATTTGTATGACTTTCTTTACAGTTATTTGGGACTTGTCATGAAGTAAAAGGATGTTGTCGTTATGATCTTAAATTCACTTTTCTCTCTTTTAGTAGTCCCTGATACAGTATGTGCTACGATATAGGACATAATAATTATGTTTTAGCTATTGCTATCTGAAATACAGCGGTTGACTACATTATTTTGTTGGTCATTTCACTGTATAAAATTTCCTATTGGAAGTTCCCCCTTTGCCTGTTGGTAGCAACTTTTTAGGCCGCATTTGCTAACAGTACAGTACACAAGTGTTATTTAACACCATAGATTCTGATCCAGGATTGTATGCTTCCAACTGTAGGCTAAACTTATTAGTACTCATCATAAAAAGAAAGAATTCGTCCAAAAAGAAGGAAGGACGTAAGCGGCCTTACACGGCTGAAAGATGAGTGGGCCGGTCATTTTGCTAATCATTCTACCATGATACTAAAAGAAAGAGAGACTATATTGTCAACCAAACCAAACTTGATCGTTCCATAGGAGTGAGGAGCAACGCTGTAAACAGTGCAAGGTGCTGGTGTACAATACAATTTAAAATGGCCAGCGAAACAGCAGGGACTACTCAATGGTCCATTTTCAATTTAATGAAAATTGCATATTGAGTAGTTCCTGGAGTTATTGCATCCATTCATTCCTGGTATATTTTCTTCTTTCTTTCTCCAGTACTTTGACTTGACAGAAAGCCTGAGGGGCTCATCTAAAAAAAAAAGTTCCTAGTCTTAGGGCAGAGTCGTTATGTTGAGTAGAGTATGAAAAGAAGAAAAAATCTCTGTATATAGGCTAAAATTTAAATTTTAGAAGCCTAACCCTAACCCTAAAATTTAAATTCTAGATCATCAATTTTATTTTGCCTAATAGCAAAAGAGAACTGGCTCACACGGCACAGTATACCGCCATGCACAGCCCTAGAATGTACTGTAGAGATCATTGAAATCTCTATACAACACTATCAGAAATGGCAAGCACGGTACAGTACAAGTATTGTACTTTACAGTGTACTGGACTGTGTGACGTCATTCTGGCGTTTATTTATCTTCAGGCAGTCTATGATGCAAAACAAAAAAATTTTTTGTTGTTGTCTTGCAGCGATCCTATCCAACGATTTATTTTGTTGCCCTTACTAACGAGGACGAAGAGAGAAGAAGAAAGAAAAATCCAATCATCCCCTCCATTCCATACTGTCATCATCGTATATTGTCTATCCTTTGCAATCCTTAGTCCAGCACCAACGTTGCCGTACAATTATGTCCAAAGATTACGTTTCCTTTAAGCAACGACGAAGTTTCGGTAAGAGGAGAACAACAACATACGAGTAATGCAATGATAACAACAACCACTGGTGCCATCATCATTTAGTCATAATTTGAAGCCGCGATGATGGAATAATTAGTCTGTTCAGTTCTATCAAGGCTGATTACAATAATTTTGCCTATAGTTTTTTTTCATCATCATGTTGTAATCGTTTCTTTTTAATTCCAACTCGTCGCAAGACATTCTTGTTTAAAGTATGGAAAAGTGTCAATATCCAATCGATCAAATACAGTTGCTAGCTTGTTCATAATAATGAATACATGTATCGTCGTCTTGTTCACTTTTTCTTGTTATCCATGTCATTTTTAGTCTGCAGAAAGCGTGATGCTCAAGAAATTCGCGAGAAATATCCCGATAAAATTCCGGTAAATCATAATCACTATTGATCGAGAATTGCTTTACAAATGATAATCCAGTCATTTTTCCACCTTGATCCTAACGTAACAGTAGGATAACTACAATCCAATTGGATACGTATTTGTAGTGAACCGAAATGATCAAACCATTCATTCATACTAAACGATTTTTAAGATTCAAGCCAGAATAAGATATCTCTCAGCGATAGCCATTTGTCCGTCTTGTTCTCTTTTTTTTATTCTTTTTGTTTTATTTTCGTTCTTCGTTCTAATCCATTTTACATGAAGGCTAATTAACGTAATTCAAATCACGAATCATTGTATCCTAAGCGACATACAAGTATATCTATTCTTGTATCAAAGTTCGTAAAAATAGTGATATAGAATGTTGGAAGATTGTAACATGTTAACGAAGGACTGACTCATCGTCCTAGCTACGATACTGTGTAGATAGGAAAAGTAAAAAAAACGCTTTTCCCTCTGTTTGATCAATATGTTTTCTAGTGGACATGTTGCAATCGTAATATTGTACAGTATAAGTACTTTGATATTCGCACAGTACATCCATACAATTTCATCGACAAACTCAAGCGTGTAATAAAAATGTCCAAATTAAAATGTATTCAGCGATACAACTACTTTTCTATTTTGATTAACGTAAATTTCTCCTTTTATTTAGGTGGTTGTTGAACGCTTACATACTGAAAAACATTTACCCCTTTTGGATAAAAACAAATTTCTTGTACCTGAAGATCTAACCATGAGTCAATTTATTAACATCATAAGGTGAATATCTGTACTGTAATTAAAATAAAATGATATTCAGTGGGCAATAATGCGTAAGAATATTACATCTCTATCGTGTAAAATGAAGCCAATATCCGTTGGCTTATTGAATTTTTATTTCCAAGTCAAGTATTTGATGTAATTTTATAATGGAACTAACATTGGTCGATTTATAATTGAACTGTTAAAGCTATACATTATTAATAAATTAATTAAAGTACCCCATACTATATGCTATCATGACAGAAAGGTAGTACAGTAGTCAATACAATACTAAGATCACGGATATCAGTTCAATCAAAAAAGAATGAACTTACTTTAATAACTCTCGAGGTTTCATTTGCCTATTTATTTTTAAATGATCCATCGCCATATTACGTTATGCTGTACGCGTGTTTTATGATAATAAGCAGTGGCTATAATTACTATCCATGAACTCATTCCTTATATTATTATATAATGTTAAAGACAGAGTATTAACTGAAAATTTCATGCCTCACCAAGTGAATAATTAAATTTACCTATTGCCTTTGACATTGCACTACAAAATATAGACCTTTATAATAGCCTATATGAAAGCATACTGAGTAAGTCAGTCAATTGAAATACCAACTACGCCATACTAAGTAAGGTAGAATTCCCCATGATGCCATCGTGGCCGCAAGGATATATGATACTGTATTCGTAACTACAAGCTCTCAGGATAGTATATCTAGTAGATCCACATTATACTATTCTTAAAATTTATCATTAAACGCATGGTATCCTACTCGATAATCGGAAGTGATTCATCTGATAATATACTTCCTGGCTACATTTTATTACTTTTCTGGTAGCACATCGTCTCTTATAGTAACAGTTAAATGATAACACTTTTAAAGTTTTGTACACTAATCTACGATTAGAACGCAAATCAGTTACTGTTGAGACCTGCTTATAGTGGTATAAATGTGCAATGAATCATGCTTTAGAATAATTATAATCGATAATCATCATTTATGAAAATAGAAATATTGTCGTGATACATTTATTAATAGGCCATAATAAAACTGTCAGTTGTATTAAAGAATGAGACACAATTCACAGAGTTCTATTTTTTAATCATACAATACTTAGATAAAATTGAAATAGAAACAACAACTTTTATGTTTGTATTGCGTGCATAGAAAGTAGCATATCATCAAATGACTTATAATTAATGAAAAAGTCACCATACTGTACTGCATAATCGATTCATCCTTAAGTAGCGTATTGCTACAACGGCCATGAATAAGTGAATATAGGCGCATAGACGGATACTATCTCAAATTCTATACGCGTATAGTCATGTCTTACAGTGATAAAATATTTCTTAAAGTAATTTACATATTTACGTTTTATGACTTTAAAACGTTATAAATATGAGACCCATTTCATATGTACTGACGGGATGTACATAGCAACACAATACTATCACTAAAGCTAGCGTTGCTATCTGTCTTAAAATTATCAATCGAAGCCGCTATTTATACGCCGCGTTTGTATCGATTTTTATAGTGCAAGTAAAAACCTTTTAACTATTCTTAGCACGAACACTAACTGTAATTTTTATGTTCTTCACTCGTAATGTCATACACTATTACAACAACATCATGAATAGACTAGTACGGTTATCGCCTTCTTAGTTAAAGCTTCTCCCTTCTTCTACCAATCATTCTAGAAAAAGACTGGTATTAAATCCTACTCAAGCGTTCTTTCTACTCATTAATCAAAAAAATATGGCCAGTATCTCCACGCCATTAATAGAACTGTATCATCATGAACGAGATGAAGATGGCTTTCTTTATATGGTTTATGCCTCTCAAGAAACGTTTGGAACTGATTAGAGTCAAGTACTCAAAATATACGCTAAGTTGACTTTGTAACCATGTTCCAACGCATTATTTCGTACTAAGGAGAATTATCCGCTGTGAAACAACTTGACTGTAACACTCATCTCGTTATGGAAGAGTAGTTTGCATCCTTTAATACTCTGTATTCTATGGTAGATTGTGTAAGCCATTTTTATTGCATGTAAAATATGTTACATCTACTGAATTAAATCAACATCTACAATTGCTAGATAATGTTGCAGATTAACCTTTAATACGTACCCAAATCCTAATTTAAATAACAATCACTTTTTCAATATCGTTCAACAAGATTGCAGTTGCTACAACGATATATTGTATTTATTATGACTAAAGGGGTACTCTTACGGAGTACCAAGTATATACTACATAATATGCAAATCGATGTCCATTATGCGTCTTAAGTACGTGTATCTTGATTCTCGAAAACACTTGTTCTGTTAAACGGCATATAATATATGAGAAAAACCTACTATTATATTTTGTAAATAATTCGGCTTACACAATATGAGTTCTTACTTAACAAATACTATAGACCTACTGATCCCTACTTGTAGAGTATGTTGACTTGTACTATTGAAAAATAACTGTACTGGATTGCTAATAAAGTAAATATTAAAATCGATTCGCTGTAGCCCATTCTGAATGCGTTAACTCGTAAGCCTATTGTAAATTTTCCAAAATAACAGCTATTCCTTGACCACCACCGATGCAGGCCGACCCGATCGCATACTTTGCACTTCTTCTCTTTAACTCGTAGATTAGGTGTCCAGCAATGCGAGCACCAGAGGCACCCACAGGGTGACCAAGGGAAATAGCACCACCATTTACGTTAGTAATTTCAGGATTTAAATCCAATTCTTTCATTACTGCAAGCGCTTGAGGAGCAAAGGCCTCATTAACCTGTATTGAATGAAGAAGACGTCTAGTCAAAAATCTATAACATTGCAAAATTTCGCTATCATCCGTAATACTCGTGTGCTAATTTTAATAGTTGCGTGAATCAGTTAAAACAGTAAACGGACATAAAGAACATTGATGCGGTAAGCTAGACTATTTGAGATGAACTAGACGTGCCAACCTGTACAATAGTACAAATTTATGCGCGTTTAAAGTGTTTAGTTGCACCGATAGCGTAAAATTAAATTCCGAGATTGATCTGTAGTGAAACTTAACATAGATCCTTGGTAATTAAACTTTAAATAGTACACATGCTAGAAATAATTCATTTACTCCTTTAAGAAATTATTATGATTGCAAGTGTATTTTCCAACCTCAACCAATGACATATCGTTCAGGCTCAAACCAGATTTACTTAATGCAGATTTGATTGCTGGAACAGGTCCAATTCCCATTACACGAGGATCAACACCAGCTATACCGTAAGCGACAAGTCGAGCTAAAGGAGTTAAATTGTGATCTTTAACTGCTTGTTCGCTGGCTAATATCACAGCTGCTGCACCATCACAGATCCCCTAATAAATTTTAAATATTCACGATACAATTAAATATGGACTTCAATAACGATACAAGTTGTAACCATTTAAACTTTATATTGATCAGGCTTACGGTCAATCAATAAATGCATAACTGCTAATACTTATAGAATGATAATTATACATTGCTAACTGTTTCTATAATAATACAGGTCGTAACTCGTAAGCCGTCATTAATGCTTCATAATGATTAACGCCAATTTATGAATTCATATCACTGTAAATAACTATTAAATGACGTTTGTAGACCCATCTGTAAACAACCGTCATTACTAACGCACCCTAATAGGCGTGTACGAGTATTAAACGTAATAGGCATTTTTGCATCATACGTAGAAATACTTCAGCAATTATATATCTTCAAGGATGATACTTTACAAATTATTTTTACAAATTTTAAGGCACAAAACTGTGAAATGATATCAAGCTGTTTGTCATAATTTATAAGGTCTATATCATTCTACATTTTACATGTAATCTTTTAACCATAATTAAATTTAGATATGGATTAGCTCTGTAGTCTTACAGATGCATTGCCAGCATTCACTGTTCCACCCTTTTTAAAAACTGGTGGCAGTTTAGCCAACTTTTCCACTGAAGTCATACGAGGATGCTCATCGGTATCGAAGTTTTCCGGCCCTTTTTTACCTTTAATAGACATGGGTTCAATTTCGTCTTTGAATTTTCCATCTTTGTTTGCTGTATCAAGTGCGATGGCGTACCATGATAAATAAAGCACGGAAAAATCGTTTCATGAGTTTTCAGCGAAATACAATTTTAACCATTACGTCAAATACTTTTATAATAATTTAATATTTTTTATGTTATAGGGACTATATTTACAGTATAAAGTAATCATGTTGCAGAGTAAAACTTGCATCGTAATATCATGTTTGATTGGCTAATAATATGACAGCTAATCGGATTATCGATATTTATTTAACAAACTGATTACTGTATAGTAATTACTGATAGTAAAGTTTGAATGATTTCTAGCAATTCATTAGTACAACACGCATGAAACATTACAAATGGTATCATTTTAAGTACCTTCAAACCAGCGTGTCTGCGATTGTACCGCAAACTGATTACATTCCTCCCCACTAATGCTATATTTTTCAGCTAACGTTTCTGCAGTTATACCCATAGGAGTTTTTATGTAATTGTCTGTCAGCGTTTGCCATAATGTATCCTCCAGCTAGGTCCAGTAGTATTAAATATAAACATGACAGTCAGTGCAGTATCATTTACCATTTACTTTGTCAGTCAGTATAATGATGCCAACCCCCATGCAGCGACAAAATGAGTGTCCAACAATCTACCAACATCTAGACGTACATGCAAAAGCCTATCACATTGCATTAGCAGAATACTAACCTGCGGGCTGACACCAAGAGGGATTCCAAATCTTGTACCTCTGACCGCGTATGGAGCTTGGCTCATACTTTCAGCACCAGCCGTTAATACGATCTTAGAGTCACCAATTTGTATCTCCTGAAAAAGAAAAGGAAATGGATCCAGATGTTAATATCTCAATTGCTAAATTGCTATTTAAAATAATAAATAAAGCCAAGATGATTTAAACTGTAGTATACGGAATAGACTTTAAAGTAGAGCTATTTCAATCACCTGGACTCCAGTTACTATCGCCTGGAATCCGGAACCACATAATCTGTTGACGGTTAAAGCGGGTGATTCAATCTTAACACCACTCCTTAGTCCAACATGCCTGGCTATGTAAGGTCCATCTGATGAAGTCTAAAACATAATATACGAATTTTTTTCGGTTAGTATGTTCATTACACAAAGGGCGGTCGATAAAAGTGCTTGCAATCATTTCCATTGCATGATAGTAAGAAATTTTAGTACTGTCGGACATTCACGTATCTTGCAATTGCCCATATGCTAGCTTAAATAACGCGAGGATAGTTGAACAATCAATAAATTCAGATACAATATACAATAGTACAGTTTGGATGTATAGAAGTCACTAGCACGATCTATGGGCAGCATGTGCTAATAGGGATTAAAATGCAAGTTTTAAAATAATTTAATAAATTGGAGCTATAGCACAAAGCGTAAATGTTTTCACATCCAGCACGATCAAAAGTCAACTACGCACCAGTAATTTAAATGGATTGATTAAACTTATCTGAGCGTACAACACTTGTGGAAATAACTGTTTATCACTGTATACAGTATACAGAAATATTGTAGTGCGTACTATCCTTTGCAGTGCCTATACTAGGAAAAGATACGCCTGAACAATCTGACAAAAACCATGGATGATGATAATCGGACACTACTGAATGCTTGAGCGTTTTATTGTCGGAATATTGTGTCAATAATTACAGTATGTAATTGTGTGCGTTGGTAGTAGGTCTGATCATTTCCAATTTTAAATAATTAGGCGTCTAATTGGAGAGGCTACTATATGTAAGTAAAACCTGCCTCCTCTCTTCTAGATTTGTCTCCAAGCGATTGGTACTAGGATCAAGGTAAGATACAGTTACTGCATGCATACAAGAGTTATTTTACTTTCATGGACCTTGGCATTCATAGTATCTGCAGTACAGCCTGCATCATTTTATCAAAATAGGAGTTATTATTATTTTTCCATTACTAACTGCAATTGAGCTTGAAGAAGAGAAGAAAATTCAGCGACAGCATCGTTACCAGTGTGTAAGTATGAATTATAACCATCATCCTATTGCTGCAAGATATGTACTCAAATTTCAATTCAGGCCTACGTATTTATTTACCTGAGCAACGTTTCCAACAACAACAGAGTCTACCACCGTAGGATCGACATTGCCGGCTTGCAAAGCTGCCGTTGCAGCCACTACTCCTAAATCTGTTGCGGTGAAATTCTTTAAAGCACCACCGAAAGTTCCAAAAGCTGTCCGCTTGGCAGCAACAAGATAGACTGGACGAGCAAGTGCCATTTTAACCTGAATTGAAGACCTAAACTGCTTGATCGATGAAAGGATGGCGATATGAGCCGAAATGGATACCAGAAATGCGACGGAATGCTTAAAGCCTAGACTGATAGAGAGTGTCTACTGTGTAAATTGATTGTCACCCCTGATTCCATCTGAAAGGTCATCACGAGGCTAGATGATGACAAGTATTAACCCAAAAGAGGCTGGAAAAGATTACTAAGTGTGACATATCATTTTGCACAGTAAACTAGAGCTGTACAGTACTGTACTTTACCGTATGATACTATAGTGTACCGTACGCTTCATCGTTGTATAGGTAAATCTATCAGGTAACAAACTGTGTTTACTCTGATAATACTGGTCATTTATCCTAATCCATTACTATACTATTCCTTATACACCGGATGAACGTTTCCATCCAGTAGCTACAAATTGAACCGATTTACCTCCAATAAGTTATCCGCAATGTCTATTGGTAAATCCATTTTTAATTATTTATTTCCAGAACTGATGCAATATAACCTTTTCTTACATAACAACAGCTCTTTGTTATGCTCAAATCCTTCTTTACTTAATGTATAATAGTATAGGGGAAAGCATTACATATCAACGTCACTGCAAACTGTAGCATGTTTAGAAGTTGATATTATTATTTATTTATACACTGTATTTCAATTTTGGACCCCAGCTACACTACCTAACGAATCGATTGCATTGATTTATGCAGAAAGTTCTTTCGTCTAATCTACTATTTATCGATATGTAACTGTAGGAAATTCTCCACTCTAAGCTGTTGACTCAATATTAATCACTCGATCAGCTTGAAAACATTCAGAAAATTAGCTATGACACTTGCAGTCCTAGCTCATGGCTTTAAATACCTCTATGCGAGATAGTTTCGTATGCAGAATAATCAACTAGTAGTGATCCATCTCGATAAATTACTACCAGATGCATCGATTGCATTGATTTATGCGGAGAGTAGGTCAGCTTGAAAACATCAAGAATATTAGCTATGATACTTGCAGTCCTAGCTCATAGCTTTAAACATCTCTATGCGAGATAGCTTCGTATGCACAATAATCAACTAGTAGTGATCCATTTCGATAAATTACTACCCGATGTATCAATTGTATTGACTTATGCAGAAAGTTCTTTCGTCTAGTCTACTATTTATCGATATGTAACAGTAGGAAATTCTCCACTCTAAGCTGTTGAGTCGATATTAATCACTCGATCAGCTTGAAACAACAAGAATATTAGCTATGATACCTGTAGTCCTAGATCATAGCTTTAAACACCTCTATGCGAGATAGTTTCTTATGTAGAATAATCAACTAGTATTGATCCATCTCGATAAATTACTACCCGATGCATCGATTGCATTGACTTATGCAGAAAGTTCTTTCGTCTAATCTATTATTTATCGATATGTAACAGTAGGAAATTTCCACTCTTAGCTGTTGAGTCGATATTAATCACTCGATCAGCTTGAAACATCAAGAATATTAGCTATGATACTTGTAGTCCTAGCTCATAGCTTTAAACACCTCTATGCTCTATGAGATAGTTTCGAATGTAGAATAATCGACTAGTAGTGATTCATCTCGATAAATTACTACCCGATGTATCGATTGCATTGACTTATGCAGAAAGTTCTTGCGTCTAATCTACTATTAATCGATATGTAACTGTAGGAAATTCTCCACTCTAAGCTGTTGAGTCGATATTAATCACTCAATCAGCTTGAAAACATCAAGAATATTAGCTATGATACTTGTAGTCCTAGCTCATAGCTTTTAACACCTCTATACGAGATAGACTCGTATGCAGAATAATCGACTAGCAGTGATCCATCTCGACAAATTAATCCACACAATTGACATGTAGCAATAGGAATGTAGATTACTACATCATGCAAATATACATACGCAAATTCAATAAATCATAATGAGGTTAAAAATTCTATTTTCTATCAATATTCTGTCTATAGAGCTATCAGAGTACAAGGTGGTACTTTACTACATCAGAAGCAGTAGCATAATTGAACATACAGGTATAAGAGTATTCCAACGTTATAAACGGTGCAATTCTAGTCAGTTACAGTACTGTAGTGATATCTTTTGACGGCATAATCGTCATATAAAGTACAGCACTAGGTGACGTAAAAGATTCGCTTGTACTTAATAAAGTAATTATAGATAACGGACAGGATGAAATGGTGTATTTTATCGGCTAAAAACCTATTCGTTCTATACTCGTAAACTGAAATTTATAACGAGGAATTAAAACTACCAAGAAGGAAATTGTACACTATCAGCCTACTATTCTCCCAGATATCTATCGATAGTGCAACTCAAAATAGTGATAACTACCTACCGCCAAGAGATCACAGTAAACTATTAGCTTCAGCTTTAGCGATGATGAAATGGTGTATTTAAGCAGTTAAAAGCCCACTCATTATACGCGTATAAACCGAAATTTGTAAGAAGGGATTAAAACTGCTAAGAAGGAATTGTACACTATAAGCCTACTGTCTTCTCCGATATCTACCGACAATACAATTCAAAATACTGACTATTACCTACCGCCAAGAGGTCACAGTAAACTATCAACCCAAACTTTAAAGATAAATTAGCCAATTTTATACCGTAGCTACATAAATATTAATGATACAGTAAGTGTACATTTATCTATGCAAATACGTATCTATGAAATACTAAATAACGGCATTATCAGTAAATATCTAATTATGCTATCTATCAAAACTAAGAGAACAATTTCTTTGCGAAAGTGATATTCATGCAGGAATATGAATATACAATGTGAAATTGTTTTAACATCTAATCGGTGCAGCACTATATATATAGTATGAAGCCCACAATCTCTAATTGTAAGAATAAAAAGATACTCTAATCGGTAATATATTTTATGCATAAGAGAATCAATATTAGAATCACCTTTTACAGCATATAGTATTGAATCGTTACCGTAACAGTAAATTACATTAATCTGTATATCGTTAATGCTTTGGCAGTGGATATAGTACACTTATTAAAGGATCTAATTGTATTTCATTTAAAATTTTATTTTACTTGTAATCTATTATAAAGACTTAAGATAAACTGATACATTACTTCTGCCTAGCAAGTTGCAACAACGATTTGAACTTCTGCATCGATTGGAAGTTAAAGAAATCAATACGATAGGCATCCCATAAATTTAAGGAGGCTTGTAATATTAGAGAAGGTCGTGAAGATGATTCCATTAGTAAAGATTGATAAAAAATTGAAATAAAAATAGAAGGCACCTTATCGGTGAGAGATTGGCGTGATAGCAGCAAGATATTATTAGGAATAAAATGAGAAATTATGCGTATTCAGTCAATTTTATCTGAGAAATCAATAGGAGTTTGTGAAGAGACCATTGGCGCTAATCATTTCTCTCGCTCATAACTAGCAATTATGAAAGACGAAAACCGAAAACAAATCAAGATAAGGGATAAGCATCGATTAGCTTAGCTGTTAATAATATCCATCTTGGTATATATGAATAATTAATCATTAACGTTTTTAATTAAAGTTTATAAGAAGTGATGGTGCTAATAATTTATCGTACTTAATAACCATTCACTAACTGTCAATAAATACTATAGCAGCCTGGTAAATATTAAATTCTGATAGCTAAAGATATACAGGATTCAGAATGAAATTGATAGCTTACTATTCTCCACTAAATTTAAAGATCAATCGTTAAATAATAACACGCAGTAGAGATTCTAATTTCCAATCACACTACTAATTAATTCTAAATGAACGAATTTTTTATACATCTAAAGTTGGCCCTAAAAAGTTACCGCATGATGGTAAGGATAAACATGAACAGAAACAGAACTAGGAATCGCACGTTAAAAGTGTAGCCGCCTAAAAATCAAATATATTTTAATAAGAATCATTTATAAGAATTAAATAAATAATAAGCTACAGCCATACGCCTAAAATTGATTGTTCAATGCCAAGATATCTCTTTAACACAGGCATCGTTTTCACATTCTTGTTGATAATGATAATGTAAAGCAATTAGCCGTTTCTTGTAATACTACAGTCAATAATGTGCAATTTGAAACAATGCTAGTTGTACTTTCTAGATCGGTTATTTGGCAAATAATTTAATATCATTAATCCAACGCTATTATTATGCAATATCTGCTGATGACAGTACAGTAGAGGTATCTGCATTTTTACTCTTCATTAATTATGTAATAATGGAGAGATAGAAGGAGAGTAATGTTAAGTTAGTCATTGCATTATTGAAAAATAGACAATTCACGTCATACAATAAGTTTTTGTGATGGAAAATACTCACTTTGCTGGATGGTTAAACACAATAAATTCCATTTCTTTAACCAGAAATCGCCAATTGAAAGGATTGATAATAATCATCGATATTACAAAATAAAATAGAATAGCTAAGAGTTAATTTCAATGCAGTATCGATATGCTTTGTAAGTCATTGCCATAGCTAAGGAGCATGATCTATTATAATCTTTAATATCAAAGAAAAAATAGGGAAATCAGACAGCTAGAATTTTTCAATACCCTCGATGACTGCTTATTAATTTACTTGAGAAATAAACTATTTCATCTTTCAGCTATTGTCAAATATTTCAAGGAATCGATTGAAGTGAATTAATCGCAACTAGGGGAAAAATAATCCATGACCGCCCAGGGAGTAAACTCTGAATTTTTATTCCATCTGGAATTGTAATACAAACATTTTGACATTCTACATTTCAAGGTAAGACAGATTGGTAGCGAAAGATATCGTCATTGCTTTTAATAGAAGCAATTAGCAAAGTTAACTTGTAACAAAATGAATCCATCACTAGTAACAGACAAAGAAAAATTTTCTATTTTAGCTGTATCGGATGCATTAACTGTCAAATAAATATCTTTAACGACTGTACAAAGCTAAGATTAGAAAAATTAATGGAGCATAATTGAGCGATGGAAGGCGAATTTTTGTTTATCAGCAATCTAGCCATATTGAAATCATTCTGTGGTTTAAAGATTAATTTAATAAATTAAATTTACACCCATGCGGATGTAGTTTGTTCGCTTTTTTTAAGAATAAGGATTAACGCAATTCTGTTTGAAGTAGTGTATGATGAAAGCTATCGATTTATTTTCTACTAACGTAAATGAAAGGATAGTCAGTAGAGTTAGAAGCGAAAGAAGAATACTCTATCTTAAATCATTTTAATTGCTTATTACTTGTTTACTATACGCTACTCGATCCAATGATATTACTGCAGATGCAATTGATTCCCATTTAAACTAGTCTAGATAACTGTATCTATTCGAAATAATGTATTAGAAGAACTTGAAGATGAACGATATATTTTCCTTTTTTCTTACTAACGTTTATGGGAGAAGGCCCAGTCCAATCAGAAGATTCATAATAACACTCCATCATCAACTATTTTAGTCGCTCGTTAACGAACGACTAAAAGCGTGTTAACTTTACACTACTGTATCCAATAATATTGTCCAATAAAACACAATATCCACATCTAAAAATATTCGATTAGTAATGCAATTGTATCCCTATTTATTTTGAATCATTTCAAAAAGTAGCCTGCAAGTCTATAGAACGACGCTGGTTCTTTTATTGTCTATCGACTTTTAAACACATCCAGTAATAATACACTTCCTGCAATTTTCTATAATTGGATTAGTGGTGATAATTTTCAAGTTTCTTTTTCAACACTATGTTCAATAAAGATAATTCATTTAAGCTTGATCATTAAAATGAACCTAATATTGAGGTGGAGAAATTTGTTATTATTTTAATAGTGTAAGACGGTATGGCCAATTCATTTACCGCAGAGCCATCAAAGTCAATACCCAATGTTAACTTCATTTCAAAATATATTACGTTGTGGTAAGTTTCTTTCTGTTTTGAGATATTGCAATGAAGAAAAGGATAACAGTGATAGAGCTACTCGATGAGCGATACCAAGTTATTTCAATCCAGTTACTAAAAGAGTGTAAAGTTATATAGCAATTTCTTTCTAGTCATATAGAATTCCACTTTCGGTTTATCTCTCCTTGTTAAAAATGTTTAGATCGATACTATGGATAGTATGTAATTTATTGATCTCATTTTTGTCTTACATTAACCATTTATTGAAGTTATTCATTAAAATCATCCCTTTATCGTGATGCTTTTTTGGATAGAATTTTTTTCAATTTAAAGCATAGGAATAGAGTAAATTACAGTTTTATTGTAAGTCTGTCTATAGGATGCCAATTTTGGTTTGTTTTTGCTGGTCAAAAATGATCAAATTGACGCTACAGCAATCAATTCATCGATTTCATTTTATCTTACGTTAATCATTTTACTCAAGCTACTTATTAAAGTCATTTCATGATCATGATGCATTTTTGGATATTATTATTTATCAATTAAAGTATAGGATAGAATAAATTACAGCTCTATTGCCAATCTCTTAACCAAATGGACTATTTTTACTTTAGGTGGTTAAATACTTTATTCCGTACTGGAAATAAAAGATGCCTTGAAAAAAGCGATTTATATAATTTATATGAAGAAGATAAAGCTGAAGCTTCTGTTAATAAATTCGAAAAGTATGTAACTTAAACTTGCCTTCAAATGAATGACCTATTTCACGGTGCAGATGTTTAATTATCTACCTTAATTAATATGCTCTATGTTTACCAATGAAAACAATCGCTTTCTAGACCTGAAAGTAAAACGAGATAAATAAGATGATCAATCTATAATTGGGCGTAATTAAACTCCCACTTTCTTAATACTTTGATATTTGGAGATCTAAATTTTCCGGGTATCTAAGTAGTCACCCTATGAATTCTATAATCAGCAGCCATTTTACATTGTAAACAATACTTTAATATTCTGATATTCAGAAGAGGATCCAAGTTTACCTGAGTATCTAAGTAGCCATATTATAAATTTTATATTCAGTAGTTATTTTGCACTGCAAGACTTAATACTCTGACATTTAGAAGATCTTTCTTAAGCAGTACCTTTCTGCAATATTTTTCAGTTAGAATTTTAATCTTCACACTTTATTACCAATATTTTGATATTTCGAATAGAATCTTATAAGAATAGAAATAACATTATATTAAACGCCTGTTTAAAGTGGAAATAGCTGCTATCAAAAAAATTGAATAGCACATAGAATATCTTTAGAATGTAATATAGCTGTCGACGATGAATTTCAAAATATGGCTATTCAGATATTCAAGAAGTTAATAGTGCTGCGTTACTTGTAGAGCGGTTGTGCTGTAATTTCTTACCGTTATGAGCTTAATGTTTTTAAAATTTGATGGAGGAGACATGGCTTAAACTAGTCAAATCTATTATAATGAAAATCTTTTATTGTGATTTTTTTGCTTGTGTTCTAAGTCTTACTTGACACGAATGTCTAGAATTACTGTATTGCTATCTTGCTGAGTAAAATACTTTTCCAGCAGGCAGCAGCTCTGCCAAAATAATAGCCATAAACTACAAATTGAAATTGTAAATTTCCATTAGCCTGTTATCCTGTTATTAGTTGAGTGAGTGATTTTCACACATCCATCAAAACCAAAGATTCTAGATGATATCAATCTATCCATTCTGCAAAGAAATGCTGAGGATACTCAAATTTCGCTTAAATAAAGTCATTCTCTAAGTTTTAGTTCAGTCTGGTAGAATAGACAAATTCGGTAGTATACATTAGCCTACATTAAAGAAAGACACGATACCTTCGAGTTATATATGTCAACAGCAGACGTGAAATATCAAAGGCTTTGGCCTATTTCTTTCAATATTTTGGCCGATGATGCACACGTACAAGATTATTTTTGAAATTTGAATAATTATATTTCTATCCTTTTATAGTATTAGTCTATAATTTATCATTTGAATGTCACTGTATCCTCGTTTTTAATATGAATAATGAACTTTGAAAAACCAATCCCTCCAGTCTTATTAACCTAACAGAAACATCGATGCACCGTGTAACCTAATTTTATACAATCTTTCAACATAGTTTTTGTTTGTAAGCCAATACTGAATCAATTTTTTACCTTTTTCTTCTATTCCATCCCATCAAGTATAGCCATATGTTTTACAATAGTATAATGCCTCGATTCGCTTTTAGACAGTCAATAATTCAACTCTTATTTCAATCAGATATGCAACAATACGATCGTTTATTTACTGTCTTGTTACTATATCATGCGCAGGGAATGGGCAAAGGAAAGCAAGAAAGCTAGTAAAATCTATACTCCTAGTTTACAGCTAGCCATCGTTAAAGCTTTTGGCTTTAGCTTTATGCTATTAGGCATTCCATGCTTCTTAGAAGTAAGTATTATAGCAATTAATGCAATTTACCATGATTCATTTTTACTTCCGCTGTGAGAATTTTAGATAATTCAATTAAAGGAATTAAAAAGGAGCCTCTAAAATTATCGATGCAATAGTTTATATACAGTAGGTATACCGTGCAGTGTTTACTCTTGATTATTATGATAGTGAGAAATGGTACTCTGTACAATTTATTCCTTGCGAACTGAATACTATAATTTACGGTTCTGAATTCATCTTTAATGTTGAGAAAAATGTAAAAACTGTGAATAGTGATTAATTACAAACCTAGACTTATTAAATGTAGATATTGAAGATAATCAATGCCGAAAGGCATTTGGTATAGGATGTATACTTTAGCCCTTATAATTAGCTACAATATAAAATCAGCGACGTCGGGGTCAGTTTCTCCGTAGATTATTAAGCAGTAATTGAGGTACCTAAACGAATTATAAATTAAATAATAATTACCTTGTAAGCTTTCTATTTGTCACGATTGCTAAATAAATGTAAATAACTCTGGATAATAGTAAAATATAAACCTAGACTATTTCAATATAGATATTGTAGACAATCTATTGGTAAAAGATACTAGACATACAGTAGAATATATATGTATTCTGGTTCTTATACCTAGCTATGGTATAAAACTAACTATGTCAGAATAAGTTTTGCCGTAAACTTCTAAGCAGTAACCAAGGTACCTATATCAATATAATTTAACTAAAAATAACATTTTTAGCTTTCTACTTGTCTTTAGTGCTTAACTAAATGTCAATAACTCTGGATAGTGGATAGTGGTTAAGTAGAAACCTAGACTACTTCAATATACTGTAGAGATTGTAGAAATTTTATGGCAAAAGATGCTAGATATACAGTAGAACGCATACTTTGGCTCTTATAACGAGCTCTAAAACTAACTAGATTTTTAAGCTTTCTATTTGTCTCTATTGCTATCAATGTTTAAATTCTTTTACCGAGATGTTTTACGGTTATTCTGAATCGGTAAAAATTATATACAATTAGCAAGCATCTGATCATTCTCAAATAGTCATGATACCCTTTCTATATGATTACGGTAGGTAGAATCGTTTGCAAATTTTTATAAGCAACTCTTTATTTTCAACATTAGGAATCGATAAAAATAGCTCAGCCTCTCTTAATTGGACAAATTGTCAACTATTTTACCACCGATACAACTGTTACTACTACGGAAGTTTATTTTTATGCGCTTGGTTTAAGTCTATCGGTCTTTTTAACCACCGTTCTTGATCAAATCTACTACTATGCCGTCGAGCGATTCGGTATGAGAATTAGAGTAACCCTTTGCTCAGTCATCTTTAAGAAGGTAAGAATCGATATCTATAAATGTGAAAACTAGCTATTGATTGTCATCCTTGATGATCCAAACTTGAGCCCACTTGATAAATCAGTTATTATACCGTTATGAAGGCTATCTATCTATGATTTTATAAATAATATCGTAGCTAGATGTCTCTCCACGATGATATTTGTATACTACCTTAATTAGTTAGAATCAAGGTCTAGTAATCAAACTAGTATTAACATTGTACCATTCTATTTATCGATTTTAGTCCAAGATCTGGTGATTGTTTACTAGCCATATAATTGTTATAGTGACGATGATTATAAAGTCATTACTTATAAAGGGTTTATTCAGAGATTTTGTGATAGATTACTAGCCATCTAATTATTACATATAACGATGATAGTTATAAAGTCATTATTTTAAAGAATGAGTATATAAAGATTTTCCGATTGATTACCAGTCATCTAATTATTGTAACGAGAACACTTACACAAGTCTTTATTTAAGTTAAAAGAATGAGTTTCAAGATTTCATAATCGATTATCTATATTTAATTATTAGCCATCCGATTATAGTAACAATCACCGCTGTAAAGTTATTACTTAAAAGAATTATTTCAAAGATCTTATGATCGATCACTAGCCATGCAATGATAGTGATGATGGCAGTTCTAAAGCAATGATTGAGAAGAGAATTAATGCAAGGATAGTTGTGATCGACTATCAGTACTAGCCATGCATAGACAGTAGCGATGATAGTAATAAATAATCATTGTCTAGAAGAGTTAGTAGGTTTTGCGATCGATTAGTGGTCATGCAATTATTGCAACAACAACAGGTTAAAGTAGCTATTTAAAAGAATTTATTCAAAGATCTTGTAATAGATTACTACCTATACAATGACCTTAACAGTGATAGGGATAAAGTAATATTGAAAAGAGTTGACATAAAGATCTTATGATTGATTACTAGCCATGCAGTTATTCACAAAGATAGCTAGATAACAATTTTAATAACACCATCTGTAATTAAAGTTTTTAGAAGGTTATTTTCAGCTCAGAAAATAAACAGATTCTCAATTCAAGAGTAATGCAATAGATAGCTATCATTTTTATGCCACATGCCTGTCGCAATTTATTTATTCACTCTTCATTTAATGTGTAAAATAGAGTCAAGATACGCGCTAACCGCCACATTCTTTTTAACGTAATATCCTGACTAGGTTCTAAAACTATCGACGGTGGTCATGTCTAATGTTTCAACGGGGCATATATTAAATTTAATGGCCAATGATGCACAACGATTCGATGAAATTCCTACAACACTCCATTACATCTGGATTGGCCCTATACAAGTCATCGTTTTGACAATTTTATTATGGCGAGAAATTGGTATAGCATGTCTTTCAGGCCTAGCGGTTATTCTCTTGCTGCTACCTGTTCAGATTCTCATGGCTAAATTTGCTGTTCGATTTAGGTAGGCTAATACATAATGGCTTATGCTGGGGATTCTAAAGAGAATATCTCTTAAAGTCCTTGCTTATGGGCTGCACATAGCCCTGGCCAATCTTTCATTTCGCTAATAACGAATCTGCTAAATAGAAGATACCAAACCTATTCATAACAGTTCATGAATCAGCAGATCTTTAGCTTTCTTTCTGTTAAGATTCTGATTATAAAGGAAATAAAATATTGATTATTAGTTGTTTATCAAATACTTTATGACCATCCATACGGTAATAGCTCCTTCCTGTTGATAATGATGATGATTAAAAGTCTACAACTTAATGCATCGGCTATGATTGCAGTTATTATTCGTTGTCACGTAATAAAGAATTGCTCTATGCTCTTCCTAGACGATACTATCTGGAAAATGCCGATGCTAGAATACGGGTTATGAGTGAAATAATCTCAGGGATGAAAGCAATCAAGATGTATGCATGGGAAGAATCTTTTTCAGAATCGATCGAGAGCTCTCGAAAGTGAGTGTTCTTGTCTCGCTTTGAGCTGGTAAAATGTTCTTTAAAATGTCAATAGGACTCTCATTACTACATAAATGAAAGTTATAATTCTCTGTCCTCCATAACTTCTCATTTCTAAACCAATTATAATCCTATCGATTTATAAATTTATACGTATACTAACCTTCCTCTTAGAAGTGTCAATGTAACTCCTGTTGTGACATGAATTAGATTTATGAGTATATCATATCTCCCTATTTTTACAGGAACTATGTTTTGTGATTCGTAAACTTTTATAGCTCAAGCAAATTCTCCTATTAGAGAACGAATCTTTATCCATTTATATGGGATCTGCAGCTGATCATGGTGTTTAAAATTTTGTTTCTATCTTACAGGTTTGAGCTTTCTGGGGCTAAAAATGCCGCTTACATGGCGACCGTCAATACCGGGCTCTTTCTAATCTCATCGACGCTTATTGCTTTTACCACTTTTATGACACAAGTACTTCTTGGCAAGCGTTTATTGCCTTCCATGGTGTTTACCGTATTTTCATTGCTAACGGCACTGCAATTGCCCATATTATATGGTATCCCCAAATCACTACAGAGCCTTTTTGAAGCTAGAATTTCATTAAAGACAGTCGAGGTACTACTTTATCGTTAACTACTTTACAGTTCAGGCTAAGTTAATGAAAGAAAATTATTCCATACTTAACGACGATGGATAATTACTTACATGTTTAATCTGCAATGACAATCATATTTTCTTCTCCTGCAATACTGCTAAATAGCCCATAGCACGATTAATTTTATATAATTTTCATAGTTCGGATTAAGATAATTTACCAAAAATTATTCCATCCTTAAATATGATGAAGAAAATTACTTATCTGTCTAATTTACAAAAATAATCATTTGCTTTGCCCTTGTAATACTGCCAAATAGCCCATACCAAGGTTAATTTTATTTTTCATAGTTCAGATTAAGTTAATTAACCAAAATCATCCCATCGTTTAATATTATGGAGAAAATTACTTCCTCTTCTAGATTGCAATGATAATCACTTGTTCTTGCCCCTATAATATTGCCGAATAGCCCATAGCATAATAACAAAATTGGAGATAAAATAGAAATTAATGTCGGTAAAGGCTCGTATCTTGTTCCAACCTAATCATCTCCTTGAATGCATCATAGGCTTTCCTCAATTTAAAAGACTCAGTTAATAAGGCCATTAAGCATGACGAAACGGTAGAAGATAGTGAAGATTCTTTCGTTACAATTGATCATGTTAGTGCAGCCTGGGATGGCGATCCACTCTTTGAAGATCTCTCTTTATCCATTGAATCCAATAAGTTATACGCCATAGTAGGCCCAGTAGGGTGTGGAAAGACCTCATTGCTGATGACTTTGTTAGGGGAAATGACAATCTTGCGAGGATCTATAAAGTAAGTTTAAGCTAATAAGATGCTCCTGGATAAGCCAATTAGATATACAATACGAAACTTTCTTCAAATTGTATATCACTAATTGTAATGCTTGTTATTTTGTATCAAAGTATGAGAGGAAAGGTAGCTTACGTTCCACAGCAACCATGGATTCTACCGGGCACCATTCGCGATAATATTCTCTTTGATAAACCAATGCGTCAAGAGCGATATAATCGAATTCTCCGTGTTTGTGCTTTAAATAAGGTTTGCCTGTCAGGGTAGAGCTAGGATAAAAATAAAAATAAGCAACGAATGATAAGCAACAAAATTGTCTTTGCATCCAACTTTTTATTTCTGTACGTTAGTTTACTTTATTAATAGAATTGATATACAGTATATTGAGAGTTTTGCGACAAAGTAAAAATGGCATTTACAAAATGATTCTTTAGCATAATCTTGTTTTATCATTCCTTGTAGATGGTGTAAACTATACATTAATGTGTAGTTTAGTTTAATGTTGTGTGTGAGTTTAATTGCTAAATAAATTTTTTTAGCCATTGATTGAAATTGATAGAAATTTTCTTAGATAGTCTATAAACCGAGATGTCAATAATTAATCGTATACTAGGATATCGAAAAGTTGCCATTCAAAGACGATACTCGAATTGGTGAACGTGGTATTCAATTAAGTGGAGGTCAGAAAGCTCGAATTTGTTTGGCAAGGTATTTCTTATACTGGCTAAGTGAGACGCAAGAGTACCAATTCATATCCACTCCATTCTGTTGCTATTGCCATTTCTTGATAGTTGACGATTAATTTATAGCTAACTAAAAGCCTTCGTATATGAACAGTGTTTACATCCGTAAGAATATTCATTGATATTAAAAATTAAACATGGACTGCAATTACCGTCAGTATTATTTGTATCCAATTAGATTAGTAACGTGGCATAAATCTAAGCAACAATTGCCGCATTGATGTTGTATTTCTTACTTGAACGATTTTTGTATCGCTCATCGTTATTTCAAATTCTAGCAGTTGTATGCGAAAGCGGGTTCAAAAATTACTGCCAGTTTAGCGTAGCTGTATACTAGCGAAGCCATTGAATGTTAATATAGTGTACACTAATCAATTTTTCAATGCCGCGTAATAAAATGAATATGTATTATTTTCTAACTGGATTTAGGGCATTATATATGGATGCAGATATCTATCTCTTGGATGATCCTTTCAGCGCAGTCGACATTCGAGTTGGAAGACATATTTATCAGCAGTAAGCTGCGACAGTAAACTGTCATCGTGATACTATTTCCTACGATAGAATATTTCTCTCCTCTTGCTTGAATATCCTATTTAATTTGCCTTACGGTCATTTAGAATAGAACTATACATTAATTTATAGCTAGAAAGCGTATTTCTGATCAGTAGTATCGATGTCTTAAAGTAGATTACTGCAGTGCAACAAGAATATTCAGTTTTTAATTACTCCCATGATCGATTAAAACTATCTATTGACATATTTTTATCTTTCAATATGATTAGTATAATCTACAAAATCAATACTAATATTTTTTAATATTAAATAGCGCTTTCATGATGTTCTGTATTCACTTATAGGTGCATCATTAATTATTTGCAAGATCGGCTTCGAATTCTTGTTACGCATCAACTCCAATTTTTAAGAAAGGCTCATCAGATTGTAATCTTGAAAGATGGTAGAATTGCTGCAATAGGCACTTATTCCGAACTAGCTAAAAGTGGTATTGATTTTACCTCTTTAATGACTGAAGAAATTGAAAGTAAACAAGCACGAATCTGTAAAAAAGTTCAACGTAATCAAAAGTAAGGATGAAATTCTTTTAATTATGTTAAAAACTAATGACTCACAAAGGTATAGATTAAAATAGTTTTTCGTATTACGATAGCATTCATGGCAGTTTTTCTTTTCCATTTGATTCCATACTAAATTGGGTGACAAATTTGTATTGCTTACTATTTTGATATTCCGATTTCATCTGAAATGGATTCAATCTGTACCTATTAATTAATTAATTACTATATAGAACTACTTCTATCATGAATGCAGTATTTAAGCATAAAGCGTTGATAATTGGGAAAAATAGTAATCGGATTTATAATCCAAATACACTAGGAATCGTTTTATGTTAAAGTCTATTTCATTTGATGCGAGATAATATAAGTAATATTTTGAATAAGTGCGATCGATAATAGAGCATTTAACCATAACTGACTTACGAAGTAAATCTTTATACTCTCTTTAATTTACTTTTTTCGAATAATCTCAATAGCATCGTATCATCTCGAACTGCAAGGAGAATGACGAGAGAAAGAGTTGATCGAAATTTATCCTTGTGCAAAAATAAAGTAAATCGGCACCCATCTATGTATGTTACCGTCCCCAATCTTGAGGTATAATATTGCAATTCGTTAGACTGACAATATAACAATACTTTGTATCTCTGAATTTATGTTGATTTGGCACCAAAAGATAATAATAGTAGTACGAGAAGTATATAATGATTACAATTTTAAATTATTCATATATTTTTCGATGTTGATGAAAAAATGAAGATTCTATTTAAGTTTTGCTTTTTCAAAATTGCTTAAAGTAATTATATAACTTTTTAAATCATATCCTACATGGATTGACATTAATGTATTTAAATCAACATTTAATCTAGTTTAAGCATTGATTAAAATTAGCAGAATAGCAATAGTAACTTAAATTATGTCACATAATGATCGATATTAATAGAGAAATATCTTCGACTCGTATTAAAACTGGCAGATATTTGACGCAGCTGAAATCGGAGCTGATGTAGATGAAGATATTATAGAAGACCGGCAAACTGGAGGAGTGGCGTTACATGTCTATAAAGCTTATTTTACTGCATCTTCTCCATTAATATTACATTTGTTTCTCATCATTTTATGTGCAATTAGTCAAGGATGCGCAATTACAGCTGATTGGTGGCTTTCCCAGTGGTGTAATAGTTTTGTAGTCGTAGCTAATTCTTCCGTTGCTTCAGATAATTCATCTGCAACATCTTTCGTTAATAACGCTTTCAATAGTAGCGTAGAATTGGATCAAGTTCTGCTATATGGATTATCGAATAGACTAGTTATCATTATTTATGGAGCTTTAGTCTTTATTACAGTATCTTTATGCTTACTAAGATCAACAACCATCGCTAAAGTGGCAGTAAACGCGTCTAGAAATCTTCACAGTCTCATGTTTAAATCAGTTATGAAAGCACCGATTCATTTCCTTGCTTCAAATCCATCGGGTAAATAAATATTATCTTACTTTATCGTTTAATCATCTTGGATTATTCGTTTTATTATTAATTAATTAATAACCTTACAGTGTATTTTAAGGCTAAAAATGAAATACGTATTACCTCGATCATAACGATAATAGTCCTGTATAAAATTGAGCTTTTGTACCAAAGATCATATTACAAATTTCATCATTTTATAGGTATCATTTTAAATCGATTTTCCAAAGAAATTGGAAGAATCGATGATTTAATGCCAATTACATTAAGTTATGTCGTGCAGGTTAGTGATTATCGCGAATTAATTTCTGCCAATAGTTTAATCATAAAGATTAACCAATGCAAGTAGAGAGCATTAAACTATATACTACAACTTATATCTAATTTAATTCTATAGTAGATTATGTCTTAGAGGTAAAGCTATATTTCGTAAATAAGTCAATCATGCTTAAAATAGATAAAATATTAATGTTTTTAATTGACATATCACTTCTTATTGAAGATTGATAAATGATTTTTATCAAACTATAAATTCTCTGTCTCCATCTTATTCATATAGTATTCCATGTTTAGCCTTGGAGCCGTAGTTGCAAGTAGTATTGTTAATCCTTGGGTACTTGTACTTATCCTTCCTATGGGTTTACTCTTCTTTTTTATGCGAAAATATTATCTGAATTCATCCAGAGCGCTAAAAAGGCTCGAGGCTACGGGTAAATGAGACGGAATTAATCGTTCAAAAATTAACATAAAGCATAACCTTTTGATGCAATATCTGTAATATCAACGGGTTTCATATGCTCTACTGCCTCATTAATATTAATATTTCTGATTAGCCACTAGCCCAGTTTACTCTCATATTTCGACAACACTACAAGGATTAGCTATTATTCGCAACTTTGGAATGGAGAAAGAATTTATCGATCAATTCTTTCATTTTCAAAATGACCATACCCAAGCTTGGTTTTTCTTTATGATAGCGACACGTTGGATTGCTTTCCATCTTGATTTAATTTGTAGTCTATTCATAGCTGGTGTTACTTTTGGAGCTATCTGGGCGAAAGATGCTAGCGGTAAAATAAATAATATTCTTTCAGGAATCGATACCACATTGCTTCCAATATTACAATACTTTAGCTCCGATGCGGATTTGTAACGACATTCAGTATTTTTGACAAGGCAATATTTTCCTGACAGACTTAGATGCAGGACTAGTGGGGCTATCTTTGAGCTATTCTATCTCTCTACTTGGAAACTTCCAGTGGAGCATACGCCAGAGTGCAGAATTAGAAAATCAGGCATGTAAAGAAAGAGTTAAGACCAGTTAATGTTCCTATATTTATAATATATCTGGTTTCGCATTCTAGCACATGCAAGTTAAAGCCTCGATTATTTCCCTTAAATCTTAGCTTAATGTAATACAATACTCGTAATTCATGACAGAAAATGTTGATATTTTTGGTTTATTTTTCACTTTAATTAGATGACTTCTGTTGAAAGGATAGTCAGCTATACGAATCTTGCCGAAGATGGGCGTTGGTATACGGATAACGATCCATTACCAAATTGGCCAAAAAATGGAAAAATTCAGTTTGATAATGTGACATATGCCTATGATTCGTCTCTACCGCCAGTTTTGCATGATCTATCTTGCACTATTCAGCCTAGAGAGAAGGTATGAATAAATTAGTTTTAGCTTGTAACTAAAATATTTCCGGAATAAGACAAGACAAGATAGAATAACTATTCTATCTTGTAAACTCTGTTCATACAGCTACATTATAGTAGCAGCGATTAGCAGCATATGAGAAATTCTATCAGGGAGCAAGATAATTACGGTGGTAAAGCCCATACATAGGTTAAACCCAGTCTATATGGGCATTATACAGCAGTAATAAGTTGCAACCTATACCGTACGGAAAGCTATTCTAAAATATACAATGCACTATAATTTCGTATCATAATTTTTTTATTACTATTCTATGCAAACATTCGCTATAAACGAGTTACTAAAGTAATAGATTCGCTTAGTCATAAGTTTGGCAACCAAGTTGTATTTCTTTTGACCTATTACCGGTAGACAATCGCTTTTAAAGACACCTGATTAAAGTTTATATACAAGTATCATTCAGTAAATATACTGTGGTTAGGGAGATGCAGTAATAGATATTAATGCTACCTAATTTTTATCATATACGAGTATAATATATTACTCGTTTTCTTAAAAATTTTTATTCCTTACCAGTCAGCTTGATATCGCCAAAAGGAATCTTTTGAGAACATAATTACTTTTAAATTTGGAATCTGTAGTTATTTTACTTCATTACATTATATATCGAGATTTATATACTTAGAGCTCAAATTATGTCATATAATAAGTAGATGTACTAATTCTGTTGCTAAATAGATTGGAGTAGTAGGTCGCACTGGAGCTGGTAAATCGACGCTATTATGCGTATTATTTCGACTTTCTAATTATTATGGTGACCTTGAAATTGATGGAGTAGAAATTTCTAGAATTGGTTTGCAAGCTTTAAGAAGTAAATTATCAATCATTCCTCAAGTAAGTCAATATTTTATTTTGTATATATTGTCGGTTGTAGAATCGAGATAAATTGCAGAATTTTAAGAGAAATCGAAGATAAATATAATAAATTAATGAATTAATTAATTATGCATTGTACTTAAAATTATTTCAGCTTTTTTATTTATGCCGTATCGGATCAATCTTAATATTTAGGAACCTTTTCTTTTTACGGGGACTCTTCGAAGCAATATCGACCCATTTTCTGTCCATGATGATGACCTAATATGGGAAGCAATTGATAATGTTTGTATAATTAATTATCAATAAATTATAATAGTATAGTGACTATCATATGCATAATAAGGTATTCTTAGAATAGAAGCAATGATAAATATTTTAAAATTACATTATGAGATTATTAAATTATGACTTTCAACTGATTACCTATCACACTTTAGTCATTTTATAGGATGATTTCAATATAAATGTCGTGTTCTTTTTTAGTTTATGTCGAAAGATAAATATTAAATTAGCTTCAATTTTCATTTCAAAAGGCTCAGCTAAGAGATGTGGTTGAAGAACTACCTGAAAAGCTTGGTTTTAAAATCACCGAAGCTGGTGCTAATTTTAGTATCGGACAAAAACAGTTGATTTGTTTAGCGCGAGCACTACTTAGGAATAATAAAATTCTATTAGTTGATGAAGCGACTGCCAATCTTGATCCACAGTAAGCTGGCTTTGATGTTACAAGATTAAAATTTACCGACTAGACTGCTTATTAAATCATTTTTACCAAATAGGACTGACGCAATTATTCAAAAATCAATTCGAAAACATTTTAAAGATTGTACAGTCATTACTATTGCTCATCGTCTAAATACCATCATTGATAGTGATCGAATTCTGGTAGGCTCTATAAAGTATAAAAAATTCAAAGTCGCTACTTTGAGATTAATATCGATAAATTATTGATATAATTTTATTTCAGGTGTTAGACGCTGGTCAATTGATACAATTTGATAGCCCTCATGAACTTTTAAGTAGAGAAGATGGGCTCTTTCATCAGATGGCAAAACAGGCGGGCTCATCCGAATTAGCAAAGTTAAAAGAGATTGCTAAAAAGAAATACGATGAAAATATGGCAACACTGGCTGTCATGCGATACCGTTCCAATACGGAGTGTCGCTCAAATGATAGTACGACAGAGATAAAGGACATTGAATACATTCAAATTGGAGAGAGAACTTATAGCATTTCAATCACCTATGCCGATAGTGATGATAACGATAAAAATCTTGATCCCTACGTTCCCATACTACCTGATGAAGTCAGTATTTCACTCAATTCTTTCGCAATTGAAAGTGATAATGAGACTAATCTTAATAAGCATAGCGATTATGAGAACAGACAAGTTGCCCCTAATAAAATCTCTCAATCAAATTCCCAAGTTGCCGCCAGTGAGATTTCTCGATCGAATTCAGGATCCAGTACAGGTTCCAGCGGTAAATGGGTATGAAGTAATTGTTTTCCGTGTGTCGCGTCTTTCATTATGGTCTATAACAAGTTCTGGCGACTAATTTATTTTGAAATTATTACTTTTACATGAAGTTGCCAAAAAAATTTTAATACCACTTTTGATTCTCAAATGATTATAGATTGAGCGTGTTTATTACATTTCACAGCCGTTAAATTAAATATATGTACTATGTGAAATACTTTGATACCGGTTTCTGTAAAAAGCCAGTAGTACGGATGTATTCGCATAATTAGGTTATTATAGTAAGTATATTTCCGAAACATATTTGGAACAACCTGAAATTCACTACGGCACAGTTTGTATTTGTTACATAGAAATGCTTTAATATTGATGCATTTATCGAAATTGAAGAGCTTTGATTGCCATTTCTAAAGCGCCTTCTTTTGTTTTGTTACCACCAATAAATCCACCCATATGAACAAAGATACAATCTTTGATCCCACTTTCATTACTTAAGTCGGCTTCCCGTAGTCCACGCCAGTTTTGAGGAAGCGACAATCTAGCATAAAAAATTTGTTCAACGATAAGCATAGATTTTAATCGATATTTTAGGCATTTTAAGCATATCGATCCACTTTACCTGTTTTCAAACCTCTTATGTCTTTCTGGCACACACTGTACTCTCCAATTGTTATTCTGATCCGAATATAAAACATATTTAAGCGTCGGATTGGTCTGCAATTTTTGTTCAATGACATATAAATGCTCTTTCCAAGGGCATCCACCATTTTCAAGTAGTATTATTTCTCCACTTTCATGAATCTAAAATGAATCAAAACAAAAGCCGTTGACTTATGAGCTTCCCTCACAGTTTCTTTTGGTGATACAGAATAGAATACGACCGATCTACTTCTATAAGAATGTAATAAAGTCAATATCGTGCGAATATGATATCAGTTCAAGACTTACTTGATGTCGATTCTTAACCGCAGCTTCAACGATTTCCCTAGCTGGATACCAAACATTGCAAAAGTATAAAATTTTATCTCGAAGTTCCGAGCCAACTAAATCCATTGCTTTAACAAATTCTTTCTAAGAGTAAAATTAGTCTAGTTAATACCACCTTTATACAGTGATTCTTGTAACCATAGCAAGAATGTGAATGATGGTTAGTACATTGTGTAATACAATATTTATCGTAGATTATGAAATGTTACAATTGACTTTAACGAGATGTCCTACTATATAGTGTGATAGTATGATAACTCGATTTAGATAAATGCGTTCTCGAAGATACGCCAATTCTTATCAGAGATAAATATGAGCTTTACAACATTTTTAGGCCATTACTAATTGAAAATATTATCTATTTTATTCATACATGAATATTATTAGACTATGATAAATTCCTAAATTTAACTCCGATTAACTATGCATATACTGTCGTGTAATAAAAGTATATCAGATTATGTCTCATTAGCTTTTAAATAGTATTGGCATAAATGAGATAACTTATAACTAGGAACAGTCGCACTTGGGGTAGTGTGTCACTAAAATAAGTTGCGAACTACCGAATGCACTCACCAACGGATTAATCTATAGTAGTGGGTAGCATTTAAAATATCTTCAAGCTAAGCTATAGTCTATCAGCTTTCCTAACTAATTAGCTTTCTTCTAGACATTACTAGTGAAGTAATTACCTTATCGTAAATAGCCCTCAGTTATAGTTAAAATTTGTTGCGAGATCTACTTTACATGTGATAAAATAGCAGCGATTTAACGTCGATAATTTTTTTCCAAAAATCATATCACCGTAGTAGATGTGAAACGAATGAAAGAGTAATAAACGAAACAATGCATACAATAGCTAGGCATACATAAATTTCTATATTCGCAATATACTGTAATGATTAGAGCAATAAAATAAAGATATTACGATAACATCAAGAAAGATATCTTCGCGTAGGTACGTAATGATAATAAATTATGAAAATTAGACAGATCTATATTGCATTAAAGTCTGCCTAAAAAATTTAAATTAATTAGTCAATTGTATGTGGTTGACAGTGACGTACATCAGGTAGTGGTTGCTTGCAATTCCATGCAGGATTTAGATGGCTTACACGAGCACTGACGCCAGTTGTAATTAAATACCTGTTGAATGGAAGTTCAGAACGCATGAAAATGTTATCTTAATAAGAGGAAATAGAGATATAGAATAGATATCTAAATAATATATTGTATATACACATACTTCGAATATTGTTACTGGATAATTGAGTAGTGCACGCTTAAGCGAATTAATGGAATAAATACATCGCCGGTATAATAGATAAAGGTATTCCAAATTCTAACACAAGCAGTAGAATTGTAATAGCAACACCTATTGTAAATATTTTTACACTTACTGGTTTTAAACTAAATAAGACAATTTACGTAAGTAATTGTATTTCTAGTCATCATGCTAAAGATCATCTTGTGCACTGTAAATGTAAAATTATACAGGTACATCTAAACAAAGCACATCAGTAAAAGTACAACTATAGTAGTCTCCTAAAATTAATAAACACTACCTCGCCGTTTCCTCCGTTTGAGAAATTCCATTGTCAATGGCATCAATCTCCTCCAAGAAATTTTCATATACTTTATCGTAAATGATATTTAATACGTTTGAATCCAATTCTCTATTAGCGATTTCTGTAATAACGCGACGGCCATAATGCAGGTAAATTAAACCGGCACTACTTAATTTCGTTTGATAATTGAGAGAACCCAGAGATTGCATAGTTCCATCGAAGGTTCTAAATTATTTGTTATATAAAAATTTAAATCGACTCTGCTAACGCATTATAGGTGTGTGTACGCACATATATTACATGCAGTACTTTAAATAGTATATTGAAAGTTTATGTGTTTTATCCTAGAGTTTAATATCCAATATTTTTGCTGCAACCACTATCAAGTATGATACAGTAAAATGAGAAATACTTTTGCTATATTCAGGGTTAGGCAGCTCATTGCAAAATCGCCTAATCCGATTACAAAGCGCGTGTTGACAGAGCTGGTAATTAAAATCTTGGCTTTAGTATTGTACAAGATCTACAGTATGTTATTGTAACATACTGTACGTACTGTACTTAAGCAAATTTTTCTGTAAAGTACACTGTACAAGTTAGTAGTATGAATTTGTAATCACGATCGGAAATGATACATTTCTTAAATAGTCGTAATTTAGGCTGTTGTTAGATAAATTTAAGACATTATATGGAATTGTTCAACATTATCAATCTACCTTTGGTGATGATCATAACGATTTTTATCATGATCATATATCCCACCGACATCGACAACGATATCACAGGTATCCAGCAATTTTTCATCGCGAGTGCGAATAACTTCAGCTGATGTATATTCAGGAAGTGTTTTCAGCATGTAGCAGGCAAGAGCCTCATCACAGTGAAATGTTCCATTGTGTGTACCAATTTTTTTCCCCATAGCATACGTTTTTTGCCTTTTAGGCATAGAATACATACTAGAGAAGAATACAGGCAGAGCAGTAGCAGGTCTTTTAGCACTTAGGGATGTAACTGTTAAACCGTATCGCCAGATAGAGCCTATACGATGAATTATGAAAGTGTGTCAGTATTATCTTATATTGATTTTTGTTTGCTTAATAAGTATGTACAATTTGCACAAGTCTCGATTGCAAGATGCGATTGGTCTGCAGAATATATAAAGTTCTAGAAGCTATCAGCGGTCTCGAAACTGTGCAGTGCTTACATGCAGTAATAATCCTAATTAATTAAATATTAAGTATTCTATAATTAATTTAGAGTGCACCAGCTATACTGGTGTAAATTGTAAGTTAATATCAGAAGCAGCTCATCGATTTGACAATTTAAAGATTTTATGTTCAGTACCACTTGCCTCTCACAATTGCAAATTGAATGAGTTCCGTGTTGGGAATCAGAGTCGTATTCGAGTTGCAGCGAAATAGAGATAACCTTTAATAATTTCGAGGCAAATATTAGCAGCAATGATGGCAAATCAGTATACTCGTATTGTACACTTAAATGCACATGCTAGTCAATCTCTTACCCTTTTTTTACTGTGATGGAAAATTTCTGCAAATGTAAGCATAATATTTGGCCGTCCAGTGTCCAGTGTCCATGCCACTGCCACTTGACAACTCAACCGACATTGTCAGTTGTACACTCACAGTGTACAGTACAGTACTGTATGACGGTAGCTTTTACGCTCTGTACTGTACTGTACTGTACTATAAGCGTACAGTACATTTCACTCAGATAGAGATACTGTACACTGTACAGTGTACAGTACACTATCTCTACCGTCCAGTGTCCAGTGTCCATGCCACTGCTACTTGCCTGACTGGCGGCGACGTCGCACTGACAACTCAACCGACATCGTCAGTTGTACTGTACAGTATGACGGTAGCTTTTACGCTCTGTAGTACTGTAAGCGTACAGTACATTTCACTCAGATAGAGATACTGTACACTGTACAGTGTACAGTACAGTATCTCTACCGTCCAGTGTCCAGTGTCCATGCCACTGCCACTTGCCTGACTGGCGGCGACGTCGCACTGACAACTCAACCGACATCGTCAGTCGTACAGTACAGTACAGTACTGTACTGTACAGTATGACGGTAGCTTTTACGCTCTGTACTGTCAGCGTACAGTACATTTCACTCAGACAAGATACTGTACACTGTACAGTGTACAGTACAGTATCTCTATCAACCATCATGGAACAGTACAGAACTGTACAGTATCTGTAGTTTCAACCACCAGGTGCACGAAAATTCAATCAATGGTCTACAGTACAGTACTGTACTGTTCTGTACAGTATAGTGTACGGTACTGTATTGCACCGTACTGTACTGTACTGTACAGTCACTAGCTTACAGTACAGTACAGTACGATACTGCACACTCAAAGACAGATCTTTAGCGGAAGCCCATGTCCTTCATGACTACAGTATAAAAAAAGTACTGTACTGTACCAATGTACTGTACAATTAGCTGTTGGCTGCTGTGCAGGCAGCGTATCAAGAAGTATCAAGTAGGAGAAATCGAGTCCGGCCGCTTGAAGTCCGGTACGATAGGATTGGTGATACTGTTGCAACAATCGCTGTACAGAAAGTCAAGTGGAGCAAAACTTTCAAAGTTCACAACCGCGAAACTAAAAAAAAAATTGAATTAATAATATAATACAGTACTATAGCATCTAGCATCTTTTCTTCTAGAAGTTTGGATAGCACGTTGCATGACGATTGAAATACAACCTGCTTCATTGTATTATCGATTAAAGTAACTTGAGCATTTGGGTAACTATTGACGGTGTATTGGTAGCGCCAATTGGCATTGCTAACGACCTTTTCAGGCAGGAAGAGCTGTTTCGATCGAAACCATGGACATACAAGAAACTAGTAGCAGTAAAAGAAAACAAACTAATAGCACTGAAGAGGTTGATGCTAAGCAGAAAAGAAGGAAATTGACCCATACTGAAACTAATTCTAATTATGTAAGCGAGATTTTGATTGAACTGTTCAAAGCCTTCAAGATACAACGAACATGAACTGATTTGAAAGCTAGCCAATGACTTGTGTTATTTCCAAATGGTCAATTTTAACTTTTAAATTAAAGATTTACACTAGTAATCGTATACATTGTCAAGATGTATTACATTTCAATATTATATGGGTATCATACGTAAGAAGTTGTTTAAGGTAGTTGTATTTAATCTACAATTACTACGTAGAAATCATCACCTGTAAAAGGAGTCATGCACTTACTTACAGTATTTATTAGTCATTCATGTTGTATCATAGTCTTCAGTTGTATAGAATTCTATTGTTTGGCTAGCGTTGACTCTGCAATACTGTATGTGGATTTGACACAGACATTGGACACCGGTTGACTGTATGATCTTCAAACAGTGATGTTTAAAAATTTTTTCATTGAAACTTTTCTTTTTGATAAATAGTACAAATAATATTTACTCCATAATGACTTTGTTAACACAAAATCGATGGGGATTTACCGCAATCAATTGAAAGTCCAATTTTCTTTTCGACGTTTTCTACTTCTATCTATTTGTGGTGCAGTAAAGCAAATTGCAATCATTTGCGCGCTTGATAGATCGTTGTGATTTTTTTTTTCTTCGGCTTTATTCATTATCACTTCACGCAATGGCTTCGTATTATCTTTCCCTTTGTTGAAATTTTGGGTTCCTTTGAGTACGTCGCTTCAATGAATTTTGCTCTAATAAGAGCAATGATTGCAAATCGTAAAGTATTTGCCATTTTCAGTGGCCATGTTGGTTTAAGATTAGATATGTTAAATGACTGTAAAGGAAAAAATTACTTTCGATCCATGCATCGATTTTGAATTGACAACTGGCTGATTATTGCGACATAATATTTACAAAGAGAAATTAAAGTCGTCAGTTATGTCAGTAACAAGTGTGCAACGCTTGTAATTTAAGCTGCACTACGTTTGACATGGAAGACACGTTTGGTCTATATCTCAATGAGAAGAGGCAGTATTAAGTTGTCCACTTCAATGCCAGTTGTAGGAAGTTTTTATATCTTTCAGTATACTTTTCTTTGGCATAGTTTTAGCGAATTTTGCCACAAGAGAGCAATGATTGTAAATCGGAAATGATTTATACTCTGTATTTTTGCTAAGAATCAAAGAAAAAGATGGGTAACTTTAACATGCAATGGGTTTACCATAAAATTCGAAGGGAAGAGTAATGACGAAAGTATTCAATATCAAGTTTCAAAAGTGGTCGTAGCAATTTCTATACTTTTCAATACATCTTAGCGTCACATTCCCCTTCAGTGAATTTTGCTCCAACAGCAATCGAAAAAATATTAGCATTTTTTGTCATCATTTGGCTAGTAATAAATGAATTGGTGTTGTAAATTGTATAACATGGACACAAAATAAGGATTTACTGTTAATTCCAATAAGGAGCAATAACTGAGCATTGAATAGTAACTTTTAAAAGTGGTTGCGGCAATTTTCATGCCTTTCGATACACGTTGGCGTTCTAGTTTCGCTTCAGTAAATTTTTCTCTATGAGCAATGATTGCAAATCAAAAATTTCAGCGTTTTATTGTCATTTGGCTAGCAATGAATGAATTGATGTTGTAAAATGCACAACACCGACGCAGAATAAGTGTTTACTACTATCTTAATTCCAATGAGAGAACTGAGTGTTTACATAGTAAGCTTTAATGGTGGTTATAGTAATTTTCATGCCCTTTAAAACATGTTGACGTCGTAGTTCGCTTCAGTGAATTTTTCTCTAATAGCAAGAATTGCAAATCGAAATATCGGCGCTTTATCGTCATTTGGCTAGCGATAAATGAATAGATGTTCTAAATTTGTACGACATTAAGGAAAAATATATGTTGATCATTAGTTTCAAAGAGAAGAGCTAATGATTCTATGTTAATATTGTTAAGTAATAAGTTTCAAAAGTCGCTTCAACCATTTTTGCTCGCAGAAAAATGATTACAAATCGGGAAATATCGACGCTTTATCGTCATTTGGGTAGTGATAAATGAATAGAAATTACTCAAAGTTGAATATACATATTTGTTTTTCATAATTCTCAAGAATCAATAATTAAATGTTAAGTAATAGTTTAAAAATGACTGTAACAATTTTTATACCTTTCAATACATCTTTTCTTAGCGTCGCAGTCTCGCTTCAATAAATTTGTTCTTAAGAGGAATAATTGCACATCAGAAAATGATCATCTCTTTCATGAATCAAGTCTTATTAACTGTAAATTGTATCTAAAATTTCATCTTAGATACAATTTGGAATAGTCAGAACATATCAACTTAATCAGCAGGATAATAATTTAAATGATTGATATATACGTACATCCTAAATTGCTTAATTTAATGCTGCCCTTGGGATAAAGTAACAGTACATACATAGTCATGTGTGTATGTTTGCAGTAGGGTTAGCTCTTAAACTTTAGAATAATCTTGTAATCTATCAAATTAGCCAATCATTTAAATGACCTACCTTGCATATAGGCTGCTGAATGCAGACATTATTAACTAAGCTTACCTTACTGTTTCATGCTGAGAATTTCTTGGCTCGCTTTGTATCACTTAAATAAGATTTATGTTTTTGTTGATATTGTCTTTTTTAACCATCCACTACGATCGTTATTTTATCTACTTTTTTACTACAAAATAAACGATATAAATTAGTTAAATTGCTTACATTAGGTAGTAACCTGATACTATTTTTACAGAGAATTCATTAAAATACGTACAGTATAGAAAGAGCGAAATCATGCACGCATTATTGAAATTTTTTAAGCTGGTTATCAACGTTGTGTGGTCAAACTGATTCACCAGTGTGTGCAATAATTCATTAGTGTATTGCGTAAGTGGTTATCTTCTCCAGTGTTTTATTAGCAATTGAATCATATAAGAACTAATCATATAGTCGCTGCAGTATAATGATAATATAAAATGAAGCCTTTCCACTGGTGACCTTGTTAATTTCAGCGATACAGATTTACGTAAACTACGATTTATAGCAGCGGTTCTTCACTATCTTTATTTCATATTTGTAACAATTTCTTAAATAACGATTGTACGATGAGAGAATTATTGATATAACTAAAAGAGAGATACTGCAATTTTTATTAACTAAATAACGCAGCCATAAGTTTCTATGATCTTGCTATAAAGCTAGTAGAAAAACGCCTTCGATTTCAGTACCATAAATGTGTTGAAAGACTTAGTATTGCTTATGCAGTAGCTCACGTATTCATTTTCAATACTCAATAATTGCTTTACTTGCACTTTCTATGCTAGATTGAAGAATTTAACAATAAAGGTAATGCGACCGTTTCTGGTAATAGCAAAAGTACTATGAGAAAGCTTATAAATGACGTCCGACAACTAAAAGATGATACCGGTAGATTAATTTGTGAGATGTTTATCGAGCTGCCTTCACAAGAGGTAAGACCATATCAATAATGCAGCACTTGCATAGCTATTGGTACGGCTTCATTTTAAATTTGTAATCGAACTACACTTTAGCTCAGTACACTCCTAGAATACTGTAGGTAGTCGTTGATATCCGTATCAGATCTTAATTGCAGGAGAAATATTTAATAAAAATCTTTGTTTCAAGTTGCATTCTGCGAATCATAACAACGACATTAGTGCACAAGACAGTAATAATATAAATAACTAAAATTGAGTGATTATATTATTAATAAGCCAATCTTTATTAACAAATGCTGCACTAAGTGTAAATACAATATCTCTGGTAGGGGATTGTGAGATAAATAATTCGGTATTGCTGTGTACAGTACTCACTTAATAGTCGGCTCACAACTGTATAAGTCTATTATTAGATGATGTTTGATTTATATTATGTCGCGTAAAAGCTAATCAATTTGTAATGCTTATACTATATATTTTATTTAATGGTCACTGTATCGCTTGCGAACTTCCTAGGAATATCCTGACTACTATGTTATTATAAAGGAGCCAATCGATCTTACCATCATAGATCGACGCCTTAAGGTAATACTAGTGATTAGTAACGAATCTACAACTTGATTAGATTTAAATAAAATACTTAAATATCATATAGGTACCATCCTCATAAAAGCCAAGTATTGATATTGTCATTGTAATTATGAAATTTTGAACTCATTAACATCATCTGAATAATTGTTTTGCTTTCATCAGGGAGGACACTATAGAGACTTATTAGGATTGCGAGACGATCTTCTTCTAATGATTAAAAATGCTCATAAATTCAACCAACCTGGTTCGTCTATCTACCAAGTTAGTATTGTGATGGCCATAACATGTAGACATATTTGGGTTTTGTAATTGGTATTGTAGTTTCTTAATGTAAGATTTTAAGCGATTAAGAGGGAATATCGTGAATGTGCCAGTCAAGCATTGTATATAGATTACACAGTTTGGATGTCGTGTTGCAATTGTCTTATGGCTAAAACAGCAATGCTATAGTGGCGTCATTACTTAGTGTGCATAGTACTTTGTTAGTATTATAAGTAGGGTTTGTTAATGTTTTGTTTTATCGATTTAATGTTGATCGTTTTGAACCGTTCGGACTGTACTGTTACTGATTACAGCCATTTAAAAATAAAGCTTGTTCTGGTATATAATGTTAAACAAATTTTACTTATCATTTATGATGATACATTCCTTGCAGTATTCATGGCTTTTAAATTTAATTTATGCAACAAAATTTTATATTGTATAATCTTGCATTGTATATAATGATCTAACCATGATAAGTTGCCGTAGCAATAACTAATCGAGTACTAAAAATTTATTACAAGGATGCTACAATTATTAAGAAAAGCGTAAATGTGTTTTGCAACAAGCTTCAAAGTGCCAGTGGAGAGCAATCAATTTCAAGTAGAGCTTCGACTACGTAAGTAAATAATGACAAAGAGTTTGAAATTAATGTCGTGTCGAAATTATTACTAACTAGGTTCTAAAATAGTGATCCTTAATTTCGAAGTAATTTATTTGTAAATATCGTGAAGCATTAATGTTGAATTAAAATTATATTTTTCAGTGTTAGTGAAGAAGCTTCATCGGTTGCTAATGCGTCCGAGGTAATGCTACAGAACGTGCTAATAGTATTAGCCATTGCAGTCATATTTATTAATTTTTTGTAACTTTAGGACGAGAAAAAGGAAGAAGTAAACATATACTTTACATTATACGATACAGTAACAGAATTTATCAATTCTAATGATCAAAGTTTGTCAGATGAACTCACCAAGTTGCCATCCAAAAAGTTCGTTTAAGAATCTAATTATCATTCAATAAATCTAATTGCTGTATTGAGAAAATTCTCATCAAGTCAACAGCATTTAAAGCAAGTTTTTCTTTACCAATAGGGCAAACCGAGCATATTACGAAGTGGTGAAAAATCCCTTAAGTTTATTCAAAATTCAATCAAGACTACGAGTAAGTAATTAAATAAAATGATGGTTGTTATTGTAAGTAGTTAGGCATTGTTAGTGAAACTATTAGAGTTACTTTACGTTAAAAAGTTGGTAAGTAATTACTTAGTAAGGTTTAAAAAATAAAGAATTTGTTTTAAAGTTTATTTCGTAATGTTATTCTTACAGGCAAACTATTATGATAAACTGGAGAAGTTGTATGATGATTTAGATCTCACTTTGCAAAATGCTCAACTCGTTAATGAATCTTCTTCCAAAGTATATAAGGTAGATATCTTTGCAAAACTTGCAATTTGTTAATTTTTTATCATGATAGACTTTAATTTGTCATGTTAGTGGACGAGTTACTTAATTACCGTAAATGCAACAATCTATAGGATGCGACTAAATTAAGGTCCATACTCAAGGGGAAATACCGAACTTTGTCAAAGGTCTATTTATCGCGTAATTTATAATATTCTTTGAAACTATTTATATCACTGTTTCTGACTGACTGTCATCAACACTTTCGTGAGATAGTTAGGAGAGATGCATCAAAGTCCGAAAAAAGACAATAATTCAACTTCATCTATAACCGATCCTGGTGAAAGTATTGCAGGTTTAGATAATGAAATAGTCCAACTAATAAATTTCTTAAATATGAAATCAAATTTTACGTAATTATAGTATCATAATCGAATAATATATGGAGAGACAATTATTATTTTTAGAAAGTGATACCAACGACAGCACTAAAAAAATGGCTTTGAAAAAACTGTTGAAGCAATTATTTAAAGTCATAGTTACGAAAAAGGTGGACCTATTTCGTTGTCTACTGCATTATTTTAATTTGCGAACCTTTTCTTGAAAATTAATAATCCTTTGCTTTTATTTAAATTTTGATAGGATAAGAGCGGTAGACTTCTTTGTGATATTTTTTGGAAATTACCGTCAAAAAAGGTTACACTATTATGATTATTTATACATCATCTACTCACTTTTAGACTTGTCAAATTACCCCTATATTTATACTCGTGTCTGGCTTATTTAGACTGCCAGCTCTCACATGTTTGAATTCTGTAAGGGTCAAGGCACTAACATTTCATTTGCTTTTTTGATACAACAACCTAGACGTACCCATCGTACTACAGCGTCATAAAAAAACCAATTGATTTAACTCAAATCGAAAGAAGAATCAAATTGTGCAAGGTTTGACTTCTTATTTTATTATGGTGATGATTCTTGGTTTTAATTCCGATATTTGTTGCACCTTTAACAGTATGATAGTGAAGAAGGTCTGCTAGACGATTTCAAATTAATGTTTGATAACGCAAAAACTTTTAATGAGGAAGGATCTCAAATTTATGAAGTAAGCCATAGCCTTAAAATTCGAAGTTTAATACGTTGGACGATTTGGTAGCTAATTGATCAATTTATTGTTATAGGATGCATTAGACCTTGAAAGGCTTCTCTTAAGCAAACATAACAATTTAAAATTAAGTAGGCATCATCTGTCACAGTATTCGAACGTTTATAATTATATTTCATACTACTTGATGACTGAACCTCGCTAATACTGTTAAAATTTTTGTTGTGTATTATACTAAAAATGCATAAGTAGAATCAAGTGGAAGCAATACCCCAATCAAATCTGCACGACATGGTAAAATGAATAGCAGGTAACATGGCAATTAGATACATGAGATTATATTTTTACTCTATGTAATACTGATTTTTCTCTTGACGCGTATAATTTATGTAGGATTTTACCTAATGATACTTCAACCAATGGACGAATAAATGTGATCCTAGATGCAATAGATGACTATACTGTATGTTAATATTGCTATAGAATAAAAATATCTTACAGATTAGTATATGATTGGTTTTCGTCGTATGCAGGATGAAAGTGGAGCAAATATCTCAGAACCCTTCCTAGAATTACCTTCGCGATCGGTTAGTTATTTTCAAATTATTCATTTTCTATGGGGTGGTGTGAAACTTACCATTTTTTGAATAGGAATATCCGGATTATTATGATGTAGTCACCAAACCTATAGATATCGCAATGGTTAAAGCTAAAAATGACGCTGATGAGGTATCTTACCGATATTCATCTTTGTTTATATGGGTGCAAGATACTGTAAAAATCTTTTAAATTGACAGTATTGGGGATATCTGGAGTTTAATAATATTTTGTGTAAAAACAGACGTCGTATCAGTCATCAAATGTTATGTAATGAAATAAAAATACTAAAGCGTCCTTTTCTAATTAATTAATTTTAAGTATGGCTCCATTGAAGATGCAGTATCTGATTTGCTATTAGTGTTTGAAAATTCTTGCAAGTACAATGACCCCGAATCACAAATATACAAGGTATATCGTAATTTATTTTATTGACTACAAATTAGTTAGCTAATATTGCGTTACCGAATTTTATATTAATAGGATGCCTTAAAATTGCATGACTTCGTAGTAGCAAAGCAAATAGAACTTGAAGGTATAGATACTTTAATTAAGGTGTCGATCGAAACTAATGCTTAATTAGATAATATTTATCACTGCTCCTATATAGGTCGTGGGAATTGCACTATTCCTAATGTTAGTATCGCTATGCAAGATCTTCTTCAGATGATATTCGGCTCTTTAGTAACAACCAAGGTAGAAGAATAGGCTGAGAATTAATATTTTAGTAAAACGTATTCCACTTTTAATTAGAGTTTTGACTGTACAATCAATAGATTGGATCACATAGTCCTTATCGCTCAATTGTTGAATTCAGTCGTCGTCGAAAGAGTAAAGACCAAAAGAAGTAAGTTGACTTTACACCAACAATACTATTTCAAATTTTTTTGTTAACGTTGCCATAAATTAGATTCACTTCGTCTGTAAATAGTGCTCCTAAGTTAGATCTAAGTGAAATATGGGAAATGCTCAGAAAGGTAAACATGTAACAGACACATTTCTAAAGTCGTTGCTAAATAAAAATATTGAAGTTTTCACTTGCCCTTGATCCTTCTGTATTTAGAAGGAATATCGAAGTCTAAATAAACTTCAGAAAGACCTGTTCTCTATCATAGTGGACGTTCGCAAGAATGTTGGCTTAGACTCGCAGGTATGCGCATACTACTTTAAAGTATATTACTTGGCAAGGTATCAACTTACTCACAAAAAGGATTTGTTCAGAATCATTTTATAAAGACTTTTAAATGAAATTTACGGTTTTCTTGTAACTCATCAATGATGTATAATTGTCTAGCATTATGCGGACGCAGTGCATTTGCAAAAGCTTTTCATACAAGAACGCGATCGCCTTAGTGATGAACGCCTACAATCAGTGGCCTTAAATTACACTTTAATGAAGTTGGAAACCGAGTTAAATGAGGAAAAAGCAGCAAATAAAGAAGCGAATAACCATGCTAACGAACTGGTAATCTCAATTCTCAATTACCAACTTTATTAATACAGCAGTGCTAAACATAAAAAATTTCGAAACTGATAACTGTGATGTAGGAAGATAAATCTGAAGAAAGTAAGCGTCAATATCTAGATAAAATAGTTAAAGGTGGAATCACTTTTCGTAAAGGGGAATATGCTTATATCATCCCAAGGTTAATGAGACAGATTTTATCTAATAAGATTTACGATAAATATTATTCTTATTAAAATAAAATTATTGCCCGTGGAATTTTAGAGAGAAAAATTTGAAACCACATATTATGTGTATCGAGGATTTATGGAAATCCCCTAGCAACAGCCAGGTTATCTTAGAGCAAATTAAGTAACTTTAGATGTTAATTCTACTTCGCACTGTAGTTGAAGTTTTTGTGGTGTAATTTGAAGAGTGCTTGTTATTATTTAATGAAAAATTTTTTCTGTTAGTGGATAAGTGGGACTTGGTACTACCGTCCAGCTGAAACTTTTCATAGTATATCAACTAAATTCTACAAAAATGTATGCTTGTTAATTATGCTCGTAAATGGGTTCTTGTAGACGATTACGACTGAAGACTGTTAATAATATTAAGCTAATAATCCGTTGAATTTTTGATATAGGAAGTTTTTAGGAGTGATATTAATCACAGTGTAAAAGCTTCCAGTATAATGGGTAAATGCCATGTTATGTATGTTAAAGACTTCATAAGAAGTAGAGCTAAGGTAACATAAATTTCGGTTATTCCATAGATTATCGAACAATCATTTTTTGACGATAATTCAAATTTTCACTATCAATAGCGTATACAGTAAATAATTTTTGGCTTGAATTTTTGACAGAATTTTCCAGAAGATGATATCTACGTATGTGAATCTCGGTACTACGTCCGTTCGAAGTCATTTAAGAAAATTAAAGTTAGCTACAATCTAAAGACATCTTTGTTATTATGGAGATAATATAAGATATGTAAATACCTTTTTCTCTCAAACAAGGTTTGGGATTCATCTCAATTTGAAGCTGAATATGAACTCCGCGATGAAATTCTGCAGTTAGATAGATTTTCTTCCGTTTTCGCCAATGTAAATCAAAGCAACAGCGATACGACAACTGGTTCATCAGATGCTACTGAAGTATATTAAGACTTTTCTTATTTTTTAGTGTCTTTATTATACATAGGCTGTCAATATCTATCTGAATGATAAGGGTTGTATTTTTACATTATCAATAGAACGTTCTCTTGCCTAGTATAAAAGAGGAGGGCAAAACGTTTTACGAACAACATAAATCAGAAACTGGAACTTTTAAATTAGGTTAGCTTCGTATGAACTACTTCGTTAACGTTCATAATTAAATTTCCTTAATGTTTGAATTAACTTTTACAATATGATATCTAACTCTTATTAATAATTATAATCCACTGGATGCAGGAGATTATGTTTACGTTAGATCTGAGGAATCATGGCCTTATATTGCAAGAATTGATAAGATTTGGAACGATAGCAAGTAAAGAGTTCACTTTTGGCATCATTTAATTTTTTAGCAAGCTTGACAATCTTAATTTTTAAAATGCGTATATTGTCTACAGAACCGATCTTACGTATTTTCACGGTCCATGGTTCGTGAGGCCATTGGAGATTAAGCAATCATCAAATCAAGAGTTTTATTTAAAAGAAGTATTCTTATCGAATATCGAAGATACTAATCCTATCCTAAGTATAATCGGCAGGTGTTCTGTTTTTTCCGTAAAAGATTACTGTTCCTGTAAGTTTCTATTGATGATATTATTTTATGACCCTATCAAAATATGGTAGGATGAAAAATAAGTTATCACTAAACTCCTTTTCTTTTAGGCCGTATTGTTGATATCCCTGAGGTAGATGTTTATATATGTGAGTCAAAATATAACGAAAGAGATCATCAAATCCGAAAACTGAGAGGATTGAAAGTAATTTGCTTTGATTATTAAAAACGTATATTTTATATATAATAAAACAGAGATAATTAGACTTAGAATTTAAAATTTAAGAAAACTGATTCCCTGATGATTTATGATTACTCGAAACTATTTTATTTACTAATTGCAATACGTCTATCTTTAATGAGAATAACAAATGTGGCTATCGTTCTTGCAGATTTGTAAATTATCAAGAATTAATTTCTTGTGTACTTCTCTTGTTAGAAACATACTTTATCTAGCGAATGTAATGCAGATGAAATTTATTACTTCCCATCGGAAATAGAACCAAGCAAGGTAAGCTTTCTTGGAATTACGAGTGCTACAATATGTCAGTTGTTCGCATAGATGTATAGGATTATTTGATGAGTTTTATTAGTATATCGATGGTTCCGTCGCATTTTTATAGAACTGCTATACATAAAGATACCTTAGACAATTTAAAATATAGTAAGCATCATTTTTGGCATTTACTATTGATGTAGGCACCTTTAAAGAAACTTCATCGATCTGATATACAGCAAAGTGAAGAAACCAACGCAGATTCAGAGGTAGTACATATATGCAGTAAATCATGTATAAATACGTAGTATTAAAATATCGACTATGTTCTATATGATCACAAGTTTGATTCCTCTCTAGTAAGTGGTCTGTATTCGATGACACGCTTTATTATATGCATATAGCCTAGTGATGATGATGCGCAAGAAAGAAGTTCATTAGAAGATGGTCCTCATACTCAAACGCCCTCACGGTAATGTACTTACAATTTTAAATGTATGTAATCTACCATTATCTTACTACTGATTTTATTTTATGCCCCGCAATGTTTAGAAATTCAACTGCTGTCAATTCTACTCAATCTGAACAAATTAATGGTGATACTCCGATCCATCCGAGTAATTCTCCCTATGTTCATACTATCGTTCCTCCTAGTGCGCCTGTATATAGTAATACACCCCAAGGTAATATTTATCTGTTGTTGATATTGACTCAGTTAGTTACCAGCTAAACACGCTGTAATCCGTTATCTTTCACAGCCAATCCAATGCCTGTAGATGTTATGCCGAAAGCTTTCCATCCTCCTCGAAATATTTTTGCAAATGCAGTTCCTAATCCGGTCTCAAACTCTTGGATTCCTCCTACTTCAACGGTTGTGCCCAACAATCCGAGGGGCACTTATGTTGTACCGCACGCTGTACCAAGTCTTACACCAAATATCCCACCTAATCCTCCCCAAATGGTACCTGTTCAGCCCCCACAGAATTACGTTCCAGGTAACCATCAATTAATTGTGCATCTTAATATATTGCAACTGTATTGGTTAAATTTGAATCGTCTATCATCTAACGTATGAACTACACCCCGTATTTATAACTCATCTAGTACCTCCACCAACAAGTGAACAACAAAATAATCAACCGGTTGGCTTAACGCTATCTTTTAATTTCAATCTGATTCTATCTAGTTTTGAAATAGTTTTGATTTAATACGCTCATAACTTTACTATTTAGAAATCACAACAGTTAGCTATTCAAGATGTTTTTGTTAGCCCTCCTAAAAGTGCACGAAAGTTATTACACTCAAACGCCTACAACAGGTTTCTATATCTACGGTATTATATCTATCGAATGTATATTTTAAACTGTGTCTGATCTATTTAATTTGTCCGAAAGATATCTGGATGCTCTAGAAAAAGAACAAAATTTTCCTCCATCTCAACCTAGGAATTCATCATTGCGCTTGAAACCGGAAGAATGGTTAGCTAGTAGTGCGTTAATAAATAATGGCAATTACATAGAAATTTTACGCTCTCTCAAAGAGAACTTGCTACGCGATGCAGTAAGACTTTCCAGCTTGTATAAATGAACTCAATCTAGGTATAAACTTTGGCAGTATTTTTTCGATCTCAAATAATCGATCTGTCCTTGTGGTAATACGATTTAAATATGTAAAGATTTATGATTACTTTCGATAATGTAATCTTTGGCTATTTTCACAACAGTTATGCAAAACAGAATTTTGTATTTGTTTTAAATTTTATTAGTTTATCGACTTTACTTACAATAAGACGTGTTCGTGCTCTGTTCAAAGTTGTGAATACGTTCTGTTAAGTTACGTGATAATCACTTTTTAACCATAATTAAAGATTATACGTTGGTAATCTATTATGTTCAAAGTTGTGAATAAGTTCTGTTAAGTTACGTGATAATCACTTTTTAACCATAATTAAAGATTATACGTTGGTAATCTATTAGTAATTTATTACAGCTGGTGGTCCTCATTCTACTACCTGATCCAATATCGGCCACTGCAATAATAGTTTTCATTTTAAAAATTACGACTGTGATAATTCTAATTGGGATCACGTTTACAATTGTATATTCAAAATAGTATGTTTAATGAAAACTAGTAAAACACCTTTTAAATATATATTCGATTTCGTGATATCGTTTTAATAAGAGAGACCTTTAGCACGTTACTGTTAATACTTGTAGTTTTAATCAACTACGTTAGCTTCCGAAATAATTACAGTCTTTGTACTGTAGTAATTGTTTTGTCTAACTTTTACATACCTTTCAACTATGGTATTCATTATAAAATATTTACCTCGATTAAGTTAGAGGACTGGCAGTACAAAATGTAACTGTTTACAACAATATGATATCAAATAAATTTTAAAACAACTATCAATATAATACTGCTCGCATTTTTGAGTGTTATTATCGTCATGAATATTAAAATTTAGAAGCTATTATGACTGTATCCTTTTCTATAAATACTCATTGTTTGGCAGGATAGTAAGATTTACTATCGTTCCACGGTGTATGAAAATCTTTCGTTTATTAGCATCTCCATTCTTAAGATTATAATATTGTACATAAATATTATTACGTAATAAACCATCCATCATTATGACTACAATAACACACAAGGTGGGGTAAGCGTATGGCAATAGTGTGCATACTATAGGAAAGCTTCATGCAACGATTGAGTTTCTGAGTTATGATTATAAATTGAATTTAATATCTACACTGCCTAATTTAGCAAAAAATCGCCAAGGTTTCCTGGATTTCATATCAATTCACAATAACAGTGTGCTGGTGCTGGCCACTGATAAAAAATATAATTACCGTTTGAGAAATGAGAGTTGTATTCATATATTTTTGGTTATAAAATCTTGCATATTGATCAGATATTATTGTATAAGGATTAATTTTGAATCATTTTCTTTTTTTTATCATATATATATCGTTTAAATTTCAACTGGACTAGCACAGATTTAATTTTCGTATCTGCCCCTTCTTTAGCTGTAATCATAAATTTTAATTAAGTTAAGATTCACGTAAAAAATGCTGTATAACATAAAAATCTTACATTTGGATTTAGCTTTCTTTAATTCAATAGAATTTAGTAATTCCTGTGTTAGACCATCTATTATAATTATACAACAATTGAAATTAGATATTTTATTTGGCGGCTGAGAGTTTAAGCGAACAAATTTTTTTTACGATAGAATACTAAAATATCGTAGTAATTACCAGGAAATCTCAATTTTACTTTTCCACTCTGACCAAATGATCCTTCTATAAATCCAGTTTCACCTGTAGTACAAATCATTCTGTGCGTCAACATTGTTTATAATTTCGTTGTTAATTGCTATAATATATAACAAGTTCTTACCCGTTGATAAGGTAACTTTTAAATTGGAAAATAATTGTATGTTGGTTTCCTTTTTAAATATTGATTTGGCAATTACTGTGTATTCATCCATTACCTAAGCATATGTAAAGGATATCAAATTGGTATATATATTATGATATTGTGTTACAATGTTTGCCAAAGAATGAAGACTTTTGAAATGTAAGTTACGATTCCAATATTTAAATATCGCAAGATGGAATTTATCCTCATGTTATGTGACTTACTCGCTCAACAACACCTTCTCTAGTTTTATTCTTGTAAATCTTCAAGCGAGGCAGCACGGTTTCTTCATAGTCCTTTAATTGGTGTCGTAAAAGTGACAATTATTGTTAGGGTGTTTATTAACTTAATTGCTTAGAATAGTAATCAATCACCATTTGCATTTGATAAAATGCAACTAACGGCATTGCCCAAGTAAAATCATTGCATTTTATATTATCCTAAAATCCTCGCTACCTTCTCGGTAATTCCGTATACGGAATGGCCATGAAATGCTAATCGACAAGTTTTAGCATGTATCTCAAATTAAGGAAAGAAACCTTCAAGAATTATTAATCTAGATTCTAAGGGTATAACTATGTTAGCTTAGTTACACATATATTTTCAATGGATATGAATATCAGTATCCAATCTAGAGCCAATGATAATGGTATTATGGGGATAAGAAACTGCCTTTTCAAATTCAATTAGCGCAAAATAATTTTTTGCTGGAGTATCACTGGAGTCGTTACTTGGTAGATCACTTTCATATAGATACTCTCGATCGAAGTCGAAATTTATCCTGTCTGTATAAAGGTAATATTTAAGACTTTAGTACAAGCTACAAGAATAATCCTATATTTCTACTATCGCCTAAGTGAATAAGTTTATTTAGAATGTCAAGCTGAATGATTTACCTAAAGCAGTTTCAGCACTAGAGGATTTCGGTAATGAAAAAAATGTTGCTCGTCCTAAAATGGTATGATGACCAGCAGTAACTGAAACAAGATTATAACATTGTAATGGCACATTTGAACTCAATACCGTAAAACTTGCATTTACTTGAAACAGTATACATTATGGAATGTCATTAAATCGTTTAAAGCGTAGAAAAAGGTCAAGATGAAAAAATTATCTAAGTGATAATGAGCGCATCATACACGTACGTGTCTTGGAAGTGACAAAGCAATAGGCTTAACTGCGTGTGTATATGCCGTAATAAATCACTATATCGTTGGTTATGAATTATCACTTCCGCAGTAATCGTAGAATCTGAGATAGTAAATCCTATAATTTTTTTAAAGTCGTAATCACAATATAAAATATATAAAAAATAGAATTTACGTCATTTTCACAATTGCATGTATAGGCAAAACGCTTCAGTACATAGTATGATTCTATAGTAGGATCTTAATTATTGGTTAAGCAATATAATAAGGATTAAATATTAATACACTAAATACTCTTTGTTCAACGTGTACAGGATATGTCGGGTATATATATTAATTAATATATTATAATCGTATTTCTTTGTCACTGCTTACTTACCATGTATCTTTGATTTCGATTCACAAGAACTTTTAAAATATTTTATCCGTTGCAAAGCCACAACGCAAGCTAACAGGAGAAGATCACTCGTAAGTATAAATTTAAACACAGTTATATTATCCAATTTTACAAATATAATCTAAATCTTTTAATTTAAGCCAATTTAAATATTTGGTCATCATTTAAGTTTCATAAAACGTGAGATAAATTTCGTAACAGAATCTAAATAAATAATTAAAAGCCTTACCATTAATTGCTACTATGGATTTTGGTGTACAAAGCAATCCTCTCTCTAGCTGTTTAGGATCAAACTGAGTCACACATATTCCAACTCTATCACCCTAGTTAGGTTAATAAATGCAAATCAATTCTATAATAATTTCATAAGTATGTTTAGAGAAATAGAATAAATTAAACCTGTTTAGCTTTTGAAACCGCTTTCTTAAAAATTTGCATAGATTTAACTTTCTTTTGGATTTTTAGTTCCGGAATTTCAATAGTCTTAAGTAAAGAAACACGTTGAAAAGGTGCATAATTCAAAAATTGTGTATAAATAGGTCTAGGATCAACAAAGAAATATCGATTTATATAAAACTTACATCATTTATTCCGATACTTCCAGACAGGACAGTTCCGGTCATGACAGTTCCTTGGCCTCGAATCGAGAAGCAATGATCGACAGCAAATATAAAATCTCCATCTTCAGAGCGGGTTGGGATATAAGTAAGATTCATCAAAAACTATTGAATAAGTTGATAACGTTAGTTGAATAATACATCAATATTCAATCTAGAAGATACTATCAGTTATATAGCAACGTAAGTTAATCAAAAATTATAGTAGCTACGCTAACTTACATCAATTAATGTTTGGATGCCTTCACTCTGATTCTGACCAACCTGCAGTATTTGGAAAATGTGGTATCTCTAAATAACATGATGACATACTATTGTAGTCAGTTTTATCAAAGATTTAATTACCTCAGCTCCACCAGGTACTGCAGCGACGCTAACCATAGGGGCCTCAGCAAATTTGGTATTTTGTAGTGTTTTACGCAGTCTCTTTGACATCTAGTTCCAACGATATCATTTTAAATTGACATGATTTCTTAAGATATTTTTAAAGTCAACTATCGCTATGGTGAATTACTTTTACCTTTTCGATTTGCTGCAGCTTACTCTCAGGTTTCAATAAGTCGATTTTATTTAAAACGATTAGCATTTTATCGCAAGTAATTTCACCAATAATTAAACACTAGTTTAAAAGAAGAATTATTGTATCAACATACCAAAAGTGTTATAATCTAATTTTGCGAAGAAAGAAAGGTATCTTTCAGTGCATATTTTTAACTAGCAAACCTCCGCTGTCTGTGTCTGGATTCCTTTAGTAATATCTATGACCAAGATCATTAAATCGATAATTTGGGCTCCTAAGATAAAATTAAAAATTCAGTTTATCTGGAATACACGTAATCTCGAAAGTTTTAAGTTCTAAACCCTATCATTACACCTATGGTGTTATCATAAGATCGTGTAGTTTTTGAAATCTCATTGTAGAATAACTACAATAATAAAAATATTCTTATTTAATTAAATTTATCATAAATCCGTCAAAGCGTCTTCTCCTTCTATTATAATTATTTGCATGTATACCGTAAGTTTAGCTCTTTCATACGCGTATAAATGCACGTTGATAGGGATAAATTTTTCAATAGCAATTGGTATTCTAATGTCGTATTACCTAGCATTTGATCACTTATATAATATTGTACTTCTCTACTTAATCTATCCATCAATGGATTCTAATGCAGTGTATTTTCTAGTCTGCCTATTCGAGTAGTCAACTAGCTGGGACATATACACAAGATCAGATACATTTATTTACAACTGTAGTCTTTACAAATAATTAGTACCAGTAAAATTGTGAGCTATTAATGCCATTTAGTGCTAATACATATGTATACAATTATTTTATTATGTAATACAAGGGTTATCTAAATGTATGTATACAATTAGTTTACTGGTAAATAACGCGCAGCAATTATCAGACAGCAGTACTATATATAATAAGTTATGTCAACTAATGACCTAGACTTAGCATAAACGAAACAGTAACATGTATTGTATGAATGACAAAACATTACTGAAATCGAAATCTTTAAATTAGCTTACCTCCAATAACAGTTTTAATAAGAGATGCATGTCCTGGGCAGTCGACTAATGTGAATTGAAGTGTTTCATAACCTTTTCCTGAAATTGAAATGGTAAGCATTAGCTATTATAACATCACGAACACCTTCTCAGTCCATGTGTTCAGACAATGTTATTTGAAACGATCGTAAAGCGACTACTTGACTTTATATAGTTATAACCATGCTTTCAAAATTTTACGCTAGTCGTTTATCCAGATCTTACTACTGTCTATAGTTATCAATTGTAACCAATAGTTGCAACTGTACTGTATAATGAAAATTGAACTTTACGACCACGTATACCTTCCAAATGTTTAGGAATCGGAACAGCGAAAGAAGAAAATCCTAGAATAACATAAGTACAAAGAGATGGTCAATTATAGGGTTAGTGCAAGGGCAATTTTCAGCCTAATAAGATTGCTACTTTAAAGCAACTATTTCGTAAAACGTCACCATTTAAATGGATAAGAACGAGCTAGTTTTCAGGAAAAGGTATCTTCAAAATTTCAATACTTACCTAAATCTAAGGTAATTCCACGCTCTTGACTTTGTGGATTTTTATCGAAAGATGCGGTAGAAGCTGTTGTACTCAGAGCTTTAGCTACCATCAAGATATCGATAAAGTTATAATTAATAGAACAACGTTATAAGGTAATGAACTAGCATGCTGTTAGATACAGTAAAATTAGTTTAAGAAAAGTGATTTTAATGTATTTAAGGGCAGTATACGAAATATTTTTATTGGCAGAAGGTGGGCTAACCAATAGCAAGTAGTATATCACCATCAACGCGTAGGAGTAAGTCATGAGAGAGAATTAGGTTAAGACATTACTTCGGTAAACGCTACCAAAGTCAATTAGCATGGTATAATATAGTAATACAAACAATTGTATACGGAAAGTAGTCCCAGCGTATTTCTAGATCAATTTATGAACAGTTTTGACCAATAATAAGGAGAAAGTTGGGCAAACTAATAGTAGATCGTATGTAGTCAGGTAAGGATTAGTCTTAGACGTTGCATCCGCTATAAATATGTTGTCAAATGATCGATGATGTAGCATGAGAAAAGTAGTTTTAACGTATTTTATACTATTCTAGCAGCATTTTTTACGCTACTATAAATAAGAAGAAGGCTGGGTTTATTAACGAGTACAAGTGGGATATAGCCTATCAATGCTAAGCTTAGTCAATATTGCAATAGCAAGTAGCAAAGTAGCCTAGCAACAAGCACTGCAAGCAAGCATTAAAAATTGCCTTTCAACGCTGCAATTGGGTAAGCACAGGCTATACATATACACTAGCACTATTATCCAAGGAAGACGAGGGAAAGTAGTTCCAATGTATTCTACGCCGTAATACCTTTTACTACTATTATAAATGAGGAGAAAAGTGGACTTAGCCAATATTGCGATAACTAATGGCCAATCAACCTCAATGCTTGCTCGTACGGCTAGTATTGCCTAAAAATTGGCTTGAAAATATGATCACTACATAGCCATAAGCTATACATAAGTAGAGAGCAAAACTAAATCATAACATAGCCTAAAGAGAAGTCATTCTAATACAATCTAGCCTATTCTATCAGATCATTTCACTCCCGTATATGTGGGGAGAATGATGAGCTAGCCAAGCAGCATCTCCAATCAATGCCCGACATGTATGTTATGAGATCGTAGCATGGTTTAATTACAATCGATGGTTACCTAGTGAAGTTTTTCCACTATCCACATGGCCAAGTAATCCCACATTAAAATTCAGAACTTGATTCATATTTATAGTCGTAAAGCAGTGCTGAAATGCTCGTAATAAGTGAATAATCGATTTGCTTTCTACTGGATTTGCTGAATTTTCCCTTAGCTCGACGGCAATGAAATCATCCAGCGCTAGCGACCTTGATCGTTATGGATCACTATGACCACGAAAAGGATGATATAAATATTGTAGAGTACAGTATGAGTTATTGGGCGATACTTGAGTATGTATATAGTCTATACTAGAAAGGCATCAACAATGCATTTCACGTCCATTAGGCACTGCTGTATACTATCCGAAACAGTCGTATCGAGGTAAAGGTATAGTATGCCATTATCCCATCATCGGTGACAAATTATATGGGCCTGCCTTGAAGAGAATTCTGCACTAGAGTAAAATGATATTTACAGTAAATCGAGTAGAAATTAAGCGAACAGGAGAATGCTTAACGGATAGAGACTTTATTAGCTGTAAGGAATGCATTAGATCGTTGCATCTGCAACCCTGACATGGAGGGAGGTATGGATAGTTACGAAGAAAGCATGGCGAGGAAAGACCCTCAAGGGCTGATGATATCATTGCATGCCTACCCTTGATCCTAGGCTCAAGTTAGACTACAGCTGGATGGGTGGAATCACTTATAGCAAAGTACCGATAGCATTGCTTTGCTCTAATGAGATCAATGCATGCCTACACTTGATCCTAGGCTCGAGTTCGACTACAGCTGGATGGGTGGAATCACTTATAGCAAAGTACCGATAGCATTGCCTTGCTCTAATGAGATCATTGCATGCCTACCCTTGATCCTAGGCTCGAGTCAGACTACAGCTGGATGGGTGGAATCACTTATAGTAAAGTACCGATAGCATTGCTTTGCTCTAATGAGATCATTGCATGCCTACTCTTGATCCTAGGCTCGAGTTCGACTAGCACTGGATGGGTGGAATCTTTTATAGTAAAGTACTGATAGCATTGCTTTGCTCTAATGAGATCAATGCATGACTAGTTGACTACCCTTGATCCTAGGCTCGAGTTAGACTACAGCTGGATGGGTGGAATCACTTATAGCAAAGTACCGATAGCATTGCTTTGCTCTAATGAGATCAATGCATGCCTACTCTTGATCCTAGGCTCGAGTTCGACTAGCGCTGGATGGGTGGAATCACTTATAGCAAAGTACCGATAGCATTGCTTTGCTCTAACGAGATCATTGCATGCCTACTCTTGATCCTAGGCTCGAGTTCGACTAGCACTGGATGGGTGGAATCTTTTATAGTAAAGTACTGATAGCATTGCTTTGCTCTAATGAGATCAATGCATGACTACAGTAGTTGACTACCCTTGATCCTAGGCTCGAGTTAGACTACAGCTGGATGGGTGGAATCACTTATAGCAAAGTACTGAATAGCATTGCCTTGCTCTAATGAGATCATTGCATGCCTACCCTTGATCCTAGGCTCGAGTCAGACTACAGCTGGATGGGTGGAATCACTTATAGCAAAGTACTGATAGCATTGCCTTACTCTAATGAGATCATTGCATACCTACCCTTGATCCTAGGCTCTAGTTAGACTACAGCTGGATGAGTGGAATCACTTATAGTAAAGTACTGATAGTATTGCCTTGCTTTAATAAGATCAATGCATGCCTACCCTTGATCCTAGGCTCGAGTTCGACTAGAGCTGGATGGGTAGAATCACTTATAGCACAGTAATGATAGCATTGCTTTGCTCTAATGAGATCATTGCACGCTTGTAAGTTCTAGGCTCGAGCTCAACTTGAGCTGGACCAGGAAATCACTTTGTGACTAAAAAAGAGGAGGTTATAACTTCTAATCCAGGCCTTGTAAGCCTTATCCTTATATTCTTATTGCTTAGAGAGATCGATCGAGCTATTATTGACCTCATTGATATCCATTTTATAGCATTTATTTTCTCGATATGGATTATGCCAGTGGCTTCCAAGAAGAAATACTTATTAATCATTGTAAGGTAGCTAGCTTAGTAATGCAGTATAGGCAGTAGGTCAAGAAACGATTCTACTAATACGCACCTTCCCATAACCTATAATAAAGTATAGTATGACAAGCGGTGTATGCGTCAGTAATCTGCCATAGAAGACTTTGACCTACTAACCCTGCAACTGGCACTGCTGCAATCCATCAAGCTCTGCAAAGGCAAAACTACCTATCAGGAAAACGCACTGCTAGCTGACAGCAAAGCTTTGAGGTGGCCTTTGGACCTTTTTCCTGTCTCTCTTGGTAGTTTTGGATTAGCATAAGGTAGTGCCTAAACCATCTTAATTCTTCAATCATTGATTTTGGACTGTGGAAGAAAGTAAAGCCTAACTTGGTTTAATTCAAGCAAAGATGCGTCCATTTCCGAGCATGACGATTCAGCAAATCCTTGAGCCTTTAGCTCAACAGGTCAGTCAAAATGCTCAATTTGCCATCATCGACTACCTCATAATGTCTTTACATGGATCTTAAGAGCAATTTTATATACTGCTGCAATCATAGATGGATATCTTGTATATCAGTCTATCGATGAATGGTGGTTCTACAAGGTTTTTGTGCCACGGAGTCATAGACTACCTTTGTTATGCCTTGATTAAAACGGTGATAACTAGACAGTCGATGAGTAAAGATGGTAGTGATATCAAAGCAGGGTAAATAAATTGACTAACCTTTATAGCCTTCATTTGTAGCTACTGTAGTCATTACAACAGAAAAGTAGATCAGTTTTTACTATAATATGTTCGGTTAGCTTACTAAAAATAGCCAGTAGGGAATATTTTCGCTGTGCCTTGTTGCCAAGCATCATCACTGCCTGCTAGAAAATATCTTTTAGCCTTATCAATTAAAAACCAAGCATAACGGATAAATAAGTTCACTAAGGTTATAGTTAGAGCATTTTACGGCTACTGTAGAAATTGAAATAGGAAGGTAGATCCATTTTGACTGCCATACTTGATACTTAATGGTGTTACTGAACAATTTTCAGTGGAAAGTAGTGTTACTTTGTCTTATCAACAATCATCACATTGATGGAAAATATCTTTTAGTATATAAATTATAAACCAGGCACTACGGGTGAATAAGTCCATTAAGCTTATAATTATAACATTTCACGGCTACTATAGTGATTGAAATATTGGAAAACAGATTTATTTCTACTGCGATACTTAGCAGGTAGCTTAACGAAAAAAATTTCAGCAGAGGCTATTTTCAATTAACGAGTACATCATGTCGATAATCATCACTTCAACAAGATAAAAATATTTTGAACCATCTGAGTTAAATTGATTAATTAAAACCAGTCGTAACCTTACAGTTATAGCGTTCTTTTGCGGCTACTTTATTGATTGAAACAGAAAGGTAGATTAATTTTTACTGCAATACTTGTTGGTAGCGTAGTGAAAAGATTCGAGTAGAGAGTGTTTTCGCTTTGCGTTACCATCAACAAAAAACATCTGTTAGCCTTACAACGAAAAGGGATAAAAAGATTATTCATAACCAATCTTACGGATAGATGAGTTCACAAACCTTATAGTTGTAGCATTCTTTCACGGCTACGGTAGTGATCGAAAGCGTAGAATGGGTAGAATGGTATTACTGCAGCACTTGCGAATAGCTACTAGAAAGATTCGAGTAGAGAGTGTTTTCACTTTGCGTTATCATCAATCATCATCACTTCAAGATGAAAAAATACCTTTTAGCCTTACGACTTACTCGTATATGCTGCAGATTAAAAACAACAATCATGCATACAACGTTAATAAATAAATCAAGAAATTGATTTAGAAAAGACCTACTGCTCGTATCGATACCATTCTCAGCTAGTTAAAGAGATTAATACTGTAGTTACTTGCTAGTAAAAGTATCCATTAGCCATATAAGTTAAAAACAATCATATTACTCAATGTTAACTGAACTAAATCAATAAATTGATTTAGATAGACCTACTGCTCGTATCGATACTATTCTTAGCTAGCGAAACGAATTAATAGTAAAAGGAACTATACTGTACGGTATAAATATCACGGTAAACATGTTAATCATAATAATCATGGTCATACTATAAACCTTAAGGCTGGCTTGTTAATGATGATGTTGAAAACCGGTTCTCTCGATCAGTTTATGAATGTCATCGGCTTGAAAATAGTTAGCAAGCTATACTATAAACCTTAAGGCGGATAGTTTGTTGATGATGATGATTACAAACCATTCTCTTCGTCAGTTTATGAGTATTGTTACCGTGATATCTCTTGATGAAAATCGTAGACTGTACTCGTATAGCCCCAAACTTGTCATTACTCTACTGTATATTGCAATATTATTAAGATAAAATCAAGGCTTTCCCGTTATTTAACTATAAAAAAAGGAAAAATTCGTTATACTATTAGTTGTAGTAAAACATACATTGTACATGCTCATCATTACTCTTTATTGCAACATCAAGATAATCAAGCTCATTTAGAATACGGAAAAGTAAATTGGAAATTTTTCTACTGCAATAAAACATCATAATTGACTTGCTACGCCAACAGAGAATACTGTATGTACTTGATTGAACAGCGACATATCCAAAACTGCAAGGAGAATTTTATCCTATAATGAAAACGTTTAGCAAACCAGCAGCAGTTTTATTAAGTAAACACTTATGATGTTGTCCTTTAGGTGTCTCAATTGGCTATAATCCATGAAGAAACAGAAGCCGGCAAATCAATCCCTGATATAACTATGCCCGTGCAAGCTGCCTGTGCCGCTGTTGCAAATCTTGTTCAGGTAACATACTCGTATACATCCACCATTCGATCTTTGTATTACAGTACCATCACAGCATTAATTATATATACGCGTATAATTATTCAATCATAAATGGCTACAAGCAATGTAAGTTGCAGCATGATTAGAATAACTTTTTATAAGACAATTTAAACTGTTTCGCCATCTTTATCAAGTCTATCTTCAATGACTGCTATAATTATGCATTCATTGAATGAAAAGTATGACCAGCGTTTGCTCCTTTTTATTACTGGATCATTCAACTTAGGTCGGCCAAGATACTGCAAATGCTAGTAGTGATGAGAAATTTAAACAAGAAATGAATGTAGCACTGGAAGTGGTTAAAAATTCCTCTGTTAACTTAAATCAAGCTGCTCATCTACTAAAGGATGGCTCTTCTTCACTAGAAGCCAGAAATATATTAATTGATGGAACGAAAGGTTATCATGCCAAACAAATAAAACAGTGTTAAACTTCAACATCTGATCGATTTAATGCTATAAAAGTCGATTAGAGTTTTTGTCGGTAGTTTTGCACTAGTAATTATGAATAATTCGGTAATCTCTTGATAAGATAATAGCACACGGGTAAAGTAGGTGAATATTATTAATCATATACACGTGCCTAATAGTAATAATTTTACACACAATTCTAACTTTGTAGCGACAAAATTCATATCTTCCGTTATCTCTTAATTACAAGTTCTTACGTTTAAAAAAACCAATATAACTGGCTTTGGGCGTTTATACGCGGTCAATGAACTGATTGTAAGACCATAATGTCTCATTCTATTAGGTATACTATCTGGCACATCGGATCTCTTGTTTTCCTATGACGAATCCGAAGTAAAGAAAATCGTCCGTGTTTGCAATAATGTCAAAGATTACATGCCTAATGCTTCAGTTATTACTCATGAGGCTGATTATCAAACCTACACTAAAAGTGTCAAATCTGCAGTAGATAACCTGTTAATTAGAATTAGAGCTCGCGCCGATGATTTACTGATTGAACTGAACAGGTAGCGTTCATATAGATTGCGTTTGAATATAGATATTAAAACTGAGAAGAAAATTTTTGAGTTATTAGCACCTCTGAAATAAAATTTCTTTCAATACAATTCCATTTGATAACCATTCTTGACAAGGTGTAACGTTTGCAATACTTCAGTATTTTAAAAATTGATAGTGTTACTGATAGGATTCTTATAGTTACTATGTGTACAGCACAGTATTAGTTATCATCTCATCAATAGTCAGCGTTTACTATCAATAAATTCATCTATTGTGATATATGGGTCGCTTTGATTAAATCACTTAATAACTAATAAACCCACAAGAGTTAGTATTAAGATGTGACACTGTACATGCGAATACAGCATTATTTTTTACAATATGTTGTGAACCGTTCAAATCGAGTAAACATGAAATACTATGAAAGTGTTTCATATTTTAAGAACACTTCTTTTTCAAGTTTAGGCGTTAAAATACTTTGACAAATTAATATTTCATGCTTGCTCTTTAACATAACTAGGCAGCTGCTAAAACGCTCATGTATCAATATTGAGGATGCCGTAACATCTATAGAATCTGTCTTAAAAGCTATAATTGACGACAATCAAGAAGCAGAACCATTACAAAATTCAAGAGATTCTTTTGTCGGTAATCATTACACGTGTAATAAATCACTTATTCTAGTTTTCAGATTTAGTATTAAATATAACTAATTATACTGTATTTATCAAATATTTTTCAATATTGTAAACTAATACTTACTGTTATAACTAAGGAATTGTATGTGAAGAACTTGAAGAAATTATACGGGTCTTAATGTTGCCGTTTACTGAAACACATGATGCATCTCAGGTTAGCCAATTAATCTATTCTTATATTGTACTCAATAGTGGTGACTTTGGACAGTAGATAATGTGTGGAACTACCTGCGACGTTGTTCAACTTTTTAATCTTCTCGACCTGTTAATGTAAAACCTTGACTAACTGGAAATAATTATGAACTTTTAGGATCATAGCTTACAAAATACTTCATTATGTCATGATTTCGATAAATTAAGGGATCATTTGGTCAATGCACAATCTGATAAAGAGGGTTATCGTGGTTAGTCTGATCTCTCTATTAAATTATATTCAGTATAATAATTTTCTATTGTAGATGACAGAATTCGCAATATTGCTACGATATGACTCAATTCATTAATCTTCTTTATTATCATATGTCACAATTACTACTTAACATTTCATAATAAACAAATTCTATGCATGTAGATAAGCTTATAGAAAACGTAGTATCAAAAGGAGTAGATATTTCCAAGAAATGTGACACTACAACTCAAACTGACATTGCAAATAACTATAATTCACTTCAACAACACAATCGGAATTTAAAGGATAATACGGTTAGAATAATATTTTGATTGGAATATTTACTATTATTATTATCATTTCTATTCGTTTTGCTAACACAAGATAGTAAAAATGTTTGTGTTTTTTATCGTAAATAGGATACAGATCCATCGGCGCAAGCTACCAAGAAGGAAATGATAGATATAATGGACAACACAGAGCAGGTGATGCAAAAACAATTAGCAAAACAAATTGCTGAGAATTTCGCTGATCCCGGATCCATTATAGAAGAACTTCAAAATCCAGCAGTACTAAAGGGTTAATAACATTTTAATCATCTATAATTGACACAATCCTAACTTTCAATTATCTGATCTCAATGGTAGACAACGAGAAAACAAAGTTGAAATGCGCAGAGTTCGTAAATCTGTCGGATTCGCTAGCCTCTACAGCGGAAGATGTTGCATTATTTGGTAGCGATAAATTGAACTTAGAGCAAACGGAGGAGATACGAAGCGCCTCAAGAAAGGTAACAGATGATTATTAACAGTAATGTGATTTGTCTAGTCTCATTACTTAACGAGATGTGAAGGTGGTGAAGGATCACAAATACGGTAATTTAATACCTCTCTAATTAATGCTGTAGCTCCGTAAAGTAGCACCTACAGTTGTCAATGCCGCCATGGCTTCTTCAAGCAATATAGAGAACCAGGTAATGGTTAATTTACTCACTAAGTCGAATCTTTCATATATCGATTTAATAGATATACAACTGTTTGATCAATAGGTTTACATTTCTTTTTCTGTTACTATAGTCAATCAGGCAATTTTCAGATGGCATTGCTACTCAATGGAAGGATACTGCAAGTTCCTTGTCGAAATATGTAGATGGTGCAATGGACAGTCACACCCTTATAGCCGCTTCAGGTTATATTTATAGCGATATTACCGTCTGCTATAAATAAAGAGCCTGTTTGTTGAATATCAAATACAAATTGTAAGGCGATATGCATAAATGCTATTTTCCTGGTAATTTTTTGAACTTTTACAGAGGAAGCTGTTGAAAAATCAGCAAATGAGCTGTCAGAAGCGATAGAAAGTAGTAATCCACAGGTTTGTAACTTTTAGCGCGTAATAAAATATATGTAAGACTAATTAATAAACAAGAAACGTAATATTTATGCGAATTTTCTCTGGAATGATTTCACTTCACGAGCAGTTTAAAGCGATCTAACCGTATGTGTTACTTGCGATTATTTACGTGAATCATGTAAAAATGATATTAACATTATGATACAGGGCATACTTTCGAAAGCATCAGATTTTGCTAAGCATGCTGGTAGAGTATCTACAATTGCAAAGAGAGAAGTAGAAAATTCAGAAGATCCAATCTTTTCGCTAAAGATAACTGAAGATCAAAAAGCTCTAGAAAACGGTTACAATTAGAATGAATCGATTGATTAATTATTTTTTAAGTTTTGTTAATTGAAACTAAAGTGTATCTTTATCATATCAGATACTGTGGACTTGATAACCTGTGCAAATGTCTTGGCGGCAGATACTAATGATCAAGTAGCAAAGGATAATTTAAAAGTTAAGAAAGAAATGGTAAGTTATGCTAAAATCATTTATTTTAAGTGACAATAGATATGGTCGCAATTTACTGACATGAGACAACTAATGATCAGGAAAACTCTGGTACTTGCTTTATTGTCTATAATATGAACAGGTTAGATCTGGCGTCCATAACGTTAGAAAGAGTTTGTCAGATGCTCTCGATGATGAAGTCGAACAAGCAACAGAAAAGGTTCATGAGCTGGAAGTCGCTGATGTTGTTAAAGACGGTAAGAGTTATGATTACTTAATATGTACAGCATGATATGGATGACTTTGCTGTTATACGAAATTTTTACAACAGACTTCACTGTCTGTAGTCATGTAAAATCTGTTCCTATATCATTTCGTAGCCAAACCAGTCATTCCTCGCATAGCCGAAGAAACAGTAGTTGAAGAAGTGCCTGTGCCTCAGGAGCCCGTCCAACGTGAAGAACTTGATGAACAGATTCCTGATTATTTGACAAATCCTATTGCTGTAAATAACTTTATCGATTGTTTTCTTCCTACGTATTTCATGCTAATGAAGAAATCAATTACATTACAATTATCTAGCTATAAATGTCATACTGGCTATCCGTATTTTACGGTAAAGATTATTTTTGCCTAGGAGATCTAATTATTGTTTGACTCTAAAAATAATGTAGGAAGCTGCAAGATCGTTACGTAGGGAAACGAGTAGGTGGTCTGATAGTGATAACGATATCATAGCTACAGCCAGCAAAGCAGCTGGATTGATGGGTACTATGTCCAAAATTGTGGAGTACGTAGGCATTATGTAATTTGGGCACAAATTTATAAAGAGCTTTTAATTTTATTATATTAAATAATGGATATCACTTTTAAACAGAGATGGGAGCGATGTAACAAGAAAAGAAATTATTCAAACGGCCAAGGATATTGCTAAAATTAGCGATTTGTTCGTGAAATATGTTGAGGAGATAGCCAGGAAATGCTCAGATAAACGAATGAAAGAAGTAGGTTGAAACAAATTAAAACGTCTAGATGATAAGCATGATATCAGATCAATTCAAAAAATAGATAGCATAACTGGTGAATCAATTACTTTAGAATTTAAAGGTACTCCTGCAACGGCTACCAACGATCAGCACGCAACTCAAAGTTGTCGCTACGGTAAAAGCGACTGCTGTAGCGTCTGGTGGTAAGTACTGCTAACAGTAATTTTATTGTTTTAAATTGCACTTAAGTTGACATTCAAAATAGTTCCATGAAATGAGCTGCATCCTTTATCATTTATAATGTAGACGAAAAGAGTAGCAGAGAAGCGAATGAAGTACTGGTTCTGAATGCAACCAACTTAATGAACACGATAAAAGAAACAGTCAGTGCTGCCAAAGCTGCAACTATTAAGATTAGAACAGATTCTGGGCAGAAAGTGGAATGGCGACGTAATCCAGCCCCTAAATTTTACTAAATTCACTGATATGAATTATAATTCTATAGACAGCATTAACGACGCACCACCATTGAGATGATCATAATTCTACATTCTGTGTCATGGTTTTAATGATGATTATTAATAATATTTATCAAGACCTGAGGCTGTTGTAGTAGCGTAAAATGTTTTGTTTGTGATGGTTGAATTTATTCTAAAATTGTAGTTGATTTTATCTGTATCACATAATTTTCCAATCGCAATCTAGCATACTTTATTGTTCAATAGCTTTCTACGTCTTGATTTTCGTTATTTGGTAAATTTGCATAATTTTCATCTCGTCTCGTACCGGGTTGGACTTCAATAGTGTAGCAGACGAATAGAAAGGTCTGAATACTTACTATGCCTAAATAATTGTAATATTATGCATGGTGTAACTAATAGTTAACTTTAATTGGAGCAATGGAATTGCTAAGTTATTACCATTCCTAAGTGAAATATGTGTAACTTGTGGGTCCTTTACTGAATAACAAAAGCATTTTAGGTAAATATCATCAGGTGGTATCATATATGGACTGGTACAAATACCCATTTCCTGCTTTACTTCTTATTAATTAATTATATCTTATTAACCACTAGCAATAACATACAAATGAATTGTAAGACATTTTAATAAAATTGGGTAATAATAACTAATCCCTTCTACTATTGATGACTTATCTTGAGCTTGATTGGAGCTTGCAATATGCAAGAATAAAAAAAGTTTAGCCATCCTGGATTGATACTACCACGCATGCGTAATCATGGGACGGTTTCATAGCAACCCCTTCTAGTATAGTAGAGGAATGAGTGATAAGCTCTGGAGAATATTCCTGTAACATCTTAGCTTTAGCCTTCTTAACTAACTATAGCAGTCTGGTTAGTTAACTTAACCCTGGAAGAACTTGAAAACTAGAATAATCCTTTAATTTTTTTCCATTTCTCGCAGCACTAGATAATCCTAGGCACCATATTATAGGTAAATGATGATCAGATTAGGTCTCACGATATAGCACCACATGTATTACGATTTGCCATTTTACTACTGTACTTTGACTAAAAGTATAAGCTTATTTCGACTATTTATCACCCTATGGTATGTTATCATTGGATTTTTCCCCTTAATAGTATTTAAAAGGTCAACATACTTCAACTAATTCACCTATTCATGTTCCATTCCAGAAGGAAAAGGACAGGTACCAGCAAAGTACGAGGATATCAATAATCTCTGTCGTGCTATATTCAATTAGCTTAGGCTATTACAACATCGATTTGTTATTGCTGCAAGTATAGAGTTGAAGAAATTATTTAGCTGTATATTCTAAATCTTATACATTGCATTTGATCGATAACTTAAAAAAAAATTTTATTATTTTCTTAACCTAACATTTATTTCGATTTTACTATCATAATATTTAAAGTAAAATAAATTTAATAGAAAAACATGGTAAGAAATTATTTCCTCACATTTGCCCTATTTTAGGTCTAAATCTGATGAAATAAAACTTAATTTACATGGCTGATGCTATGAATTTGATATCAGAAGATGAACAATATTTGAGTATGTGAATTTTAACTGCATTCCACATAGAGAAGCTAGTAAGAGCTGCTCGTACTCTAATCAAGTCTCTGTAAACACCACAGTAATTCTATTGCATCTTATTTTCGTATTATAACTGATTGATACAATGTTCCTGTTGCAGGAAAACATCATTTACTGACTTATGTTGAGGTGAGAATAGAAATATTAATAACTAATCAAAGTAATATCAACTAAATCTAGCGATTTCATCTTTGAATTTATGTGATATCACCGTGTATCAAATTCATCTCAAGAACAAATCATCAATTTGAATTGCCCTTATACCATTTTTTTAGTAGATGCATTATAATTTTTCTTATGTGATGTTGCTCTGCTTATTTCGCTCTTTATGATATCAAATTTTAGGTAAAAAAATGTAAATACATCTATAAATCTTGCTTATAGATGTCATTGAAAGACGTCATTTTTCAATGATTTCGTATTCGTATAAGCCATAGTCTATTTATATGTAAAATACTAAGATATTAGGTTTACACCAATTACAATAAATAATATTTAGTATACTATTATAAAGTATCATTTAGAGAGTATTCGAGTTAGAATTAGAGTAAAGAGCACATAAACCGTTACTTGAGCTTCAATAAAATGAGCAACTTAAGACTTTCATTGTAGATCTAAGATCAAATTCAAATTATCTCTTTAATATAGAAATAAACGTATTTCTTATCTATTCCTTTAATATCATGCTATATGTAGGATGGAGTTGCTCAGTTGGTTAGGTATAAGGAAGAACATCCGCAAGTTAATCCCAACAAATTTCTTCATGACTAGTAAGCATTTACTGAAGTGATACACTCTATTACTATTTTAAAATATATTTATTAATAAGAATTTATCCTTTATTTATGTTCAATATGTAGTTTTACAAGTGTCCATAAGGGAAATCATATCCTCTATAGAGAATATTCATTTGTTCGAGAGACGCCTTATAATCGTTCGTGTTTTATTGCCATGTTTAGTAGATGTTTTCACCATCTAGGAGAAAAAAAAGGTTTCTAATTTACGATTAGAATAGTATAATAGTATCATAGTTTTATTGAAGCCTTAGCTTATATTTTAAATCAATAAAGATATTCAACGATGTGATAACATAGATAGTAGCTCCACCTGATGCTATATGTGTAATGAATTTAATCGTATTCGTAGCAATATTTGAATTTTATTAGTATAATACGATCATAGGATACTTTTATTATTAATCATTATTTTAATCATTATGAAATGCCTCAAATAATATTTTTTCTTAAATTTGGATAGAACTATTCAATGCTAAAGAATACCATTCTCTACTGACATTGATATGTGCAGATTTTCCTCCAAGTATAGTAGAAGATGCGATAAGGTATAGGATTCGATAATATTTATAGCAAAGAGGAAGTGATTCTAGCTTAAATCTATTTCATCTTTCATCAATATGAACGAGTTCTTCCAAATATTTATCACCTTGATCTTTTCCAAGTCATCTCTTAGCTAACGCAGGAACTACTATAAAATTAGCTATTACTAGTGGTCCCTGGCTGCAGTAGTTTATCATTCCTTTCAAAATTTCACTTAGATGATTGCAACAATATGATTTTTCACATATAGACTATTCCTAGGAGAGGATGTAACAGATTTATCCATTATTTTTTCTGATTTCCTTATGGCATTTCAATTCCGATTCTTTTATGATGGTAAATATGAACAAAAGCAACAATTGAGAAATTTTTAGTATTTATAGCTATACTAATAACTGCTAAACCTATCTGTTACTATATCTATTCACTAAGATAACTATTAGGATTTTGAAAATGTATCATATCTAGTATATTTGCTCTTTTCTATATATGTAGTTGTCACAAAACAGCTTTGCAACATGATAACGTAATCTACGATCAATAAGTCAATTTCTTGAACCACGTATCAAGGAACGATATCTGCACTATCACAAACACTTTTGCTCTACTAGCAGACTACACAAAGACTTAAACGCCTCGTATTTTACGTTAAACACTAAGTTGGAGAATTCTCTTTATTTCACGATATACTGCATTTATATACTGTTCCTCAATAGTTCATGAGTCATAGTTAATACAATTAACCTCGGAATCATTTACTGAATTAGATATTAATTATAGCTACTGCTCCCTTAATGCAGACAACAGTATTTACGAACATAGACATATAATGACTAATACAGAATAGTCAGATTGCGATATGTCTTATCACGGAACATTTCCATGATAATTTACAGTCTACCATAAGTAAATTACAATCGCAATGATTCGAATTGTAAGCAGATGATTTGCATTCCCTATTATAACTATTAATTTCAGTATGTGTATAAGTGTCACTGTCATAAAAAGTCAGTGCTATATTAAAATACAGTATATCCAAATTAGAAGTTAACTAAATAAGGATAGTCTAATAGAATTATCCTAACATTGATATTTCTACTGTAATACAGTATATAACGCTGTAATAGTAGTGCATATACTAACTATTGTATAAAACAAGTAATCAGCAATTTAAATTATTTAAGAGGTGCAAGAATGGGATCATTTCACTATTATTTCTTTCAATCGAATTATAAACAGTAAAATTAAATAAAACTTGTACTCTAGAATTCGTCGAAGACAGCAAATACATCTTTGATGCAGCTAAATCCAATCCAATTTCCAGCCGTAGCATTCCAGCAACGGAGAACTTCTTAACGAGTGCTACTTCTACAGGCGAGAATCTATCGAGGGAAGAATATTTCGCCCAGAATACTCCCATAAATATTGTTAATCAGTTATATCCACCCTCTGATAGTGGGTATGTCAATTGGAAGTTATTTCTGTGTTAAAATTACAAATTTCTAAACTCTTTCCTCTATTTTGACGTTTAAAACTCTATTCCTATATGCATTTACTTATATCAAGTCGGAAGCTAAAGCCTAGCATAGTTACAATTCAAGAAGTTATAGCTGATTCTATGGAAATAGACTGCCGTCAATTTTTGATAAGCTTAGCACAAAATGTACATGTTAGAAATGAAATAGGTAAGAGATATTGCATCAACGCTGATGGCATATTAATTACTAAACTGCTGCACTATTTCTTGCGTTCACTACATGCAGAATTGGCTCGAAAAATTGTTCTGGAATAATTCATGATTTCGAAGGAGCTATTTACGTGGAATGTCTGCCACATGATTTACGTTTTATCTTATTACATTTATTACTTAAAGACTATTTATGTAGGTCGATTTTGCTGGATGGATAGTATAAACATGATAGTATCGATGCAATTGATTTACATTTTATGTTATTAATTGCTTAAAGATTATTTATTTAGGTCGATATTACTAAATGTGCAGTGTAAGAATGATAAATATTAATACTATGTGAAGAAAATTGTACAGAGATGTGAATTTGCTGATTTAACCAATAAGTGACTATCAATCACATTAGACCCAAGCGCTGTTTAAAATTCTTTGTTTATAGCTTAAATACATTAACCTAGGGTATAAAAGACGCTCGAAATTACTGTAAATTGATTTTGCCACTTATAAGTTATTGTAATATTTATTAGAAGGAAAGAGATTGTAGATTAATTTCGGAATAGATTTATTAGATTTAAAGTGTATTGCATACTTGAAGATAGTTATAATATGACTTGCGAGAAATAAATTCATTTTCCAAGGAGTTATAGCTTTGTCTTTCTACAGATTTTTTCTCCTAGATATTGTATATATTTTAATATTTACCTTCTTAACTCTAAATAATGTACAATACATGCTTGAAGTCAGAGGTAATATAAAAAATTGGATGGTAATCATGCGCATTTCTCTAGTGAGCAGTAGCTCTGTTTTTGCAGATATTTACAGGGATATTTTACCTGAACTTTTATTATATGGATATTTCATTATATATTTATTAAATGGCTTTATTGGATGTAAAGGGTACAATATTGAATATTTGAAAATAGAGAAAATAGACCGCTTAAAATTAGTAAACTTAGCTCCCTATAGGCCGTAGATCTGTCTTTTTGCAGCTATTTTATCTCTGCATTGAGAGCATACTACATGACATTTTGTTATAGTTAATCCAAGAGTAAGACAAATATAATATCATACTGTAACTCACAATCTTCTAAGATTGTTACTTATCCATTTCTTATTTACATGTCTTCCAAACACAGTTCTTCGATCCATTTTATTACTTTATAATTTGCCGGAGTCATCGTATGCTTTGATAAAGTTATTCCAATAGATCTCGGTTACAGCTAGATTACCAGCGGATATTACATTTATTTTTAAAGCATTCTATTTTCCTGCTTTCATTAGCAGCTGCAGGAGACCACTATTTTACCTGTTGAAGCTGATTTATAGTAATATCATACCATATAGTGATCACTTTTATCATATAGTAAACAAAGCCAATCAAGATCCGCTCTGCTTTGAGCTATTTGCATAAAAATGACTTTTAATTTATTCTATCATAATAAGACAAAGACTAGAACGCATGAACAAGTCATATTTACCTTGTACATCTACATTTCTACAAATTTCTCTAATCTTGTTAAAGATTACTTACTGGCTGCTCTTTCTGTCTTATATCAAGAAATAAATCCCCTGCCTACCTCCTATTCTGCATCGTGTTTGAATTAATTTCTGAAGACTATCACCACCGATTTTTGCATGTTATTGCCATCATTCTTGGTAAAACTGCAATTTAGCTAAATTGAATAAAATATCTTTATTGCTGAGTACTGTAGTCATGTGCTATTTTTCAACCTTTTTACTATTGTTCCCATCTTTGTTTTGCAGTAAAATGTACTGCAGATTCGTAACTAGAATAAAAGGAAGAAATTAACATTGAATATCAAGCTAGATTTGGCTATCAAATTTACTTTGTAAGTTCAACTAGAATAATATCTGTGCGGACCCTTCTAATTACTACAGTAAAATTTTAGAGATTAACCTAAATTTCTCGCCTTTAGTGACTTTGCAAGGTGAGATAATGTTATAGAGCATAAGAAACGCTCCTTAGCATGTTTAGAATGTGCGAAGTAGTCGCCGTAGGATATCAGTTTTCGTTACTTAGAGGGTAGTATTTCTTCCAAAGTATTAGTTTCATGTATTAAAGACGGCAGCTCGATGGAGTGAAAGTGTGAAATTCTATTTTCATGTTATAATAATCTTGGTTATAAGAAATCTTCATAATCTCGTTAAATTTCGACATTTATCTATCTTGCAGCTTGCTAGAACGCCCATTAACCAGATAGAATGACAATAAATATCAATAACTTGAAGTAGCTTTTAGCTACCGAAATAAGATACTATAAATGTTCTTGCTTGATAGATATAGTGTGCTATAATTATAATTTCGATTACTTGCAGCTCAACACGAAATGGCGACGAATATTAATACCTTGAATTCTATAGAACTGCATCGACCTACTGTAAGTTTTGCTAAACTGTAGTAAGTAAAATATAGTTTTACATGTTTTATTTATAAAATCTTTAAATTAAAGCTGCATATATCGACAAAAATGTAATTTTTATACGCTTTAATGAAGTTAGTCTTTGTAAGAGTAATCAAAGCATACTAAGATATTAAAATCGATAGGAAAATGTTAACATAATAAGGATTGGAATAGTTTAAAATATATGCAAGATCTTCAAATTAAAGTTGTCTATATCAACAGGAATATAATTTTTATACATTTTAATAATGAAATTGATCTTTGTAAGAGTTAGTAACCATACTTAAACACTGAAATCGATAAAAAGAGTGTTAATATTATAAGAATTGGAATAATTTAAAATATGTATGTAAGATCTTCAAATTAAAGGTGTCTATGTCAAGAGAAAGGATATTTTTATACGTTTTAATAAAGTTAATCTTTGTAAAAGTAAGATCTTTAGACTCTGAAATCGACAGAAAAGCATTAACATTATAAGAGTTGGAATAGTTTAAAATATATATCAAATCTTTAAATTAAAGCTATCTATATCAACAGCAATCAGGAAGGTCATTTTTATATATTTTAATGAGGTTGATCTTTGTAAGATTAAGTAAGCATATTAAGATACTGGAATTGACAGAAAAGTGCTAATGTTCTAAAAATTGTAACAGTTCAAAATCACACATGAAAAGTGTACCGCAAATTTCCAAATAATTTCAAGGTCTAATGTAACCCTTATTTATTTATAGTATACTTTTGCTGATATTTACGTGGCTGCTTCTGAAGGAAATGAACTGAAAGTGGCTAATTATGCGAAACAAAATATTAATAAAGTTTGCTCACGCACAACCATGTCATTCTCATTTAATTTTGTAAGTTACCGGAGTAATTATCTTTATCGATTTAATAATGATCCCATCTATTACAAGGGTTACCGTCTTATTAAGCATAATTTTTAATTCAAACTGTAGGAGGAAGGAGACACAGCTGTTCATTTAGCGTGTAAGAAATCAGATGCTAAAGCTTTACGATTATTATTTCAATATGGTGCCGATCCAACCAAGAACGATGTGAGTTATCGTAGATAAACGCATAAATTATGACGCCTTTCCTTACCAAAGCTCATAATAGTTTATCCCGTTAGTTATTTAGTTAATAACCAGATCTATATAACTAGGTTGTCGACAATAAACAAATAAATTATAGCATCTTTCCGCATTAAAGTACATAGAAATTTATCTTATTATTTACTAAGTTTCTTAATTTAGTTTCGTCTAGAACTATATTAGTAAGTTGTTGGAGATAAATGCATAAATTATAATATCTTATTCCGCATTAAAGCATATGATAGTAAGTTATATTATTTACTTAATCTCTCAACTTAGTTATATCTAGATCTATATTACTACCGTAGAACATACAGTTGTACATCTCTGTAAAAAGTGACTCAGAATATATCGGGATTTTAATTTATACTTTTCAATGATATTATAATATCGTATATATATACAGTTGCCCGGCTAAGGGCGATATCTTATATTATTGCTTGTGGACTGGCAGAAAACATGAAAATCTAAATAGATCGCAAGTTGTTTGGATCTTTTAGTGCAGTCTAGGGAATTGATATCAGTACAACAGCTGCATCTGTTCACGACTTGATCTTATGCAAACTTAGACCTCTACTCATATGTGATCTATTCTTACACTCTATCGCTTATAATCAATCATAGGCACCATTTATATCTAACTATAAAGCTTTGAATCAGTTTATATAATGCTTCAACCATCACTCTAAATAAAATTTGACTTAATATGGATAAAATTATAGCCAATTCAATATGCTGTTGGCCATGGTAGAGTAGAAATCTTACAAATCTTTCATGACAGAGGCTGTAGTTTGGATTATTCATCATCAGTGAGTTTTGGATACCTTGAATATCATTATTAAATTAGATAACGTACTTTAATACTTTTAATATTATTGTGAAATTTATAGGATGGCAGTACTTTAATGCACATAGCAGCAAAGTATGGCAAAAGCGAAAATTTACTATGGTTAATGCGTCATGGACTTGAAGTAGATCCGAGAGATCTGGTAAGAACAATCAAATATAATATTTCAATCGTAAATTCAATAAGTTATTCAAACAGTGGTAAATTATATAATTTTTACTGTAATCAAGTTGTAAATATTTCAAATCTAACTGCAATTTCATTTATGTCTATATGTAATAATAATTTATGGATAACATGCTAATAATAAAGTAAAATAATTTATCGCAACAATGATGTACCATAAGGTATTAATAACATAATGAATTCTAAACAATTTTATTTGTGCTAATATAAGATACGCAGTTGTAAGTATTATCATAATCATTCTAATTAGAACAAAATATTCAAAACACTGGTAAAATATTTTTCGTATAGTTAAATTACTATAAGTAACTTTATATTTACGGATATATATATAATAAGGTAGTACGTAATTATAATAAAATTTAGTTATAAATTAGACTAAAGTATTCAAAGAGTGATGTCTATAGAGACTGTTTATGTACAAATTAGTTCTTTTTCTTATTATTTTCTGCCAGAATGAAAGAACTCCACTACATATTTCGATTTTAAATGGTTTCTCGAGGACGGCTAGAGCGTTATTGAACTGCAAGGCCGATGTTAATGCGTTAGATAAGGTGGGTACCGAGGACAAAACTGCGTCAACGCTGGTTTCTTCTATTCTTTTCACCTTCTCATCATATCAAAAAAGTGGAATAATGTTCATTTCCTCATTTAGTTTGGCAATACTCCTCTCCATTTAGCTTTCTTACATGCTTATTATGGAGCCATAGTGCCGGTTCTACTCGAATATAATGCCGATATGACCATTTTGGGAAAGGTATAACTGTAAAGTTAATATTATTTTATAATAGCAGATATATTTCAGCTAGCTATACATAACAATACTGTACTCTACGGCATACATTTTGATTACAAATTGACCCATTAATCAAAACAGCCTTGGAATGTTTTTTTGGCTCTTTCTCTCGTAGAATAAGGACTCTGTGTTACATAAGGCCACAAG